ACGCTGTTTCGGCCTCTGGGGCCTGTATTCCGGGCGGCAATGCCGGGGTTGTGTAGTCCCACGGAGCAACTAGGGAGGTTTCTGACGGAGATGGCGATGGGGAGGTATGAGGATCGGTTGGTTGGGGGGAAGGATGTGCAGATGGTTGGGGCGATGCCTATACTTGAGAACACGGCGTTTCGGCGGTTAGCTGGGTTGAGTTTATGATGTGACTGTTGTGATGTTGGTGTAGTGGAGAATAATTGTATATTAAGGTTGGTTTACATGTATTACATCTAGCATTGATCTGCCTTTGAGAGTTCACCTATCTGCAGCGCAATTGCTCTAGGGCTCAGAAATGTGGATTATGGTACCATACTTAGGACTGCAACCGGGCCATTGATGGTGAGATCAGCTCCTCTACTAGTATACTGAGGTCTTCAAACAGTTATCGTAAGGTAAGAACAGTTATATACACGCCTATCCTCTAGTCTATCTGAACCATCACGATCAATCAATCTCCAACGCCATACGCCATCCTCCCATGTGTATGCAATGCTACTGCTCAACCTCACGAACAGCTCTCTCTACATCCCTAATCTTCCTCCGCCCAAAGCGAAGTTTATGCATCAGATTCTTCTCCTTGATCAGCAGCGCTCTCTTGCGTCGTCGACGCGGATAATTGATCGGACTTTCTGCCCCGGTGAAGATCGCCAGATCATAGATGAATGTGCCACACAGTCCACCACTGATATCCGCAGCCCAGGGCCCCCAGATCCACCAGGCATGTTTCTCGCGGAAGACCTGGCCTCCCCAACCGGCCATGAGGGCAACCAATCTGGGACCAAAGTCACGCGCGCCGTTGAAGCATCTAGGTGCATGGTCAGTAAATCCTCACTGAAGTCTTGAATTCCAAACTCACCCTCCAGTATTATACCCCAACGCGAGAACAAGCACACTAATCAATATCCCCAGGATAAACGCCTGCATGCCCGCCCCCGGCGGCGCATTAGTATCATCCCCCAGCGCCATAATCGTGCCAACCAGAATCGCCGTCCCGACAAACTCATTAAAAAACGCCGTAACAGGATGCACGAAGTCCTTCGGCGCAGTAAGCAGCGCCTGCCTCGCCAGAGACTCGCCCTGCGTGACGTGGTTCGCAAGCGCAGAGTCCACAATCGCATCGCGGTACAGCGCGTACGCAATCCCACCCGCCGTAATACCGCCGCCGAGCTGCGCCGCGACGTAGACCATGCACTTCCTCGCTGGGAAACCCCGCCAAACAGACATGCTGATCGTGATCGCCGGGTTCAAGTGCCCGCCTGAGACCCCGCCCGCCATGTAGATGGCGATCATGAACGCGAACCCCCACGCTGGCGCGAGCGACGGGAACGACCCCGCCTGGTTCTGCGAGGTATATGTCTGCAGGCCTGCGCAGAGGCCTAGTGTCATGGCGATGGTAGTGCCGAGCCACTCGGCCAGCGGTTCGCGGAACTGGTGTCTGATTTCTCCCCACTTGTTGAAGAAGCCGCGTTCGTCCGGTTGGGCGACTCGGGCTTCGGGGTGTTTCTTTTTTGCTTTAAGGTCGTCATTGTGAGGCGGGTGCTCGGTTGGTGGTTCGTCCGCCGCGGGGACTTTCTCTTGGTGTGCGTTGGGTCGTTTGTCTGTGGCTGTGGTTTGATCATCCCGGTCCTTGTTCTTCATTCCTGACCGCATGACATGAGGCAGCGGTTGTGCCAGACTCCAGATTGGGGCGTTTTGTGGCTGGCCATAATGGGGGTTGTAGTGCATGTAATCAGGGTGCAGGTAGGCACCGCGCTGGTATGGCGGAGGGCGGTTTGAGCCTGTTAGGGAATATTGCTGAGGAGTATTCGAGATTGCCCCATGGCCTTGGGACGGCTGCTGTATTGTTTCATGGGATTGGCAGTTGGGGGATTGGACATCTGTTGATATTAGACAAGCAGTGGTAATAGAGGGGAGACATACGGTTGATCTCATGCAATTGGGAATTATTTTCGCCCTCCATGAAATCCTACTGGTAGAAGCAATCTAAAACACAGATCAAAAGAAAAACGAAAAGCAACAATTGATTCATTTTCGCGGAAAATTCATATATGGGAGGATTTGACTATCATATGCGGAGTATCTATTACATAACAAACCGGCAAACCTGTCGGTGGCCACCAAAATTCACTTCTTGCCAAATCTCGCAAATGAATAGAATGGAAAAGTCTTCATCTAAAACCAGGCACTAGAACCATAAGAATCCAGGTTTAGTTGAAGGCTTGTTGGTGCTGCTAAGATCTCTGCGGCCGTTGACTTGCACGCAGGAACCGCTCCCAGCCAATCATTTCTATTCAGTAACAATGTCGGCTGATGTCATATTAAAGGATCTTGTGAAAACCGAAAAATCTAAGCTCGGCAGGACAGTACCTGTATAAGCCCTGTCATTGGCGGCATCTTATATCTCGGGGGTTTCCCGGCCACTAACAGCCCTGTGGGTTCGCCGTTGCTGCCAAGTTTTTTGCTCTGAAGAGTCTAGCAGTTGGGTTGGTAAGAGTGTTCATACATTGCACAGTCAGAATGCTCTATGAACTTATGAAATCAAAGCAGTTAACTGGAGTAACCTTCCCTTCTTCATACTGTAGTCCCAATGGCCAGATTAGTAGAATTGTCATTACTGCCTGTTACTTCTCAAGGCTGGCAAAATTGCCGGCGTCAGAGCATCAATATGCCGCTTGGGACAGGTAGCCGGACCGGTGCATACGGATGACACATTGACTCTCCGTGACTGGTTCCGGCACTGCTGGTGAGTTCGAAGATTATGGGATACGTTCCGCCAGCGCCACCTAAAATGGATCCCAGCGGATATCCTGACAGATGTGCTGGCCAATTTGGCGAAGTTGGACGATAGAACACTCCCCGGTGACGAAGTAACGTCTTACTACCATCTTATCAACCCAACCGAGCTACGTGGGAGAGCGTAGTAAACCATACTGTAATGTCCTTCACATGGTACATGACACAAATATCATGGCATATTGGGCATTCCAATCCGGGTATCAGCTATTAACCTGATAGATGGAATTTTGCTGTCCATACCGGGCTTTCCACGGCGTACACTTCACTATAAGGTATTGTGCTGAACACCGGTGGATTCTATACTACCCTAGTGGAGGTGATAATACATCTTTAGTCTGCATGGATCGGCAAACTACCTTCCTCACTAGATAAGTTGGCTCGGTTGCAACTCCAAGACTAACTATGAATATAAATTCTATAGCAAATTCATTATAGACAAATATCAGTTCTGCTCTTCCCCTTGTGATACTTCAGGCTCACTGTCAGCCGTTCCATCCCGTAACAGAGTTTCGAGCCGCAGGGGAATCCCCGCATATTGCGTGCTACCTCGCGTTGACCAGGATGTGGGCGACATGTCGATAGAAACTCGTGATAATTGTTCACCGTTCCCTGGACCCCCTCAATGCTCATATCAGTCAGGATCTGTGTCAAGAGCGTCAAAATATGGCTGTCATGGACAACCAGTGTAGCGGCGCCACTACTTAGAGCGGTACCATTCATCAACCCATTCCTTCCTTTCCCTGTAGCTCAAATGGTGCCATCTTAACACGCCCTTAGCGTCTCGTCGGCATTGATAACGATGATCAGAGTTAGTCTCTTCCTAATTTTTCAGAGACCAGAAAACGCAAGAAGATAAATAGAGACGGGCCACCGATAACGAGTGTTTTGCCTGGTTTCGCTGCAAACAGAAGGAGGCATGTAGAGCGTTAGGAGGTATGTATGTTTCAAAGTCTATCCGCAGAGGCAACCTAAATCCTTTGTGGTGGTCTGTACTGCGCCTCTTTGATGTCTTATATCAAATCCAATCCCCGCTAGACGGAAAAGGCTTCCGGACGATGCACGTCTTCCAGGGATATGCATCCATAGCCATAGCAACAACAATAGCATTGTACCATCCAGAGTATCCAGTACTGCTCATCTGGCCCGCGTGCAGAATGGATTCTGTTGTCGCTTCAGCGATATACCGACCCAACGTCACTTAGAATCCGGAACGAGATCTTGGCCACGATCGACGGTCCACTTATGGAGATGGTAGTATCCGCATGAAAGCAATCACATGGACTATGACATATGTAAGTGACACGAACATATATATATATAACCCAATTCCACAGCAGTCCTCGATCACGCCGCCATAGCTCTAAGAACCCATCTTCATCCCGTCTATGATGTATTATCAGACTCCAGTTAACAGTCTGCGAAGCGCTCCCTTCGTCTCCGGAATGTAGCTTTTAATCTTCAGCTCCATGTCTCGCTCTCAGTCATTCTCCGGCGTTCCTACAGTGGCTCTGGATACCACAGGGTTGTTGCTTAGGAATGCTCAAGGGGTGCAATCCAGCCACCCGGACTACTGTATGTTGAAGTATCTAGTTAGTTGGGAGGTCTCCGGTCAGCCTGCATTGTAACTCACTGCACAAACTCAGAACGGCCTATCCTGCTCATCCTCATCTTCGTATGCAGAAAATACAAAACTTCCAGACCTGACTCCTCAGTGCCTACTTTTAGTACATTTTATACCGCTTCAACCGCAATATCCACGTATGATATATAATTATAGTCAGCATTATTATACTTAGATATGTCTCTTCAATATATATAGCTACTTATCTCTAATGTTTTCTACATCTTGGATTAATTTAGATAAGGGTAGCGATACAGATATATATATAAAGTTCACCATTACAATCTACTTTTACCATAACACTTTGACGAAAAATAATGAAATCATATTTAATATTTATACCAAATAGTATATAGACTTACTCGGTCATTTAGACATGTTGAAGATAACTACTTGTAAGAATATGGCTTCAAGTTCATCATGGTCGCAACTGTTGGGGGTCGCGAGAAAACACGCTAACGGCGGGTGAGCGACGCGAAGATCTACAATAATCCAACGTGTCCGATATGTAGCATCAGCTGCATGCCTGTGCAAGAAAATGGACACTCTTCCTGCGGAAATCATCCTCACCATCGGTAGCCATGTCTCTGACGTAGACGACAGACTCCGGTTGCTTCAAGTATGCTGACGTTGGCGAGCGCTGTTCTTCGAGCTCGCATACAGCCACGTAAATATCGAGGGACCTCAGATCCAGCCCCTGACGAAAGTGATACTAGCCAGGCCGCGGATAGGAGCAGCTATCCGTAATCTGTCAGTTGGCTGGTGGCATTCATACATCGATTACCACCCGCAGCAAAGGGAAAATGATGACAATTTGCCGGAAAAAGCGGAGGAGCTGGTAGGGCAGATCAGCAGATCTCCGGAGGAGCAGAAAGACTGGACCGAGAATCTCCGAGGTGCGAATCAGGAAGCATGGCTTGCTCTTCTTCTTGCCTCGGTGCCGAATCTCACCACGCTGTCTGGGCGATACTGTACTAGACGCGCCGAGAGTGACGCTGGTTGTTGCGCGGGCTGCACGCAAGGAACCACCGTTTGACACCAGGCCGGTCCTGCAGTGGTTGGAGACGCTTCATATCATCTCCGACGATATGAAGGATGTCTATCCGCACTGGCAGTTTCTGCCATTCTTCCACCTGCCATCGCATAGTAATGTGAACTTGGGCGCCGTGAAAGAATACAGAGAATGGACTAGACTGAACCACCCGGCTGTGTCTTCCGCGTCAGGAACGTCGCCCGTGGAGTCACTGGTTCTGGAATCTCACCGTAATGGAAGAAAAGGAATGGCGGAGTTTATCACCTCGTGCGCCAACCTCAAACAATTCAAATACCAGCATGACGACACGGAGGACTGGGCGGAGTCACGCAAAAACTTTCAACCCCGGAAGTTCTACAGGGCGCTGCTGACGCAGAAGCACAGCCTCGAGGTCCTCCATCTGAGCGACAATGCCCGGGTGAGCGGGTTTCCGTCAGACGATGAGGATGATGACGGCCCCGGACCCTTTGATCGGTGGCTTGGATCACTGGCGGAATTCAGGAACCTACAGGATCTTCGCATCCGCATCGACAACCTTCTCAATTTCCATTACCGCGATAAAGACAAATCGGTCGTGCCCAAGGACACTCTACCTTCCAGCTTGAGGTCGCTACATGTATCCGAATTCTGGCCACACCACTGCGCGGTGCTCGTGCCGAATCTGCAAGGAGTCCTTGCTCATCACAAGGAGAGGTTCGCTAACCTAGAACGCATCTGTATTTTGTCCGGGTTATGTGAGAAAGTATCTGAAGAGCAGATCTGGGCTATCTATCCACATGAGAACCCGATTCCGGAATCAGTAAAGAAACCGTTTGTGCCTGTCAAGGAGATGTGTAACCGAGCGGGTGTAGAGTTCGAATTGAAGCTGGGTCGGTCGTGTGCCATCGCGAATGACACACCATATTTCATTTTTCGCCGCTGAATCAGAAATCCTACTTTTCATTGGGTTCAACGCAGATATCACCTCTCAATCAGACACAGAAGAACAACGGATACTGTCCAGCCAGAGTAAGATGTGCGTAAGACTAGCCCGAAAGGGCAATGCCAGTATCATCGCGTAAGACATGCAAACGTCCTAAGATTAGTTAGCCTCGCGCAGTTTCAGTGATCAGATTGTTCATAGCCAATGGCAGTGCGACGCATTGTTGGGTTAATCGGCCTCGGGGCTCGGATATACGCCTGAGCTCGGGTTTGTAATCTTAGGCCTCACTTTTGATATGAGTACTACAATGCATGGCAGATTGGTAGTGAGAAATTCAGATATAAGTAAGGCTGATGGCATTGCACTCGGCTGTTTCCTTATTCTCTAATCAGCAGAACTTCCGTCGTTTCTATTTGCACCCTTAAGACCGCATCTCTGTTTCTCAATCCAACGTACTATACCCTAAGCTCATCAGAATGACACCCACCAACGCAGCTGCCTGGCTTTCCGAAGAAAAGAAGCATCCCTTTGAAATAAAGGAATCACCGCTCGGCAAGCCAGAGGGCAACGAAATCCTAATCCGCAACCATGCTGTCGCCGTCAACCCAATCGATGGATTGATCCAAACGAAGGCCTTCTTCCCCCTAAACTACCCGACCATTCTTGGTCAGGATGTAGCCGGCGAGGTGATTTCCATTGGCGACAATGTAACTCGATTCAAACTCGGGGATCACGTCCTAGGCCATGCCGTCGGGCTCATGGCCGGACGCAAGGAGGCCTGCGGTTTCCAGACATACACTATCCTACAAGACAACCTCGCCTGTGAGATACCAGAACACATCACTTACGACCAAGCCGTTGTTCTACCTCTCTGCCTCTCCACCGCCGCGTCTGGAATGTTCCAAGAGGACTTCCTCCATCTAAACCTCCCCACCGAACCACGCGCCGCGTCCACCGGACAGACACTACTAGTCTGGGGCGGTGCATCCAGCGTCGGCAGCAATGCCGTCCAACTGGCTGTTGCTGCAGGTTACGAGGTAATCACCACCGCATCGCCGAAGAACTTTGACTACGTTCGACGGCTCGGGGCTAGTCTTGTCTTCGATTACAGTAGTCCAACTGTCACCGAGGACATTGTGCAAGCAACTAAGGACAAGGTTCTGGCCGGCGCAATTGACTGTATTGGGTCTGCTGCGACGGCAGCGTGCGTCGATATTCTGCGCAGATCACAAGGGAAGAAGTTTGTCGCTACTGTCAAGGGCGGGTTTGCGCCGCCTACGGATGGGATTCAGGTGAAGCATATCTTCGGGACTACGCTCAAGGACAATTTCGTCGGCAAAGCCGTGTACGAGGAGTTTCTCCCGCGCGCCCTGCAGTCGGGAGCTTTTATGCCCTCTCCTGAACCTCTGGTTGTGGGGACGGGTCTGGAAAATATGCAGGAGGCGGTGGATTTGTATTGGAAGGGGGGGATCTCTGCGAAGAAGTTGGTTGTTCTGCTATAGCTTGTTGAATGTGTCTTATAAGTAGTTAGAGTGAAGAGCTTGGGTTTATCTGTTTGACCATAATTCATCCATATGATACTGCCCTGATCATAGGCTCGGTGACCCGGAGTTACCGCAATAAACCCGAAGCGCCACGATTTGCTTGAGTAAGCAGGCAGCAGCCAAGTAAGCATTATAAATCTGATGGAACACATTTGGATTTGATTCTCTGCCGTGATGCGCTGCATCATCCATCAGAATGGTCTACCTCGGCCCCTCGCGAGGATGCGAAACATGCAAACGGCGGAGGAAGAAGGTTGGTCACACCCATAGCTTATGACAGCGCTAATTCAATACAGTGCGATAAAACTCGGCCTGTTAGCATTACCTTCTCCTCCACTTTCTGTTACTTGCAAGTTGTTAACCACGGAGCAGTCATGCCTACGATGCCAAAAGTCAAACCGCACATGTGGAGGTTACCAAGAACAAGCCAGCCAGACACTGATCTTTCAGAGGAACTACACCCAGTGTACAACTGCCAATGACTCCTGGGCTATAAAGCCCCTCGCGCGAAAGTGTAGTCTACCAGTCCGAGAACCATACCCTGGTACAGATATCCTCCCAGAGGACGCCGCTCCAAAGGAAGTGAGCGAGAGTGATGTAGTGGAGTATGCAGTGCGGGGATTCTTCTACGACTTTTCCATTTCATCACCGGATAGCATTAGCATCAGCGCATCTGTTGGCTTTCTAAAGGACCTTGAACTGTATGTCCAGCGGAAAGGGCTTGATTCGAACCTTGCAAAGGCCTGCGTGATGATTAGTTATGCAAATCACGCTAGAAAGCTGTATCGGCCGTCTTTCATCACCAAGGCAGAAGTATCGTATCATGAGCTGCTGCGGTATCTGGCAGAGGAGATTGCAAGGCCAGGATTCGTGGGAAAGAGGCCGGATCTTATTCAACTGGCCTGGCTGATGGGTCTTTACGAGGTATAATGCCCTTGCACCTTGGCTGTAGCCATTGCTGACAGGACAGGTTGTCATGGCTGATGAAACTCGTCTTGAACGAATCGATATGCATGTTAGAGGGATAGCAGGGATGTTGCAAATACAGAACTCGCCATTGGGCTTTGTGCGTGGAGCGTTCTCCGGTAACATTCTCGGCCCCGAAGCGCAGATGCAAGTAAGTGGATGCACGTATTGAGCCTACTAAGCTGATAGCCTAGGATTCCGGTCTTGTGCGCTTGCCACATTCGGCAAATAACGTGACATATCTACACAATATCTTGCTTGACACACTCCCCCTGAGGATGGAAGCAGAACGTGTCCTGGCGGATCCAAGGTTGACAGAAACACATCAACATGCCCTTCTACAGCGGGCATCTATACTCAAAGACCGCCTAGCACAGTGGGAGGACAGAGTTGCGCCAGAGAGCAAATCTATCACAATAGCCCATATGCAACCGAGCGGTGACCCCTATATTGAAGTCGGACAATGGCCCGGCCCATTGCATATGTACACGAACCTTCGCGCGGCAGCCCTCCTTAACATCAGTCGCGTTGCGCGATGCTACCTCCTTGACATCATTTTCAGACTCAAGTATATGCAGGCCGACACCGGCAACGATGATAAAGAGAGGGCAAAGGCTGTCCAGCTCATTCAGGACTTTACCTCCTCAATCTCGTATCACCTAGTCGAGGACTTGCATTCATTCTCTGCGAGTGTCCAACGTGGCAATCCCATCGTACAGCCCGGAAGAGCAGTTGGAGGATTGCTGCTGATGTATCCCCTGTACATTGCTTCGAAGCTATCTATCGTGCCGGTAGAGTTGCAGGACTACTTCAAACGGTGTTTAGTCTGGATTGGACAAAACATGGGGGTTGGATACGCTTCTCTGTTGGCTAAGGTGAGATTTTACTGTCACAGGTCGAAGTCTCTGTCATGCTGATATATTATCAAAGGCCCATTTCCATATTGAAGATCTAACTGCAGGATGTATCATTGTGTACGGTGGATTGCTTTAGAGCATAAAACTTTTCAACTGTGAAATGGTGGATTTAGTTTGATATATGATAGACGGGAGATCTGAGCAAAAAGGCACCGCAACGGCTCACTTACACCAGACTGTCTCTATCCATGTAGTATCTTCTGGTATAGAAAAGAGAAGTACCTCCGAGCGCCATTCCACGCACTTATATAACCTCAGGGCTAGGCAGCTGGTTCCCTAAAGAAGAGAGCGGGAGACTCGTAATGCGCCTCAGCCACCACTAGCGTGCCTCTTATATGCACGTTGCGCATGGCTATGAAAGACAAAAGCCCTCATGAAAAATAACAACCAAACAATGGAAATACTCTATTCTATATACAGTTCCCGCAGGGTAAAGAAATATCTCGACGAAGCAACCAAAGGTCTGTCTGTTCCCCTCGACCTAGAACCATACTGACAGACCTAGAATCGGTACTCGAGGATCTCAACAAAGCACTCGCTCCTCACTGGGCGGGCGCTAAAGACGTGTGGAATATTTTCTTCCTCTACACTTTCCAAGAGGGATACGACCGCTGTATGTCCACATCCAACTTCTACATATCAACGTTAATCCCATAGATTGGGAGGTCGAGAGCTTCCGCCCGTTCGCCAGCCGGCATCCGGGCATTGATTTCCACGAGACTTCGTGTCTGCTCTGGCGGTGTCTGCATTTCTACACGCATGATCCATTCGCAGATAGTTCTCGCGGGAGTAGAATCGATGTAAAGGTATTCCAGCGGGCGGTTGCGCTCTTTGTGTTTCGCGGAACGGATTCACTTGGGACTCGGGAGCGGGAGGATCACCACTGGCGTGATGACGAGGCAGCATTTCGGGAGCTGACTTCCGGAGAATGCTTAGAAGTATTAGTGAAACCGCGGAATTCCATTCTGCGGAGAGGCAGTGGATAGTAGACGATATACTGGACGTGCTGGCTACGGTGCAGCCGCGTTCGACGTCTTTCTCCCCGGATTAGCTGCGAGATGCGGCCGAGAGGATACAACCTAGGGTTCGATTAGACATCGTCTTTTCCGGAGATGAGTTCTCACTTTTTGTTCGGTTGATCCTGCAGCTGAGAGTGTGGGATGTCGAGGGGTCATGTTTGCCTTCTGGCATATTCAATGACGAGTCGTCATATCCTTGTCAGAAACTGGCGGACAGTATCGCGGATGCGGTTTGCAACGAAGACCAGAAGGTCGATGCTGGCATAGTGGGCGATATTCTGGCGAGAGTATCCCTTGTGCTTATGCTTAGACGCTCTAACACCAGACAGCCGGTCTTCGAGAGCGAGTCTACCGTTTCTGGGGCGTTATATTCCAGCCTCGCAGTTTACGGGAGACGATCGTACTGCCAGAGGAAGGATTACAAATCATATCCTGGCGGCAGTTTCCCTTTTTCTCCCGCTCGGCATGGACGCCTCACGGCCGAGTAATCCTGGCATAGAATTGCTGCCTCAAACGGAAGACCTGGGAATGTCGACTGGGCTCAGGCCATCGCTGGAAGAGTTGTTTGTGCTGAGAGCCCCCCACAACGGATCAGAGACAGTCACCGCCCTATACGATAGCTCATGAAGGAGGGGCTTGCCTGCGTGTTGATCCACAAAGTCTGACAGTCACGATGGTCTTCAAACTGACTGAATCAAGTGAAGAAAAACCCATCTATACAGAAATGTGCAGGGGCCAGGACCGAGAATAGGAGCTTACGGTCCACCCTGCGCGATTGCATACACTCCGCATTAGCCCCAGCGCTAGCACACTAACCTGGGGTAGGAATGGACCCAAGGAGGGAGTTAGTGGAGAGGAATTGCGAAACAGGATACATGGTTTGGGTCTAGCAACAGCGAATCAGAGTCCTACCGTGTGGGAACGATGAAATAGGTGGAATATTCGGCGCCAATTCTATAGCGGAACTTGCCCGGAGCTTCGATACAGCTCGAGATGGATGATATGGATCATGAATGCTTCTATCATTTACATGAGGATTCTTCATCTTTCTCGTTTCCTATCGGATGCATAATGCGTACGTCAAGCATGTCAAGACAAACATCCATCCAGAAACACGGCGATACATGTAGCATTATCCCTCCGCTCGCCCTCTGCAACGTCCCGGACAAGCTCATCTGCCACCTGCTGCACCCCCAGTCCTCCCTCATGCCGTGTCTTGATTTCATCGATGATGACATTATCCTTCAGCACGTTGGTCACACCATCTGTCGTCAAGGCAAGAATATATCGACGATCCTGCCGCAGATCTACACGGATAATTGCCGGTTCAGTAGACAGGAAGTTGCCCTGTTCGATCGACGGCGTCATGGCCGCTAATTCCTGGCCTGTAGTGCTGGGGCCCGCCGTATCATTATTAAGAGGGTTCTTGTATTGCAGATCTCCGAGAGCGCGCGACATGTTCAAAGCTCCTGTTTCCATTAGCTTTGTCACGAGTAATACAAGGCAACATACCTATCCGGGCAGTTTCCGACTCATAGTTGACTACTCCACCGGCATCCTCGATCCTCTCCTTCTCTTTCGGACTGTCGGGTTTGTGGTCTTGCGTCAAGCGATGCTACACACTTAGCTCACTTTCTGTAGTACTGAGTGAGGGCACATACCACAGTCTCCAATTGTCCGGTTATATCGCACTCGCCCATGAGGACATGCGAATCACCCAGGTTGCCTACCACCATCACACCCTTATTAAGATTGACAATCACCACCGAGGCCGTCGATCCCGAAATCGCAAATTTGTCCTCCCCCTCTTGACACTCCTCAAGAAGCGTTTCCTCTTCTTTTTGGATGGCTTGTCGGATTGCGTCCTCATAGCGACCGGCTTGTAGTGCGTTGCCTTCAAAGAGGAGCTCCCTGATGTGTTGCTTTGCGTGTTGTGCGACCTTCCTGGAGCCACTATCTCCCATTAGTACGTTTCTAACAATAATGAAAGGTCTCTGTCTTACTGTCCGTCGAAGACCGCAAAAATAGCTAGCTCATCATGAATAGTCGTCTTGGAAATCTGATCCGGAAGGATTATTGTGTATTGATCCTGCTGCGAGGGTCGTGTTCCTTGCGCCTACTGCCGTTAATATTTAAACAGCTATGTACTTCCTGAGTGACTCACACTGGCGCCTCCTGCTCCTCGTAGTTTGATGGCATGTTTGGATGACTGTGCATGTGCAGGGGAACGCATGTTGTGCTTGTCAATTGAATCCCTGTGTAGTACAATAACACCTATTTAGATTCTACTATTAAAATGTGCTGCAGCATGACTATTTATGGAAGCTGATGCTCGACTGGACATGATTGATGACATCACAGGCAGTATACTCCTTGTAGAATCAAGCTTCGGCTTCCCCGCAGATCCTTGGCTTTTAGCCTTTTGCATTAGATTCGGGGATAGAAGCGGATGTTGATCTATGGTTAGAGTCTGGGATAGTGAGACTACGAGTAATAAATATCCCTGTCATAATGCATGTTATGATGAACTATTATTATGGAATATGTAGCATCTATCAATTCACTGGGGAGAGGACGTAGGGTTTTAGTAGAGTCAATGATCCTGCCAAGATATGGCGTCACTCTTACCACATCCGTAGACCAGCAGAGATCTGACATCGGCAGAGCTACTAGGAGCTATTAAAAGGTACTAGGAGGCTATCTGTGTGTTCTAGACCGGATAGCTATCTTTCCTTGCAAGACTGCCAGTATGCAGGTCAATAAATAGTGCATACACTTGGCGTTGAGAAATGTTATGTATCGCGAGATAGCGACTACTACTATCTCATGGTGACGGCAGCGAATGCTGGAAACTATATCCTCCTATCCTGAGGGATGAATACTGGCAGTGACGACGTGACCAGTCAAATCAGCTGGATAGCTAAGCTGTCACTCTCTCATCATGACATCGCACCTCCAGCTATATAATCCAATCGTCCCTGCAAGAAGTAGCTGACAACCGTACAAAATGGCTGTTCCCGTTCGACTCCTACGCCCCATCCCACTCTCCATCCCCATTTCCAGATTCCAATCCTTCCCCATCGCAGCAAGAAGCGTTTCCACCTCTCCCATCCAAATGATCGGACGAATCACCGACACGGTCAAGCAAGATCACCGCGAGATCGAAGCCTGCTACCAGAGGATCATCAACGCAAAGGACCGCGACGAGCAGACCCGCTATCAGAATCTGTTTACATGGGAGTTAGCACGGCACTCCATCGGTGAAGAGCTCGTCGTCTATCCTGCGTTTGAGAAACATCTTCCCGATGGAATTTCCATGGCAGAGAAGGACAGGAGGGAACACCAGACTGTACTCTCTCGCCTCTAATCTCCAGCGATCAAAACTGACAACCACAGGTGAAAGAAAAACTCAAGAAATTCCAAAACTTGGACCCCTCCAACGCCGACTTCATTCCCACCCTCAAATCCCTGATGGGCGATCTGGCAGAGCACATCAGGGAAGAAGAAACGAACGACCTGGTCAAGCTCGACCAGGCGCTGTCCCACGACGACAGCGTCAGTCTCTCCAAGAGCTTCGATCGGACCAAGATGTTCGTGCCGACGCGCTCGCATCCCAGTGCGCCCAACAGGCCACCCTATGAGACAGCCGTGGGATTGTTGACTGCTCCAATTGACCAGCTGGCGGATCTGTTCCGCAAGTGGCCGCATGAAGGGCAGGAATCGCCTATGGGTCATCAGCGACCAATGGGTCATTAGTGTGTTTGTAATAGTATCAATTCATTTGCCAATTAGTTCTAGAAACATTCTAGACTGTAGACTGTAGGACATATCGAAATCGACTGGTCACAGGAAGGTGTAAATGTGGCTAGATCTAGACCAAGACAGGCATCGGCATCATAGATCACTTGGACGTCATTGGTAGATAAATCTACTGCCCAGATGCCAGAAACAAGATCTGAAGCCAAGTTTCCGGAAACGTGCATAATCAAGGTAACTCAATCAGACGGTGATAGCACAATGACGCGGTATGCACTTAGCCCTAGTATAAACAGCACAACCTCCCCCATCCAGCAGCCAATTTCAAAACTGCCAACAATTGAATCGACACGAATTGACGAGAATTGAAGGAATCAACCAATTGCTGAAATGTCCCGCACAGTTTGCATCACCGCTGTAGACGGCCACACCGGCTTCCTCATCGCCGAGCTACTCCTCACAAACGAGACCTTCAAATCCCACATCAAGTCCGTCGCAGGTCTCACTTTGCACCCCCATGCAGAAAAATGCAAGGAACTCGCCAAGCTGGGCGTCAAGATCGTCCCGCACGAACCGGGTCGTCTGAAACATACCGTCCAGACCCTGCAGCAGATCGGCGCCGAGGCCATGTGCTTGATTCCGCCGGCGCATAAGGAGAAATTCGACATCACGATGGAGATGATCGAAGCGGCGAAGAAGGCGAACGTCGCCAATGTCTGCTTCGTTAGCTCGGCGGGGTGCGATCTCGCTGAGAGAGACAAGCAGCCTCATCTTCGGAGCTTTATCGATCTCGAGGCGGCATTTATGGCCTCCAAGGGGGATTCGTCTACCCAGACGGGACATTCGCCTGTTGTTGTTAGGTATTCTCCGCCCTCTCTTTATTCTTGCCATTTCACAAGACAATGGGCAATCTGACGTATGTAGGGCTGGCTTCTACGCCGAGAATCTCCTGCTGTACTCGGAACAGGCGCAGAAGGAGGGTATCCTCCCAATTCCCGTCGGGCAGAACCATAAATTCGCTCCTATCGCGTTGGGTGTATGTCTCATCCCCGTCATAAAAATCAAACTGACCAAATAGGACGTCGCACAAGTTGTCGCACATGTCCTCTGCGGCAAAGGCAAGCATGGCTTCGCCGATAAGCACCGCGGCCAACTGATGGTTCTGACTGGTATGTGCTCAATAAGCTAGATTGAGCGCAGGCAAGCTAACAGCGCAGGACCGATGCTCACGACCGGTGACGAACTCGCCAGCGCAGCCAGCCAGGCGCTGGGCACGGATCTCAAATTTGAGGATATATCCGAGTATGATCATTCCAACCACCTGACAGTGACGAGCTGACAGTCCCAGGGCCGAGGCAAAGAAGGTCCTGCATGCGCAGTCGGAGAGCGACGAGTCGGAGCTACAGTATCTGCTCGAGTACTACTCCCTCGTCCGTGAGGGCAAGACCAACTATATCTCCACCACGGCGTTCCACGATGTGACGGGCATTCATCCACAGGAGCCGGTGGAGTTCTTCAAGGTGTATGCTGAGAGCTTCCGTCCTAAGCACGCGAACAAGAAGAGGAAGATGAGCAAGTAATTCCTGTTTCGTGACTCATGAAAAGTGAATACTGTATACTACCTAGCTATTCTCAATATCTTCTACTTCTGCACTATCATTTTCATGTCCATCGCTCTTTGTCTCAGGGCTGAGTAACCCTTCCTGCACTGTAATCCCCTCATCTGTAATCTTCACCCTCTTCCCACCCACCTTGCTCACCCAGTCCATGCCCATCTCCTCCTCCTCCCCCAAAAGCACCAACCCCAACACCCTCCCCACCGCCGTCTTCTCCAAAAACCCCTTCAACCGACTAATCCCAGTTCGGCGCATACACCCCAGAACAACCAAACCCGCCACAATCCCCAACGTCGCAGCCAGGACCACAATCCCCGGAACCGCATACGGAAGCCTATACCGTATCCGCCTCTCAAACACCGTAACCGGTCGCACCTGGTTGTGCTCCGCAACAGCCCTCGTCCCCACCATAGCATTCGCCGCGAAATCCGTCCACACGAGATCAAGTATCTTCGCTGCGCCGGCGGCAGTCGTCGAGAGAGTCTGCCATTTCGCGTACAGAGCGAGACTCGTCCAGCCGGCGTAATCTGCGAAGGGCTGGCCGGCGGGTCTGCTGATGCTGAGGGCGCGGTAGAGGGCCTGCGTGTAGAAGTCTACGCCTGGGAGGTTTTGGCCTGTGGAGACTGGGACAGGGGCGAGCCCCGTGAAGGGGGTGGTGGTGGGGTCGATGTAGCCTGGGAGGTAGAGAGATGTGCTTGCGATGGTGGAGAGGTTGACGGCTGGTTCGGGCGAGGTTGTGTTTGATGGGAGGATGCCCCAAAGCGGTTGGACTTCTTCGAGGGTTCGGTCAGGGAGGTCTTCGACAGCCCAGAGGGGTGGAGAGGGATAGGTCTTTTGAGACAGTGAGGTTATGGACAGTCCGTCGAGGCCGGTGCCGTTGTAGCGGAAGGAGACGGTCTTGAGGCTGGCCTTTACGGCGCTGGCGCAGATGTAGAGCGGGATGCTCCAGGGGGAGTTTGGGTCTGTTCGCAGGGGAGACACGCCATCGGTGCGGTTGGCGGCGCCGTAGACGAGGCCGCAGCCGATGAGAGCGCTGGTGATGGTGGATGGGCTGGAGGAGGTTGTCCCGCCGCAGAGGGTTGTCCCAAGGTCGAAGTCTTTCAGGTTGATGTTGTGGGGATTGACGGTTGAGTTGCTGATGTGGAGATTGAGATACTCTCCCAGACTGATTGTCGTCTTGATGTTGCGATATCCAAGGGTGAAGTTCGCATTCTGCAGCTTGAAGGTGTCTCCCGGCGTCACGTCTATACGGGTGATATTCGTAGGGTCCGGATCGGTCGCGTTGAAGTACGCTAGGGTTAGGAAGTTGTTATACCACGCGGCATTCCACGCCCTCTGCCGCAAATCAAACTCCTGTCCATTAACCGGAACACTGATCGAGGGACGGGCTCCTGCAAGATTCGACAGCCCCCCGTGATCTTTCAGCACCAGATTCACAACAGAAAGACTCGTCTCGAGAACCGGCGGCAGCTGGAACTCGATCGAAAAGTTCAACGGCACGCACTGCGTCTCCGGCTGGATGAACAGGATATCCTCATCCCAGGTCGAGCCGTACTTGAGTGCCTTGGCCGGCGCCGTATGATTCCTAAACCCAATTCCCCCGTCCACCATATCAACAATCAACCCCTCCACAGGCTCGACTTTCTCATCTAGGATCAAAACCTGCAGGGAGCGGTACGACGGTTTCGCATACCATCCCAGCACGCTGTACTGGTCCGTGGCATTGAAAAAGGTCCGGTACTGCATGTCGAAAATACTCGAGACTGACGGGCCGAACGCACTAGCCCCCTCGCGAAATACATCTGCCCATTGCTCCGGGATAAGACTATCGTAGACGACGTTACAGTTCTCTAGCAGGCCTTGCTGGCGACACGTCTTGTTGAGGCTCGTCCCCGGACAAGCCTGCTGGAGGCCGCAGTTACGCGTGAACGGAGCATCGGTGCGATCCGGCGTGCCGTAACTGAACGCGGACGTCCCTTTGATGTACGCGAATGGTTCGGGCGTTGGTGAGCCCGCCGGCTCGATGGAGTCATATAGGCCCAACGGAGTCACGATCGACGCGATGGATACCACTCCCAGGATGATCGTCTGCGCGTTCCCGGCGATAGTCAGCCTCTTTTGCACGCCAGATATGGCAGCCGTGCTGGAGCCGAGAATGCTGGGCCATAGTGTTGAGTGGAGAAAGCGGGCGAGCACGTTCCTGTCTCTGATCAGTTAAATGTGGGACATAGGCAGATGGAGGTAACGCACCAGCTGATGATTGAGTTCTCGTCAGTCAGGAAAGCAACGAGGATAAGTGGCAGAGACAGCGGGAGGAGTAATTGCAGGATGAACACGCCCGCGGCGATCAAGCCGGAGGCCTCTGCAACCGTGAGGCTGGTCATTATCTCAGTCTCGTCACCTTTCGAGATAATCGTCGTCAGATAGACTACATTATGTAGCCTCAAGGCTAACTTAATTCGAGGCATCACCCCGAATACGAGCCTGCACGCCCTCGCATTGGTGGACACGATCGAATACGAGAACTAAATTACTTCCCCTTGGCGATGGGCAATGGTCTCGTCCTACTGGTGAATGAATTGATCACCTCGTATCCAGCCGCATTGGCCTTAGCTGCAACTGCAAGCCATCTCTGTTCCTGTCAGGAGACAATCTCCGCTCGAGCCTATTTACAACCCCAGTCCAGCCACGACCACACCCACACCCACACCCATCAACGCGCCATTAATTCCCGTCGCGAGAGCCGCATTCGTGCTCTGACTCGGGCTCGACGACACGGTTGCAGTAGCAATAGCAGAGCCAGAACCCAACGTTACCGAGGTCGTTCCCAACCCCCGCGTAGACGCAGAAACAGACACGGACCCATTATTCTCACCCGGCAACGCAGTCGCAAGAGCAGGATCCGGCGTGATAGCGCTCGCACTCTACTCACATCAGTCTTTGTCGCAACGGGGAAAAGAAAGGAACATACAACTAAATCGCAGCAACCCTCGCCGAAACACACAGTCCCCTCGGAACAGCAGAGCTGGTGCTTAGGGTTGTAGCAAACTTGGTCCGGGTAACTGCCATAGCACCATTTCAGGGACGGGTAAAGGCCGTTCTCGGAGCAGCATTCTTCATTGGTTTGCTGTGGTGTGCAGGTTGTGCCAGATGACGAGGCGGAGTCCGTGGGGAGGGGCAGGAGGCCGTCTGTGCCTGGTGTTCCGGTTCCCTTTTGGTCGTCAGTATGCGTAGTGACTTAGGAAAGGGCAGGGGTACCAGGGCGCCGCAACAGGAGTTATCTTTGGCTACGCAGAAAACTAGATCTGTTAGTACTCATAGGATATGTTGATGGAAGGGGGAAATATACAGCCTCCTTTGCAGCATTGCTGCGCCTTCTTTGGATTGATGCAGCCTGCATTGTCGCAGAGAATGTTTCCCGGGCCGTAGCAGTCAGAGCAGGTGTTTTTGGCGGTGCAGTTGCCGGTCGAGTCGCGAGCGAGGAGGGAGATGTGGCCGGGGAGGGGTTTGTGCAATACTGCGAGGGCAGTGCTGGCAAGGAGGAGAAGCAGCTTCATGTCTTTCATGAAGTAATAACTTGATAACAGTTGTTGGGCTGGATGGATGCTTACTGACTGGAGACTTGACTTATATATGAATATGAGCATAACTTGGCTAGGGACATAGCCTAGTGTGTGTTAGAGAAGGATTGCCATGGTTCTGGCTAAGCCTAGCTCTATTATAATATCTATTCAATCTTAATATAACTGGTCACATTCTATTTTAGGTTACAATGGTCAAGTTTAACTAGTGTAAAATACTAGGTTAAAGACTAGTACATAATCCTAGAGTTTATATACACAATGGATCATTAAAACTTCAAAGTACGACTGGTAGTGTGCCAGAACTAAATGACTATGGCTGTGACTTTTTTACGGTCCACAGTTCAGATGTTATCAAGTGAATGTTTGACGTATAGCTGCAGTTAAACAACTATTGCAACTCGGCCTAATCCATACTATCAATAAATCCATGTTATACGATGGACGGAAGTTCCATATTCTCCCGTAAATAACCAGCCTCAATGAGGGATGCAAAGTCTGCAGTCTGTTGGTAAACTGCAAACAGATCCGCGAGCCCTTTGTCTCCAGCTACGCCTTCCCCGACTGTATAGTTTCCTCGAACCAGGTCTCTTTTTTCATGGCCGCAGCAAACGGGCGGGATGATACAGGAGACGGGGGCGGTTTCCAGGTTACCGTTGAAGGCCGACACACAGAATTCGAAGTTCCAATTTCCTGGGAACAGGAAGCCGAATTCGTATGATGTCTTCGTCGTTGTACCTTCTAGCTTCTGCGCCGTATTGTCCCTTACACTTCTGGAATAAACGCTGTAGCCTGAAGTGCCGGATACCGCGTTCCACTCGAGTCGAATAGTGGTTGCGTCGATCGTGTGCACACGCAGCCCACTGGGCGGCGCAGGCGCCCCCTGTCCAGCAATCACTTCTCGTCCGGCTGCGGGTAAACCGCCAACTATGGCAGATGTCCTGGTCAAACTCCCGATCATACCGACGTAAGTAGCTACCCATATGCCGTAGCGGTGACCAGGCTTCAAACCCTTGACAACGTAGCTTGTGTCTATGGTGGGAAATGTCTCGAGAAAGGCGCCCTCTGTGTCTCTGTCCCATACAAGGACGCCGTATCGATTCACGTAGTAGCCCGTGACCGCGTCCCACCGCACGAGGACATCATTCCCTTGAGGGTGAACGATAACGTTGGACGGCCCCGGAGCTGTGGCAACCATGGCCGTCGCTGAGCTGAAGTCCGACCAGTCTGACCTCACATCGTTGTCACCTTTGGTGCGGACTTGGTATTCCCACGTCTGGCCGTTAATCACCCATGGCTGCCAGCTGCCGTGAGTGGACGGGTAGACGAGGCCCTCGGACCACCAGCCTGGCGCCCCCTTCACCCTGGCACGGATCTCGTATCCTCGACTATTCTCAACGGGGTCCCAGGTGGTGAACAAGCCCTCCGGATACGAGACTGTCCGCACATTGACCGGCTTGCTCACCGGTCTGGGATCTACCGTGGCGGGGACTTGGAATTCGATGCCGTTATACCCAAAGTCTCTCTGCAGGACTCGGGCAAAGGCCTGGGCGAGATGGTACTCGCCCAGAATATTGGGGTGTAATCCATCCCACCCGTCGGGACAGCCCCCCGGGCGACAGTTGTAAGCGGTATTAATGTCGACGTAAGCAATCGGAGACTCCCACCGGAACCAGTTTGGAAGAGTATCCCGCAGGAGGATGTTATACTTGTTCGTCATGTCGACCAGGTCCTGGCGGCCTTTGATAAACGAGCGATGGGGGACGTTCCCCACAAGAAGCTTGATGTCTGGCTTGGCCTCGCGTGCTGCCTGGACGAGACTTCCCATGGCGCCAATCAGGTCCTCGGGCCCGTTCACCCACCAGCCCAGGTCGTTGAAGCCTAGCAGGATCAGGAGATAGTCCGGCTTGTATTCGGAGACCCAGCCCTTGATGGTGTTTTTGGACTGTTCGGCTTGACGACCCCAAAAGGCAGCATGGCCGCTGTCGCGGAAGCTTTCAGCTACGCCTGGGGCATACGAACCGCGGATCTCAACGGCTGGCGGTGGCTTCTCATCTGGGAATAAGGGGCCTTGAGGCTGAGAATCGGAGATCGGCCTGTTCCCAAATGTTCCCTTCCAGGGTCCGACGAACTGGTGTATGTATCCGTTTTTATCCACTAGGTCAGAGGAGAGTGCTCCGTTAGTTTCCGACTATAGCTTATTCATTGCACTGTGATTTGACACTCACACCATTGGCTGAGACGGTATCTCCACGTCCAGTCGTCCTCCATTCCATGTGATATCGAGTCTCCCACCACCATAAACTTTGCCTGCTCGTTGGGGAGTACGACATAGCCATCGGAAGCGTCATCAATGCAAGGAATCGCGCAGTCGCCGCCCCAAACAACACCGCCTTGGGGGAACTGGTCCGTCACCCCCGACAAGCACAAGCCCAGGCAATCCTCTCCGTGGGAGTATTGGCAAGCTGAGACGCGGCCCTGGGATTCTAAAGGGGCTGTTAGAGAGCCATCAGATCAAGGAACCGTCCACGGAACTCACGCCATGTATTGAGAACGATTTGAAAGCCTCTGTGGTAGAAGATATACTGAGGATTGCACAGCCCCTCGATGCCACACTTCTCTGTGCCTGGAATACCACTCCAGGCAACCCTGTCCGTTGCCGTAAACTGCACACTGTAGAGACCAATAGCAGGATCACCCTGAGCACCCTCGAAGAAATGGAGCGGCGGAGCAGTGTGCTCAGGGTCATTCCATCCGACACTGCAAGTGGGGGCTGCGGTTAGCACATTCTGGGCCAGGGTAAAGAACAACATGCCATACATTGCTGTAAGCCACTACTAATCACTCACTTTTTGTATACCTCGGATGTGGGATTACCATGGCCTTTTCCATAAGTTCGGAACGCTTCGTTCCCCCCGCCCTGAGTGCGGAAAGTCGCGCGGCAGTTTTCCTTGCTCGTCCAAATGATGTCGTCCGATGTAAAAAGGTCCAGTAATTGGTCGGTAATTTTTTCGATAGTCTTGAGACCGAACATGGATGCGACAAAAACTCCGAGGAGTCCAAAGGCCTGGTATGCGCGTTTGTCATGCTGGCCATGCTCGGTGAGGTTCGTCGACCGCTCTACAGGGAGCGCCTCGCCCGTGTTCAACATCCTAATCACCTCATCGTGCATTGCATGCAGTCCTGAGAGACGCGCAGGGTCAGTGATCGGTTTGCCACCCAAAGGGCCAGTGGAGCTGCCCCATTCTTGAGGTATAGCCGAAGAGACTTGAGCCAGCGGCGAAAGAGCTAGAAGCAGGTTGAGGAATCTCATATTGTGATGACAGCACGAAGCTATACTGTTTGGCTACAGCACACACCATCAACAATGGACCCTCCATCTCAACGGGCAGTTCCCCCTTTATATGCGTGACCCCTGAGCTGACATGCTGGCAGGTCCAACCTCAGCTAAAGGGGAGCTGAAAACAGTCATGAGCAGCCAAGCCTCTAGACTCATCTATCATATTCAACTCCTTGGCCCTTGCTAGTGCTTATCGTTTCCCCTAACCCCAATACCCACGTCTTGCGCAGGGCATAAGCAGGAGTACTCAACTTATAGTGGGATCTCAGAAAAAATTGAAAGGACATGACCACTGAATGGTTGGAACGGTGCCAAGCACTCCTCGGCGTGCATCTAGTAGAATTCAGCCAAGACCTCATTCCGCCCCCAAATACCAGATTTCTTGCAGACATCCAGTGGGGGTTCGATAAGTGTGTTGGTTTGTGATATCCACTTGCATTAGCAATCGTACTGTAGTATGTGCTTGGTCAGCAAATGCCAGCGTGACCAAGAGGTAAGCATGGAGGTCAGTGCCTAAACTGGAGTCTGTTTCTAACATATGTCAGACTGTGAGCCCATTCAACTGACTTATTAGATTACTCACTGAATGACAATCCGTATACCAATCACAAAGTAGACCCCTAGTAATTCATAACCCGTATCGTCTTATACCTGCTTTCTCCGCTTCAACTCCAGCAGCCGATGAACCGCCAAATCATGGACCACTTTATTCGCCAGCTTCTCAAAATCCACCTCGCCGTCCCCACACTCATCCACAGCCGACTGAAGAGCCTCGCACTCCCAGCAGAGACAAATATGATAGTCCATGCCAAAATAGTCTCTGAACAGCAACGAGGTCTCGTCTGACTGCGTCCGCAGCACCCCCGCCGGGATAGTATCGTCGTGGTTGATGAACCTGCCCGCCCGTTTCTTCATACTGGCTTTGTACATGCTCGCCGAGCATTGATGGGTATGCCACACCAGGTCGATGTCCAGTGTTGGAACAAGGGTCGTGCCCGGGCGAAGTTTGAATAGCTGCAAGAAGTAGTCGTAGCGGGTGATTGCTCTGGACAGCGTCCCGTGGACGCCAGGACTGCGGATCCAGAGGTATCCGACCATCTTGTCGACGAAGACGCGTTGGCGCTCGATTGCGTCGAATAGGTAGGCTCCGTATGGGCCCGGGTGGGCGGCTGCATGGCAGGATGCAATGAAGGCGCTGTGTGGTAGCTGCTCTTTCTTCTCCTGACAGAGACTGTCCAGCTTGTTTAGGTAGAGGCGATGATCAGGGGACGAGTCCCGGTAAGCGAGTAGAAGAGAGGTATAAGGCTCAGGCTTTGGACTCAGAAGGTAGGCCAGCAAGTCTGCTTCCTGGCCAGTCAGGCTTGTAAAGTTCTGCGTTGCGTCGGAGGGCAGACTGAAACTCCAGTCTTTGTCATTGATGCATTCGTGCTAAACAGTCAGCTTGGACTAAAAGGCGAAGGAATGGCTTACAATCTGCCTCCATGGGAATACCACCCGCCGCATATGCTTGATCCCACTGTTCTTGCAGTACTTCCTGAACCATGCCGGGTTCAACAGGGCAGAATGCCACGCGATGAGCACATCTAATCATTAGCTGTTGCTCTGGAATAGATGAACGACATACCTAGTGGAGGACAGGTCGGTAACTCAAGGACTTCATTCTTATTCGATGCTAACATCTCATCCATCTTCCTCAACCAGAGAAAGAATCGGGCGACTCCCAGCTTGACATAAAACGGCCATTTGACCTGCCGTTTCTGCGCAAACCTAGGATCCTTTACCTCGATCCTTTTCCGGGAGTACCGTTGTTGCACTGTCCGCTTCTCCGGCTTAATGTCGAGGATCGCGTCCAGGTCCTTTGAATTGAGGACTTCCCGGCGGATATGGTTGATCGCCTGCAACAGTTCCAAGTGCGCGGCACATTGAGCCACGTTTGGGAGGGATGTAACATCAGTCGACAGAATTGAATCCTTGAATATTCTCGGATCAGGAACTTGTACATCTTCATTGATATCGCGAAAATTATACTTTCGAGCTCTGTCAGACGCCAACAGCGCATTGAAAGACCCGGCGTTGCTGTGCAGCTCAGTTTGCGATGCAGTGCATAGGACGGCCATTTTGACTGTGATGTGCAAGACCGAAATTTACTGGTTCCGTGTCCACTCTTAAGTATTCAACGGTAGATGCCTGCTCAGATTGATCGAACGGTCAGTCGACACATTGAGCCTCGCCAAGCGTGGGGCGCAGCTTGCCAATCATTTGATGTGCTTGAACCCGCCTTGGTGCCCCGAATACGAGCATCAGAGCCTCCAGGCTTCGATAAGCACACGTGAACTGCAACGGGCGCAAGGCTGATTGTCCGTGTTGCCTGAATACTTGGATCAGGTGCATCAGAACAGGTTATATAAAGTCATACCCATCCTCTCATTCAATAACCACATTACGCACCCAGCTCATACTTAACTAATGTCGCGACTGTCCCGGTTATTCGACAAGGCTAAACAGACTCAACCCGTTACCTCGGCAAGCTCAGACGACCCTGCCTGGACTGAAGTCGGCAATGCCGCCGATCACCTTCTAGCAGAGCTTGAATCTCTCTACTGGACTGGGCTCAACCAAGAGCTGGACTGCATTGTTTCCACTCTACGACAATGGCAGCAACCCCAGTTCCAGCATATCCGCCCCGACGCAGACAATACACTGGTCAACGGCTTTGACACCTTCATCGCCAATCTCGTCCCGCAGTCCGCGCAGACACCTCCAAAACTACCATCCCAAGCATCTGCTAGGCTCAACGTCAAAGGGTGCGTGGTGAGGAGCGCACAAGTCCGCGCGATGGAGCTGGCAGCAGCAAAGACCAGGACGAAGGTGAATGTCGATGTACATGAACGCCTGTTACAGCGTCCTGTCGAGACAGATGCCGCTAAGCGACGAGCACGGCTACTTCTCCAAGCCGCTGGATTCTTGGATATTGAGAAGACCATCGAGCATTCACCGGCAGCAAATACTCCGAGTCCTCTCACCCCGCAGCTACGAATGACCTAGAAAGGGTTCAAAGGGTGTCCGGCCATTTCAACCCTCCCTTGCAGTAGATGCAAGCGCGTCATCCGGGGGAGTATGTATCAAGCCACTGGTAAGTCCACCCAGACAGTCTGCGAAGATTGCTACTGGGAGCACCATTACGGAGATCCTGCGTACATCAAACAATACAAGCATTCCATTGCGTCTCAGGTAGACGACTACATCAGTAAGCATACTTCCTGCCGTTCCTGTCGCAAAAATTCGAATGAAATTCGACGACCATCTGGGCTGCAGGGCAAAACAGGGGTGCATATGCTGGCCGACGCAAAGTACTTGAGCGTCAAGGAAGCACAGAATAGATCAGGTCTTTCAAGTCGACCTACTCCCTTGGCGAAGGTAATTCACAATGATTACAATAGTCGGTCCGGAATCTACTCTGCCGCTTCGAGGTCTGGCAAGATGCGTCTGATGGGGGACGAGTGGTTGTACAATGATTTTGTGCAGGAGAACCCATGGAAGAACATCCGTGTGGCCGTTCGAGTTGGACCACTGGTATTTGAGAACGGCAGTAAAGAGTAAGTCTGCTCAGCCTGTGGGTGAAAGTGCTAATGATAGCAGGAGTCGAAATGGGGCCGGAATATCCCTGCGCGATCCGATTTTCGGACAAGAGCAACAAAAGGTTAACGGCACTTGCCTTGCCGTCTGTGGAGAAACTGAGAGGCAGCTATGGCGCTATGTCAGCCCTCTTCCCCAGAAGCGAAAGCGCTTCCAAGCGGTTCTGAAGCAAGTCATCGGGACTCCTTTCACCGGTTGGCCGTCGTCGCCGGCAGAGGATGAGATCCTTACGCTACTGGTGAAAGCGAGCAACGACGGCGTAGAGGGTGCATGCCAGGAACTGCACGACAAAGTCAAAGCGTTTCTCAGTCCATGGGTGTCGGTCTACTTCAAAAGCATTGTGGGAAGATTGCTAGACACCAAGACCAGACTCACATGGGACGGATTGACCAATAACTGCCAGCAATTCTGTAACTCGCTGATCGACTGGGAAGTCTTTGGACCACTTGTCGCTTCGGCTTCAGTCACTATCTCAGACAACAACCCTCCGCAGCCACTTTACTGCATGAGCTTCGTCTGTCGCCCTCGCGCAACACAGGATCCGTTTAACCACCCAAAAAGCATCACCAACGTCCCATACGGACTGACAGAGGAGTATATCCGCCGCTTTCACTTTGGGTGCTACACCGGCCCCGACCTAATTGATTCCCTGCACGAGTACTGGTACGACTGGGCCGGATTCAACAAACACCTCTATCCCCATCAATCCCTCTTCCCCTGGGACTGCACCGAAGCACTCCACCGCTACCCCGTCAAATGCGGCACATGCACACTCTCCAAACACGTCTGGGCCTTCCCCTTCGACTCCTGGTCAATCATCGCCCTGCACCTATCCAGAGACAAATGCGCCTATCCCCCGTCCGAGCGGAGGCCAAATCCCCCCGGCGAAGCATCATGGATAACCAACCGCCTCACCCTCCTCACTGCACTGGACACCCTCTCCGCCGGCGCAACAGCCATGTCGCAGAGCCTGCCCTTCCAGTCCGCAACGCAATGGCTCCATCTCCAATCCGACCCATCATCCGATCGAATCAAGCTCGGCGGTATCAACCGCGCACAACCATACAGCCACGCCCTGGAGCAGCGCACGCACGACGACTTCTTCGTGGCGAAGTGGGTTTCAGATGATAGGTCTCTCATTCAGACCTACGAGGACATGCGGGAGAAGCGGTACTTACCGCGGACAATCCAGGAACGGGAACTGGTGTTCTGGGGCGCGGAGGGGAGCGATCCGCCGGGGGAGTATCCAACCTGGGCGGTGGAGTACACCCGTATCCCGAATGCGAACTTTTCGGTGTCTGTCAGTTTCACTACTGGGTGTGGAGCTTGTGGGACGCAGGCCACTGCGTCTGCTTGTGGTGCGAACTGTGGTGCGAGCTGTGGGAGTTGTGGTGGAGGCGGGGGCGGGGGCTGCGGTAGCGGAGATAGCGGAGGCAGCGGGGGTGGAGGAGGAGGAAGCGGAGGAGGAGGAAGCGGAGGAGGAGGAAGCGGAGGAGGAGGGGGAGGAAGTGGAGGAGGCTGTGGCGGAGGCTGCGGAGGAGGCAGCGGAGGTGGAGGAGGAGGAAGTGGAGGAGGTTGATATGCTGATGTTGGTATGTCTGGAGAGTTGCAATGTCCCTCCTCAGCAACATCTCATAGGAATGGTCATCGTGTAAATTCAAAGTCGCTCGGATTGACTGTTATCAGCTACCATGGGTGTAATGAGACACGGAAATGAGGCGAAGCAGAGGATTCAAGTATGATTTACTTATTGCAGGTTGCTGTGTCTTTGTAGCATGTAGTACTTTGGAACAGTGTCACATCCATAAGTCTTAGATATAGGGGCGTTCCCACTCTCGTCTAGTCTCCTGCATTGTGCTCTATATGCTTATGGAACAGTAAGATCACCATAGTCTTCTGACTCTATGACTAGCTTCATATCTTGCCAGACCTCGCTGCATAGTATACACGCCATCAATGCACAGTGTCAGCTACCTGAATATTCCCTGGATTTCAGTACAGTCTCCAAATTTTCCTGATATTGCCATAAATATAAAATAGGAATATGATCTAACCTACATAGACTTTTGCTGGTCGAAGAATCCCAACAAAATGTAGGCAATATTGGACAGCAACGACTACAGCACCACCTTTGCTAATATTGGGGACATGGATGTCAGCCCCTGAATACATGATATTTACGTGTGCCTTTACTGGGAAGTTCAGAACTAGCTATTGACCTATATGTGGTGGTCAAGCCAGGATCGTGTTCCTTACCATTTCTCGATTACGACAAGGTTTACGAAGGATCACGATGCTACAACACTAAGCTGAAGGGCTCTTGGTTGCTGGAGATTATATTAGTGACCGGCTCACTGCTGTGATAGTTTGCGAGTTTCACAGACACTTGGCGTACCCTTCAAGGTGGGAATATATATCTCTCTCTGTCACCTTAGCAACTTGTACTCCATGACCAAGCAAGTATTATCCAACAACTTAAATTAATTGAAACCAGATCTTGTAACAAATTCATCGCGCTACATTGTTACAATCCACTCATCTGTATGGCGGATATATTCGCCCATTCCTTATTTCGATGGCCCTGGAGATTAGTGGCACTCATATCTGACGCGACAGAATAGCCTGTAGATCTATTTCGCAAACACGACACTTGTGGAGGGCTCGGAAAAGTCTGGTCTTCTCGTTGCTGAGCTATCTTAAATATGAGGTGTTAACATTTGAGGGATGGAAACCCTGCATATTGGTACTATTCCGCATGGTTATCAAGTTGTAAGCTCATGAAACCTGGTTCACTCTGGTACAGATAAGGAAGCCCCTTTTTCTGCTAGGGCTTCTCGTGAGTATACTCAATACAGATTGTGATAGACATCCTGTCAGAAGAGAATGGAATAGCTTGACAGGAACAGCAGCATCAGACGTGACTTGGCACAGGCGACTCTAGAACCAGATCGCTGATGTAGATTACATAAATCATCTTCCTTAGCTTATTTCCCATCATCACGCAAATGTAGAAAGTATACATAATCGGCCGTACAATCATGATTTCTTGTTTAGTAGCCGGTTCGTCACAGCGACTTCTAGAAGCATGCAATGCCCCGTCTCAGACATCGTCCCTGTCCAGAACAGTAATTGTGACTCTGGTCATTAGGGACAATATCCGACCTTGTCACTTGACTATATATCAAAAGGCTTGGCCCATAGCTCCGCCCTTCAGTGAGCCTTAACCTAACACATCGCTTGGATATGGTCATTCGTCTGCTTCTTGTAACTGCGACTCTGCTTATCACGAAGAGGCTGATATATCCGCTAGAATAATACCCTCCTATGGGTTGATAAGTTATATTTCACGGTTCTTGCGGGGAGGAGGTATCTGCCCCATTGTTAAAAGTCTCCTTTGATAGCTGTGCCGTTATACTACACAGTGTGGATACACATACACACACATATCTATAGGATAGACAGAGTCATAATGGTAGCTTCCATAATTCAGGAAAAATATTTTGGATATATATCGACCCGCAACATGGGGAATGTCATGCTCTCTCAAGGGTCTGGCTTCCTGCAAGGACAAGTCATGGACGTCGCCAACTCTTGCCGTTCTCGCCAAGCGAGCACTGGACTAGGTCATATGATGACCTTATTGATCCATGGTTGATGTGGGAATCAATCAATTAAGTTCATGGCGAGACACTGGCCCGATAGTCTCAAGCCCGAACTTTGTCGTTCCGATTGCGAAGATCGGAAGCGACAGTACGGGACAATAGACTAAAACTAGGGAGAAAAAGATACGATAGTGTGCCCTATGGTCTGATCTGTATTGCGGGTAGTTCGAGGTGCTGGTGTTGCGGGGCCCCGCAGTCGGAGGAATACGGCCATTCACATGCCCGACTGCACAGAAACAGGAAGATTCTCGGTGAATATTTCAAAGAAATTGTCGGAGTGTGTCCCGCTCCGCGAAGGCAAATGATCATTCTCGAAGCACTTTGGCAGTAGAGTTCAGCCACTAACGCCGAGACACGAGAAATGTTCCAATGGGAGAATTCTCGGCGGAAATGTTGGAGACAGACCAATCAGTTTCTCGGGACGGCGTTTTGACTATTGCCATTTCTCCGGGGCACAGTCGTATCCCCCCAGTCAGACTCAACAGAGACTGCGAGACAGACTGTCAACCCGGCCCGGCGTCGCAGAAACTGGGGGAAGCCGAACGATGGTCCCCTCTCAGGCCTCCCGCCCTCCCCCATGGGGATACACATTATCCACACCCACGGCCAGCTCTGCCCCGATCCACCTGGGAAACTCCCTCACCGGTTGTCTTGATGAGTAAAGTCGCCTTCATGGCTTTGGTTCTACTCTCTTGGCTGGATCTAGGCCTCGCGTGACGGACAGGGACTGGCAGGGCGACTGGCCGTCGTCGAGTCTACAACCTCCATCCCTCGCCAAGACTGCAGGGATTAGACTTCAGCCAAGGTGTTAGAAGCGAATATGGCTTGCTTATCGAATAAGATTCAACCAAGGAGATGGCTGTATGTTTTGCGGGCGGCGTCGATTGGTTTGCCCGATGCTGTAGTGTAACTGTCTCACTCGCTCCGGCACATAAAAGGCACCCCGTCTCCCCGCCATACCGGCATTATCTCTCCTCCAGTCGACACCTCTTCTCCATCTGCTCATAATAATACTTGCACAATGGGGTTCATGCTCAAGAAGCCAGAAGGCGTGCCAGGAAAGTCCTGGCCGGCCATTGTCATCGGTCTTTTCGTCGCCTTTGGAGGTGTTCTCTTCGGGTAGGTTCCTTCACTCGCCATTCCTCTTGCAATGATCTCTTCTGACCGATCTAGATATGACACAGGAACAATCAGCGGCATTCTTGCCATGCCCTACTGGCAAGCCCTCTTCTCCACCGGCTACCGTGACGCCACCGGACACCTCAATATTACCTCCTCTCAGTCTGCCGCCATCGTCTCCATCCTCTCTGCTGGTACATTCTTCGGTGCTCTGGGTGCTGCTCCCATGGGTGACCGGATCGGTCGTCGGTGGGGTCTGATTGCTTCGGCCCAGGTGTTTAACCTGGGAGTCGTCCTGCAGACTGCCGCCACGGGTATCCCCCTCTTCCTTGCTGGTCGCTTCTTTGCCGGTCTCGGAGTTGGTTTGATCTCTGCTTTGAGTATGTCTTCTCCCACTGCCTTACAGAACCCTGCTAATGGACAGTCCCTCTTTACCAATCTGAAACTGCCCCCAAGTGGATCCGAGGCACTATCGTCGGTGCCTACCAGCTCTCCATCACCATCGGTCTCCTGCTGGCCTCGATCGTCAACAACTCAACCCAACACCGCATGGACACCGGCAGCTACCGGATCCCCATCGCTGTCCAGTTTGCCTGGTCCATCATTCTTGTCGGCGGTATGCTGATCCTCCCTGACACGCCCCGGTACATGATCAAGAGTGGCAACATCGATGGCGCCGCCAAAGCCCTCGGCCGTCTCCGCCGCCTCCCTGCCGATGACCCGGCCGTCCGCGAGGAACTGGCCGAGATTCAGGCCAACCACGAGTACGAGCTTAGTCTCGGCAAATCCACCTACCTCGACTGCTTCAAGGGCAACTTGCTCAAGCGGCTCCTGACCGGCTGCGGCCTGCAGGCCCTGCAGCAGCTCACTGGCATCAACTTCATTTTCTACTACGGCACCCAGTTCTTCAAGAACTCCGGCTTCAAGAACTCCTTCACCATCAGTCTGATCACCAACTGCGTCAACGTCGGCTCCACCTTCCCCGGCCTCTACGCCATCGAGAAATGGGGCCGCCGCCCCGTCCTCTTCTGGGGCGCCGTCGGCATGTGCGTCTCGCAGTTCATCGTCGCCATCCTCGGCACCACCACCACCGGGCAGGACGCCGACGGCGTCATCATCGTCCACAACGAACCCGCCCAAAAGGCCGCCATCGCCTTCATCTGCTTCTACATCTTCTTCTTCGCCTCCACCTGGGGCCCCAGCGCCTGGGTCGTCACCGGCGAGATCTTCCCCCTCAAGATCCGCGCCAAGTCCCTCTCCATGACCACCGCCACCAACTGGCTGCTCAACTGGGCCATCGCCTACTCCACCCCGTATCTGGTCGACTACGGCCCGGGCAACGCCAACCTGCAGTCCAAGATCTTCTTCGTCTGGGGCGGCTGCTGCTTCCTGTGCATCTCGTTTGTGTACTTCTTGATCTACGAGACCAAGGGTCTTACCCTCGAGCAGGTGGATGAGCTGTACGCCGAGGTGAGCAGTGCCCGGCTGAGCAAGCACTGGACTCCCACCATTACCTTCCGCGAGATGCAACAGGAGAAGGCCCGGGATGCGCATTTGGAGACTGCTGAAGAGGCTGTTCCTAAGACGGCATGATGTGATACACGCTCTTGGTTATGTTGTGATGTGGAAGTGATGTAGTATATAATACGATTGTTGACGTCTATCCTGTGATAGATGGCCAACCAACCTAGATGAAGAATTCATATGTTTAATGCAGGACAGCAAGAAAGGTATAATAAAACACCAGGTTCCGCGTCGAAAGCCGTTGTGGCAAGGCTCCAAGATATCCCAACATGGTAAGAAGGAAAAGGCACATCTGAGGTCAAAATATAGCGCCCTAATGCGCAGTTGCGTGCTATATAAGTATTGTAGAGGTCAAGACCAGTGGTAGTCTATTGAAGCGTGTAACCAAGACATGTTAGACCATCTAGAAAGACTGTCAGTCATCAAATGGCCATGATTCTTCCCACGCAACCCTTTCCATTTCAGAATGTGCCAGCCGATCAATCGGCTCCGCCTTCGCTCGCTTCAAGAGCCTTTTCACTGCATCATATTGCTCCGGCCGTACAACTCCTTTGTCCGGCCACAGCTGGCCTAGCGATTGCCTCAGGTTTTGCATTAACTCCATACCTCTGATTGCGCCAGAAACATCTTCATTAATTAAAGAAACCTCATCTGCTGAGAACTGTAAAGGGAATGGCGGATAGCCAGCGGCCTGCACGGCTGGGAGGGTTGTCCACTCCTTTTCAAGATCAAGGCATCTGGATTGATATAGTGCCTCCCCATCTATAAGAAGATATGGCTGGCGAGCATGATCAAAAAGTGGTAATATTTCAGTTGACTGCCAATCTATGATGCCTAGTACCTCCGCTGGCCTTTCAGGGTGAACGAAGATATTCTCAGCATGAAGGTCAGGGTGCCATAGAAATGCGGACCTGATTGATTTATCTGTTGGTAGAAGATATTTCACAAGACGAAGGTAGTTTTGAAGAGCCGCTATCTTTTTAGAACGAGAGCGACAGTACGTGCCGGGGCCATATAGTGACAAGAAAGCCCGAGGTAATTAGGTCATATTCTGCACACAAACAATCTCCCGAAGGCCAACTGCAGACTTGTATTGCTCTGCACTACTCCCTAAAATAATTATGTAAGCAGATACCCTCAAAATGGCAGAATATGAAGCCATATAAGGGCCTCTGTCAAAGTCCTACGCTATCCTACCATCATCCAGGAATTCTCGGTCTGTTGACGGGCCAACAGCAAACCCTTGGTTTTTAGTTACTGACCCATCCCCCTTCACGAGGTCACATCTGTCAGTATTGTTAGTATCAGATGAGTAGTATACACTGCTGTATTGAGTGAAAGATATCGACATCCAGGCTTTTTGATATCCTGAAATTGTCTTCACGAGTTCAAATCTCTCCTTGATACACATCTCTGGCCAGACTTTACTGAGTTGGACGCCAGCAGCTTTTTCCATTATAATATATTCTGCGCCAACCAAGTTGTCTTCTGCTTTAGAGCTCCAAGCTCACACTTTGGGTACCGGGGTGCGTAGTTCATTTCTAACCTAGGTAGGCTATACTATTGTTCAAAAGTCTATGAGGATGCTTTCCTTTCCTCTTTCAGCCATTGCTACTTTAAGAGGGTGAGCTAGGTAAGTTAGGTGATTTACTCACGCCTTTAAGGTGATTCCTTTATCTATCTATAGTGATTTACTTAGCTCTTTAATACTAATACTTACCCTTCCTCTATATATTAATACCAGTCTTCTAGCTGCTTTACTTAGCATTAATACTATATTAACTAGGAGACTGGGAATATAGCCCTAAGAAGTTAGGGTCCCTGTATGCCCCCTAATAAAAGGCATAAAGACATCCTACCTATCCTCCTTAACTTCTCTTCTACTTCTTTTATCTTAATATCTTATATTACTTTAAAATCTGCTGCCTATTCCTTTTCTTAACCCTGCTATAAATACTATTCCCTACTAAAAACTATTTTTCCCCCTTTATATTACACTGTCTCTGTGCCATAGAAATACCTAAAGAAAGATAAAAGACTAATAGACTAGCTGTTACCTAAGCTAATAGCTATATTTAGGGAGTAAATTAAGAAAAAGACTAATATTACTATAAGACCTTCTATTTAGATAAATCAAAGATTCTCTAGGAATAAGTACTATTAGATTATATTATATTAGTACTATCTATACTTCTCTATTATATATGTCACGGGCCAGTGCCCGATATTGGTCACGTGTATCACGAGACCTTGGCTTGTTGACATGGAGAACGCGTAGGGAGAACCTCTCTTCTTCAAGCTTTTTGTACACAGTTTGTGGCCTAGTTAGATTGAATTTAAGTCTTGCTTCAGCCCTTCACAATATACTTATTTACCTTACTGAATCTTTATGTTACGGCACACTTGCAGTCGGCACAGAATGGTTGGATGAGGCTTACGAGAAAGGCAGTGCAATCTGACGTACAATCAGGCTCAAGACCAGGAGACGGTTAAGTCACGTGATGACGGTCCCTAATGCCAAGGAAAGATAACGGTCCATAAGGGACCGTGACTACATAATGCCACCATGGACCTTGGGAGAACGGTCCATAATGGGACCTCACAACAGCTTTAGGGGATGGACCGGAAAGGAGGAACTATATAAAGACACTCATTACCACTGTATCTAGGACTCTTAGTTTAGTTCCTCGCGTTCAATATTAATAACTTACTTGAGTACAAGTTCACTAGTCCGATTCGTCAGCTACTCTCTTACTATTAAGGATACGTCCTTAATAGGCCTTGCTTCTATCTTTACTGTTCATTGACCTTGTGTTACCTTTGGATTGTCCTTGATCCCAGGTTGGATCATTGTATCGTCACATCAGACATATACCCGGTTGGTATATTGACGGCTACCTGATCGGTAGGCCTCAGGCAAGTATCGGATATAGTCCAGGGACTATATCACCCCTTCCCAAAGTAGTTGACTAGCAGAAGAACAGCAGAGACGGATCCCAGGGTGTGACACTTTATCTCTTAAATATATAGGTGGGCATCCTAAGAGGATAAAAATCTCTGAGAAGGGGGCCTTTGTGAAGGATAGCCTGTGCTAGACCTAACTATAATTAAGGATTTTATATAATTTCATATTTTCTCTTATATAGAATGATCTCTCTGCGCCATATAAAGTTATCTATACTAAATTTCACTAAGTAGTTTTTTATAGGCTTTATATATCTTACTAAGTCTACTTTTAATAAGAAGGATGCTCAGGACATTTATAAGGTTTATAAATTTATATTAAAGGACTTTCTGCAGATACTGACTACAAAAAGTAGATTTTAAAATTACTTATTAAAGATAATATTATTAAGGATATAAGAAGGGTGAAGCATATATTTATATACTATAATCTTAGGAATATTCTTATCTCCCTTTAGAAGGATGATAATCCTGTTTTCATCTATCTAAGATACAGGGTTTAGTTGACTTTTATAATCCTAATCTATTACTACTCTGGAGCTTAGATTAGCATATTTATACCTAATATATTAAAGAAAGACTAGTGTAGGCTCTGATATAAAGTATTTTATAACATCTGCTAGCTAAGTTCTGTTTATTCTAATATGCCATAAAACATTGAACTTTATATATATTATAGAATAGATAGTAAGATTAAACTTCTCTTCTATCTCAGTAAGATATGGGTTAAGAATAATAATAATCCTAAGAATATAGTGTATATCACTAGCACCCTATAAAGTCTTTTAAAGCTAATATCATATATTTAGTTTTATATCATAATGAGAAAGCATGGTAAGTTATAATTTAACCCTGTGCCTTGGCTCTTAGAAATAGCAGTTTAGGATAGGGCTTTTTAATTTATTAGAAACTTTGAAAAACTGGAATCTAGATAATAATGAGCTAATTCTCCTTCTATAAAGACCATCTGTGGCTAGGGAACCTGTGTTATTGTAAGCAGGCCGGAGGTTGACTGCTCAAGGAGGTCCCTAGCCAGCAAGGTATTATTAACTAGGCTATGAGTTGCTGCTATGATTACAGAGTTCCCAGGGAGTATAGATTTACTAAGAAAAATGTATATATTATAATAATTAGAATAAACTACTTAGTTCTCCTTAAGCTATTTATTTACCTCTATTTCTACTTTATATATATACAGCTTAGGGAAACTATTATCTATATAAGGTACTAGCCCATACTAGTAGCTTACTAGAGGTTTAGTATATAATAACTCTTTAGGAAAGGTTTATCCTAAACTATACTAGTCCTAAAGCATCTATCAGAATATAATTAGAGTTGCATTTGGTCTGAGTTTAGGTGAGTCCAACTATGGTTGGAACTTGGAACCGAACCGCTGCAATTTCTAGTCCAAATTTTAGAAATTAGAACCAAACCTGACCCGTTCTAATTTGGTTCGAGTTTAACCGCAAAAAACTGCCACTAGGCCTAGATAGGCCTAGAAAGGCCTATTTAGGCCCATACTAACTAACCATGGTTAGATTTGGTTTGATTTGGTTCGAGTTTAACCACTATCATTCGGTGAATTTTAACTGTTTTGAAATTTCAAATAATCATTAACGACTATACTATCTACCATACTATCACTATACCTCCCTATTTCACCCAGCAAGACCGGAAACAGTTTAAGGCAAGAACTCTCTACATTAATTAGAATTATACTGGTTCCCCACCACCAGGTTTCCTTAACTTACGGAGCTGGACTCTCCGATTTTTCTGCCCATTAACCCTTAACTTGGGATACCCGCGTTTTATCTTACCATTTTCGTTCTTATCACCTATCTCTGCTTCATCATCGTCATTCCCTTGTTTCCGGAAGTGGTTGACGATTTGACCCTTTATCTTCTTACGGTCAATATAAACGATCAAAAGCAGAGCAATTACGTAGGTCCCAAGGCCAACTGTAACGCTTGAGATTACGAAATTGGTGACAAGCCGCGTACTGACCCCGTCTTCAGTGATCGGTGTGCTAAAAATTGCCTGTTTGAAGTCAATGGACAAGGGCTCAAGCACGCCGGAAAAAGACTTCTTACAGCTACAAAGCTAAGGGGCAGATATAAGATGGTCATAATGGTGAAGACCATGATATATCTGTTCATATTTGTGGACTTGGACGCTTCTCGAAGGGATGTGGCATTAAAGAGCTGTTCAGCTTATTAGCGTTCATTATTACTGATTTAGTCTTCATTTGAAAATGTGCACTTACCCCGTCGCGAAGGCTCCTGATGTCTTCTGTCTGGTTGTATATTCGTTGAAGTAACCGATCTGATGTCTCCTCAAAGCGAGTCATGATTTGCTCCCATGCTGCAGCTGCAGGACTTTCAATATTGTCAAGTGGAATCCTCAAATGGAAGAGACCCAAGTCAGCTAAAGCCTGAAGATCGGAGCCTGTGTCTCGGATTGTCTGTGCGAAGATCCGGAGATGTTGTAAAATGGTAAAATAGAAGTCGGATCGCGCAAATGAGCTGTCGAACATCAGATCTTCACGCATCTGACGATTGCGTAGATCGGTAACCTATGCAGTCGGGTTATTAATGAATTCAAGTTTTGGGTCGTACACTTCATAACTGACCTGGAGTCGCACGCAATTATCGATCTCGTCAAGTAGAGAGCTCCACTTCCTTTGCCACTCCTTCTGGATCATTTTGTCAATGGCAAACATAAAAATCTTGAGACCAGGTATGAAATTTCCTGTCCAGTCCGCGGTGAAGGACTGGCTTGAAAGATTCATATCAGTCTCAGGGAGTCTGCCGTCCTCAAGGATAACTAATTTCGTGCAAGGAAGGTTAACTTCCATCGTAATTATGCATAGGGAGGCACGGCCTTCTATGAAATTGATATATTTTCCGGAGGGGGTGTGTATAGTCCCACGTTCACGCTCAATGCGAAGACCTGGACGGGGACCCCTCATGCTGAACATCGGGTCTTGAGCGCTTTCCTCAGGATAAAAGAAACGAATATGATGCTGAAGAATGCGACAGTAACTCCGGCTGGGGGCACTCGATGAGGCCCACCTAGCTTCTTCAGGCCTGAACTTTATTAAAGTCCAAGGTGCAGTGAAACGCCGAAGAAACTGAAAAGTAGAGGGGTTAGGTGGTATCAACTCTGTTGTTGTCGGAGTATGAAGCATTGCTAAGATATGTGCTGCACACTTGAAATCTAGGGTCTTGTAGCGCCGAAACTCAGAAAGTTGCCTATACATATTCCTATCAGATACGCAAGAGCTGCTATTAACGACTCTGACTCACCAAACTTGAGTTTTCACTGGGGGTAAATCCCACGATGGCAGATACACGTTGTAAGAGATGTGGAGATTGTCTGCCGGCTGGCCCGCTGAAACAGAAAAGGACAGGTTTTCGCGATTTTGGCTGCTCAGAAGGATGCGTGATGTATGTTGTAATAGCCATTCGCCCTTTTTGCTGCGGTTATCTTCGTAGTAGAGTGATACGGAAGCAGCACAAACACTGCTATCCCGGAAATCCCATGTGACTCGCTGCCACTTTATATTGTCAGAGTAACTCTGTAAGGCGACAGTGACACCCGAAACACTAGCCAGCCACTTCTCTTTGGCCTTTTGTAGCAACGTTGCTTTCACTATAGGAACCTCAATCGGCCGAGAATCGCCACGTTCTATTGTGTTTACTTCCACTCCTGTTCTCGTAGGGCTTTTGTGAGTCTGTGGAGTCGGATTGAGAACCACTGCGAGTCCGCTGAAAACATCAGGATTGCGGCAGTAGTCAGACCAAGTGTCATTCTTCCTCTTGAGATCAATCAGCTCGGTTGAACCCCCCAAAATTGCTAAAAAATACCGGGAAATGCTTTCCAAATGTTCTCCAGTCAGGTGCGGTAAATCATGAAGTCCTTGTGGCATTCCCTCCAGTCTTGAATTCAACTCGTATTCCCTCCACACTCTTTCTTGCCTTTGAAGATCCTTCTCCTTGTCCGCCGCGTGCTCCTGTGCTTGAAGCCGAGCGAGGCCAAGCTTAATACACTTATTCAACTCCCTCATCTCAAAAACCAGATCGGTGAGTTCTGGTTGAGCGGCGTCCGGCTCCCATCCTCCATCAAAGATAGACCGCTCCGAATCTTGGTAACTGATTGCATCGTGATGGTCGACAGATGCTTCGCATTCCTCATGTTCGGACTTGGCGACAGCCGACATACTCGGTAAATCCTAATAATTCCCAGATAGTCACAAGGGAGTTCCAATTTCGTCCCGGGAGCTTTCTTTTGATTCCATGGTACCTGGCTATCAGGAGCTTCCTTACCATGGAATGGTGTCGCTTATATATTAGCAGTCCATCCCGAGTCTGACTGAGCTGGCGATAAGCATGACGGGAGCTGTGGTCGCAACTGTGATGCATTTGGCAAAGGACTCTAACTTAATTGGGTTTAAAAAGGAAGATCCGCCAATAGGCAGATGACAAGTCAGCAAAAAAAAAGGCGAGGGTGTTTGGTGCCCCGTCATCATTGGTCAACTGGGTACAGGGAGGGTAGGGGGCTGTGGGGCTCCACAGGCAGATGAGTAAACTTCGTGTATCCGCTGGGAAATATGCTCTCGCCTTGTGATGGAGGGTGTCACCCGCGCGGCAAGTGAGTTAGGACGCATTAGACTCCCAGCCAACAGGAGAACTATGAGGTAAAATTAGCATGAACAGCATGAAAAGAAGCAGCTGTGAGATTGAATGTTTAATCCACTCACCGTCCCTGCAGCCTGACTCTATTGTGGACACATCAAACACTTCCCTCAGTGGCGCTCCAACTAGGCCTGGACACACTACTGTCCAGGAATCATATCTTGAAGAACTATCTCCTAGCCCTCTACTGCATTACGATCATTGAGTGAGGCGGATTGTGCACCAACTTATGGAAGCACGGACCAAAGTGAACCATGAAACTGTCTCTGCCGCTACTGTGGTTGAGTCGCAGCGAGGTCGCACAGGAGCTCGTGCGGGTTGTGAGGGAGGCAGGTGGGGGTGCTGAAGTCACAAAGGTTGCGGAGGCCGTGCAGATGGTAGTGGATTACTTGGTACTGGCGATTAAGGGGGTAGCAGAGGACCCATCCTATGGGAAAGGAATGCCAGGGGTCCTAGTGTGGACGTTCAGGGAAGTGCTGCCGGATATCAAAAGGCACCAGAAGGAGCAGCACAGTTCGTTAAAGATGTAACTGCTTCTCTTGAGAAAGAACTGGAGGATGCAAAAGATACTGCGTGGAAGCCATTCCAGGGGACAGCAGAGGACGCAGTATTAAAAGCCAGGAATGTGGTGGGGGTCATCACCAGCCTGGTAGCGCGTATCAAGACATTAGCAGTGGCGGAAGGACAAGTCATAATCAATAACGCAGTAGAGCAGGTTGACAAAGTAATGCAGACGGCAGTGCAGGATGCAACATGGGCTATCAAGCATAAAGCAACAGAGAAGGCACAGGACTCCGCACAGGATGTTAAGGAAGCAGTGCACTAGGCGGTACAAAATGTCAAGAATGCAGAACAGGAGGTTCAGAAGGCAGTCCAGGATGCAGTACCAGATATCAAACAGACAGCAAAGAGGAAAGTAGAACGGGCTGCAAATGCTATGGCGTGGCAGGAACAAAGGGGAGGAGCAGAGCCGAATGAAGACGATGTTAAGAAGGCCGCGCAGGATGCAGTGCAAGGGGCAGTGCAAGATGCAACACAGTCAATTCAGACTATCGCAGATGCGGTATCATGCTGATTTTCAGACCACGTGTTTGAAAGCATCATCCCTTGAGTTTCCTCAATGCACTCTATCAACAAGTATCCAGCCTCACTCACACCATCCAGAGAGGGATTTGATTATGTTTAGACAGCGAACATAGTACAATAGGACTGGCAAACCCAGCCATTGCAGTAATCAACAGCAGATGGACTGAAAACAACAGCTAAAGAAAGGAATGTATTCAATTCAAGTATACTAAAGTGTAAGGATTAGCCATCAGGTATTTACCAAGAATATATAGTTTCATATAGTTTCACCAGTTGACATAGCAAAGCCATACAGTCATAGGATTAGAACATCTGGACAGTTCTATTAGAGCCATGCATAAGCACCAGCTTCGCATTAGATTTTTTCATCCCCATTTCCAGGCCGGAAACCCTCACCAACGCGATACAGGAGAGGAAATTAGAGTATAACACATTATCCCGGCTGCTATCATGACTTCTACTTATCAATAGTAACAGGGACACAAACATTAAAGCTGCCGCGGAACCAGTCCTCTATGTTTGTAACATGGCACATATCAGCTAATTTAATACCCAGATGATAAAAATAACAGCTTTCATCTACTCTTGTCTATCATTAAGATAGGAGAAGAAGCAGCACTGCTGATCAAGATATCCTAGCTAATAAAGGATGTTTACTTCCCGTTCCTTGGCAAGGGAGTAAGTAATTTCTTCTTTAAGGAGTCAACACATTTCCATTATGATAACAAGGTAGGCCGAAGTCCTGCTAAGTTATGTTTATATCACTTTACATTTATAGGTTGATGAATAAATAGATAGTAATGCTGGGGGGAGCCCAGCCCCTGACAAGTCTAGAAAAAGGGAGCCGCAAAGCGAGGCTACCAGTCTTATCATAGATGAGTTGGCCTTCTTTAGGGCGGACAAGCATTTCGCCGAAATTTTGCCATGACAAGGCTGGGTACAGATGCCCATTTCAATCATCATGGAAGGATTCTACTGATACGCTCCATCTTCAAGCATATGTACTGAGACACGGCACAAATTTGGACTGAGTCAGATTATCTGTTTTTCCCAGTCCAAGCGTCTCTCACTGTAGGTAAGGCAGTAGTAGCTCGATTCAGGTTCCAATTTAGCCTCCCACTTATTGCGACAAACAGGACATCTGTATCACTTAGATACTTCCAAAGCTTTAAGGTCAAAATGCACATCCAATGTCCGCGAAATATGATCCACAAGTCTTCGGCAAGAACCACAGGGCTTCAAGCTAATAATAATTTGGCCGAACCAATTCCTCTCTTAAAGCATAAATAGTTGAGGAAAGTCGTCCTGTACTGTTTCGCCATCATGGTAGTCTCTGAATAAGTAGTTACGACGAATGAAGAAGCACATTAGCTGGGCTTCGGCATGAGAGTCGTAATAACTGCCCAGTAAGTGTCTATCATAGATGCTGCAAGGATCGAATTTGAACCCAATTAAACATCCAAATTCAAGGACTGCAGGCACCCAGTATGCGGCATCGAGCATATGGAACCCAGCTTCAGGAAGTGCAAGCTCATTGGCACCGGCTCCTGACCAGCCACTTCTAGCTCCGACCACAGGCCTCGCTGAGGAAGAGATATATTTGGCATGCGCGGAAAGATATATAGATCCCTTATTTGCAAACCTGAAATACCTGTGCGTCTTGACTGAACATGGAATGCTATTCTTGAGGAAGCTAATTTTAGAACTGTTCCACAAGTTTCAAATCATGAAGACCTGAAGTATTCATGGCAGTGCTGCCCTAGGCAGGATAGACAACCATGTGACTTGCAGTTGCTGTTTCCATGTCAATCACCCATCAACCCAACCTTCAATGATTCTTGCTTCCATTTCCATCGATGTGAAGAGAAGCTGTTGGACACCAAGGCCATATGAACATATTATGCAACATAGATAAAGTCAACAAGATACAAAGTCTAGAAAGACGTGATGTTATTGCTTCCCTCTTCGAAACACTGCCCATCAAACCCAGTTAACGAATATGGACGCCTGCTGGCCAAGGAAAGCCATATCTGCATAGGGTGAGTCGTTACCATAGCTACGTAGATGAATAGATTGGCCACATAACCCATATAGCTAATCAAATACGTCTGTTCTCTAGATTGAGTCACACCTCGTATTCACGCAGCCGAGGCCAATGATTTTTAAGACTCGAAAGCCAGCTGGAACAATCCAGGGAACCGTTGACTCTGGGGTTCCCAACCACCACTCAACGATTAAATATAAACCTCTGAAGATACGAGCTGCCGATAAATAGTCAACTGTCCCCCCGCATCCAAACACAAGCAATATCAACCACAATGTCAGATCAAAAATCCTACACCGCAAGCTGCCACTGCGGCGCCGTCAAACTCTCCTTCTCTACCTCCCCTCCAATCGAAGAAACGGACGTCGTCTCATGCAACTGTACAATTCCCTCTCTTCCAATCATCACCTCGGCTGACAGACCCAGGCTCCATCTGCCATATCAACGGCTACATGCTCACCTACGTCCCTACCTCAAAGATAACGTTTGAGATGGACAAGGATGCAGTAACGGTATAGCCTCCATTCTTGGCGCCTGTAAGGTGGACTAATACAGGCAGGAATACCGTTTCGCATCACGCAATTATCCGCATTACTTCTGTCGGACCTGTGGGACGAGCGTGTATGCTCAGTCCGCCCTTCCTGGTGAGGAGCAGCCTACGGCGATTAATGTAAGTGTATTCCTGGCCGCGATGGGAGGCATTGCTGAGTCTGTAGGTACGCGCGATTCATGGGGTTGATATTAAAGCGTTGAAGGTTTATGAGCACGATGGGAAGAACATGTAATTTTGGGTCATATTTTCAAGCATATCGTTTATCATGGTTATTTGGACGCGGATCGTGGTTTGTTTATGGTAAGGGGAAGAGATGGGTGTTCTGTGGCGTGGACGAGTTATTCATGGGAGTTTGCTAATTATTCAACGATGAGCTATCATATCATATTGCTACTCGTAATTCTTCTCATCCGTCATAAACTCCTCGTCATTCAGATATCTGAACCGCCACCAGAAGACAACAGTCTGCACAGCCAACGCAATACCCGGCGCGGCCCAGATCCAAATCAGCCACGGGTCCCTCGTCGCCGGAATCAGTATCTCTCCCAGCGCACTGGAGAGCGCATTCATAAACAGAAACACAGCCATGACTAGGCCGCGCATACTCGGCGGCGCGCGCGAATACGCCAGCCCATACGCCGTCACATTGCAGAAACACTCCGACAGCGCACCCAGCACCGTGTTCGGGATCTGCCACCAGATGCTCAGTGGGCTGACGCCGTCGCAAGTTGAGGCCTGGTAGCCGCAAGGTGAGGTCTCGTACACGTGCCACTGGACTATCGCTCCGATTACGCTGGAGATGGTTGCGAGGAGGAATCCGAACGCGATCCGGCTTGCGGGGCCGAAGGAGATCCTGTAACGCGCGAGAGTGGGGTAGACGACGTGGCTGAGGAGTGGAATCGTGACAATGATTGTCAAGGCGCTGAAATTGTTGAGGAGATCGTTGGGGGCGCCGTTGGTAGTCATCGAGGCACCTTGATTAGTGGAGACGGAGCCGATGCCGCCGTCGTTCAGGATCCAGAGGGGGAAGTAGAAGAAGACTTCAGTGGCCACTGTGCGACTCTGATTGTTAGAGTAGTTTGTGAAAGGGCTAGGAGTTGACTCACCTAACGTCCGTCGAACATCGTCCACAAGCTTATCGTCCCAATCTACCTCGATCCCCTCCGCGGCGAGCGCGCTAGGCTTGGCGACGTCAAAGAAATTCTTCTTCCAAACGCGGTATTTGTTGCGTCGGAGAGCGGTCGAGATAATCTTCGCGGCCTTGGTAAGATCAGAACTGCCGCTCGGGGGCTGCTTGTACGTCCTCTTATAGACCAACGCCAACACAACCGGGAGGAGGAAGTATATCGCTCCAGCCAGCACCCACGACAACCAAAACCCAACATATTTCTCCGCGTATGCAGTGGGAAGCATATAGAATGCCCCAACATTCACGAACCCATAGAATATCAGCATCGTCCGCGTGGTGGTCAACTCCGGATCGACAATGACTTTCTCTCCTGTCTTCAGAACCTTAGTGTACTGCTTCTTCTGGCGATTCTGGTCGAGGATCGTGGGTGCGATGTTGGGCTTGAAGATCCCGGCCCCAAGCGCCAGAAGGAGAAGGCCGATTATAAACGGAGGGGCAGCGTGCGCTGGGCCTTTTTGAAGGATGGAGGGTATGGCGCCGATGATCTGGATTATATGTGCGATACCGCATATTGCTACGCCAACGCAGATTGCCTTGTACCGGCCCACATAGACGTCGGCCCACCTATGCTGTCAGAAGAGTTTACCAAATGAGGATCAACTTACCATCCGCCGAGAATAGGCAGGACATAAGCCAAGAAGGCAAACAGGAGGACTAGTCCTGAGCTAGCCTGCAGGCCCATCCCCAAAGCACCGGCCGTCTCCTGTGTTCCCCTCGGGGGAGCGCCGGCTCCATTTCCACCTGCCTTCAGTTAGCTTTTGTTATTAAGATTAACACGGGGAGTATACCCTTTGGAAGAGGAAATTGGATGAAATTCGAAAAGATATTCTTGGCGCCATAGTAGGATGCACGCTCCGCGAATTCGACAATACACAGCGAGAACGACACCAGAGGGAGGGACGCGGGGACTTTGCGCAGGGAGGTCTTTTCTTCTTCCGTGGGAATAGGGTAGTCGTCTGTTTCGGTAGATGTGGCTGTGATTTCGTAGTCATGCTTTTCGAGGCCGCCTTTGGCGTTGATCGAACCGGAGGTTATCGTGTTGCCGGTAATGGAATCACCTGGTGGAGCTGGTATTGTCAGTATAGCTAGGCAACGGGTCGGACGAACATACACATCTTGATGTGCGATGAGACTGGTTGACGGTTCCAGACGAGGAGAAGGATGGTTTCCTTTTATCGACGCTCGCCTGGTCGCGCCATCGAGATCTGTTCTTTGCGTTTTGGCAAAGGACGGACTCCGTCGGTAACATGGTCATGCAACATGCACTGGCATTTAGCCAGGAAGCGACAAGTGAGGTTCATTGGACACAACCATTTGAGGGATGTGTATGCAATGTAACCTCGGGCGCGATTTGTTGCTTAGCCGTGCTTATCGGGGATAGGCTGCAAGCTGAAGCACCTTGATCAATTCGAGTCCACTATCACGCCATCAGGTTTATCCGGTATTTGTTCTGTCAACAAGCTAGCATCTCAGTTTACCCTGTGTAAGGATTGCTGGTCCTGGAACCTTCTGGATGCTTTCGCCATTTCTTTGTGTCAGTGCTTCATCGTGTATGTCAAACGTGAAATCGCCGAGTTGGTAGGAGAAAACGTGTACCCACGTGTCACGAAAGATTTAGGCACTATATGAGGCCAGTTCTGGATAAAATACTTATGTACAACTCCTTGCGTTGACCTCGTGGCGATTCAAGGTTAAGAGGAAAAGAACTACTGTGGTTCAGAGATCAAATATATCGGCTAACTTCCCAGGGACCTAATTTGATCAATAAACATACTGGGCCGTACGATGTTCATAAGGCTGGAATGACACCTTGAGGATGGTGCTCAATACCAATAACGTGAGCCTATTGAGAATAGTTAGTTTCCACACATACTACACTGTTGAGAAACTTGACGTATTGTGGTCCCTGGTAGAAAGTCGCCAGCCCCTAGATTCTTGAGTGTGCAAAATCAGCATGGCGCTGTGTCGGAGTTGCTCTTCATGATTGCATGTACGCTCTTATCTCCTGATCCTGGGTTGTCCATAGGGACTGCCACCGATGTTGCTCACGTCAGCTAGGCCTGCTACCAGAGCTACATACAGCTTTCGTTGCGTGAGTCTAGATATAGGACCAGATGGCATAGCTGCGTTTATAATTTGGGCAATTGTGCATATGTTCCATTACTATTTGGATGAATGTTGGTTATGGCGAAAGAAAACAAAGGAAAGAAATGAAAGAGAAGAAAAGAGGAGGATAAATACTCCTTCTTATCTCCTAGCTTTGCTCAACGAACATTCACCATCGTTCAGCACATCCCCTAAAAGGGCATGGTAAGGCCATATCAAACAAAACAGCCAAATCTGCGGCCTGGCGGAGAAAAAGTCCGTTGATTCGAGGCCATGTGGCCACTGGATCAAAGGCAGTTGTAAGTCGCCAGCATCCAGCGCAGCTAGGAACCGGAAGTGAAGGGACATGACGCTCCCGCTACTGGTAATGGGTAATGATGAGAAATAATTAGGTAATTCTCAGGTGTGATTGGGCAAGTCGTGTAAATTAATCAGTCTCGTTCACTGGAAAGTCCTTGTCCATTCACCAGTGCGGAAAGTGACAGTCAATCGTCTCCATGTTCTATGGGAGCACCGATCGCCCGGCCACCGCGATAACCGCGTTTGGTTTTCTTTGACCAGGGTCGAGTGTATCCGGTATTGCGAGTGTAATGCGGTTTCGTACGGGCAAGAAATGTGAGGCTAGTCAAGGGAAAGGTGGGTAATAGTGTCGTCTGGACTCAATCAGACTGCGGATCCGTGTTTTCTCTCTAGTCTGGGTCAAAATGCCTCATGGACCGTTCCTAGCCGGGTTCGAGTAAGACAGACAACTGGGATAGCAAAATGCCCAGAACCCTGCCCAAAGATAGCTCCCGGAAATATTGAATATCGCCCTGTCATATTCAGTCCTCATAGGTCCACACTTTCGCAGGGCTGGCCTGAATTTTGACTAAGCGCTGGCGTCGGTTCTCGACGGTGGGTCATTCAGTTCTTGAGCTCAATTCACTATTCCATATTCTCCTGTAACAGATTTTAAGATTTGTCCTTCATGCGGGGTTTGCGGCGAGCTCTATCCGTAACCCCAGTCCATCCGGCAACATACCGGCGTAGGAACGAGCGAAGAAAGAGCTACCCCGCATTCCCTGCTTGATAAACTGAATGAAAGTCTACACCATTTCAATCTTGTTACTTTGCAGCAACGCCAGCACAGCCTTTATAAATCAACATGCAAAGATATACAACCACACGCCGTACACAATTCTCGAGCTGCGATGAATGTCGCCGGTTGCGAGTGAGGTGTGACGCCACGAGCCGAAGCAATGATGCCGAAGGGTCGCTGGACCCCTGCACCCGATGTCTGAAGCGACATAAAGAATGCACGTTTAAGGTATCCCTATCTCAGGATTAGCAGCAAAAATGCCAATTTACTGACGGCCAGCCTCCTCGTCGTAGTGGATAAGCGATATGAGGCTACGAGGGCCGAAGAGACGATTCATGGCCGGAAGGAATATTGTTCGCCACCAATCAGAATCTTCGACAGCGAGTAATAACACAACATCACAAGAAACTGGCCCTGAAAGCGTCTCAGTACTAGGCGAGACAACGAAACGCATGCTCAACACCCTTCCGTGGATAGCAGATGATGACAGTGGGGTTGTAGACCGCGTCCAGTTGCTGCCGCTGAGAAGCCATGCAGCACTAACGGCGTCGCCACTAGATGAATTGAGCCCGTTGGACTGCGATTTGCTTCGAGCCATTTATCGTGCAGGCTTTGATACAATCTTTAGCTCCAGGATGAGCAGATATGGCTGTCCGTTCCTGTAAGTTCACCATCATTACAGCACTTCTCCAAGGCGTCTCTGCCTAACGTATAATAGCTCTGAAAGTGGGGTCGGAGAGGACTACAACAGCATCTCGGATGTCTGTAAGAATCTGGATCGGTGGATGGCGGAGATGTCGCAACATAATCGGCAGCCGGCATGGAATGGTTCCACCCAAGAACAGGTCCTCGAAGATAGTTTTGAAGACGAGTCTCTTCGCAGCACCATTGCCGCTTTCTCAGCGAGGTGGTTACCTCTTGCCTCTCAATCTCGAGATGCGACCCTTGCTTACCAGGGCGTCATACTCGCGCTGTGGCGCCATGCGAGACGGGATATGCTCCGTGTGATCAACCGACCGTCTTACCAGTCAATGCTCGCACTCTTTCTGTTCGCCTTGACCCCGGTTCCAGCAGGAATTTCGGAGGAAGAAGAGGCTGATGGGATTTCTGGCCAAGCTTGTATTCATGCCGCCCTACAGCATATACAGACTCTTCGAGCTCGGCAGCGAAGCCTGCAGTTCAACGGCACCAGAGTTTCACAGCCCATGAAATCGACCGACGGCCCGCCCAACTTGGAGCTGAACAGGGCCACGGATTTTATTACCGCCGAGAACATAGCGTATTGGGCGGCACTGACCTTTGACACATCGGCCTCGCTCACCCTTAACTGCCGGCCTCTACTTTCCTCCGGTCTTTTTGGCTTTGAGGCCGAGTTACCGTGGCGTCTAGTCCGGGCTGGGGCAACTATATTTCAAACTAAGCTAGAGAACAAGCAGGCCCACGGCCACCACAATATGACGGATGAGCAGGCCAACCAGATCATAGCAAGTGGGATGGCATGGAAGCTTTTCGCGTGGAAATTAACTGCAGTCTTTAAGGAAGCGTTACGGGATGGTCATGATGAATCTGAGGTTCAAAGAGTATTTTCGTTGGTGGTCGGGGCAATACATCAGTTTAATACTATATACCGTCCTCCCTTGGAGGCGTGCCAAAGGCGCATGCCGTTCCTTGGGCAGCACACCAAGCTCCGATGGTGTGAGTGGCTACTCCCGAATTCCCCGGCGTATGCGTATTGAACTGACCTAATCATAGACTCGCTAATGCTCCACTATTACCTCAGCATATTGTTGCTGGCCAACATTATTGAGGCTACAGATCGCTTCGACTTGCTTGCTGATATAGAAGTGGCCTATGCGGACGCAGAGAGTGTGGTTGTGAACACTTTAATGTTCGGCCTTCAAAATACCGTCAAGTTGAGTGTAAAGGTGGAATCTAAATCGCACGATGATGTAGGAGTTACTCAGACGTCCATCATCGCTCCTTTCGTCTCCATAGACCCCTATCCGCACCATGTCGTCGCTGGTGTGCAGCTTGTTCAAAAGGCCGCCGACCGAGAGCTGGCGCGGGGGAAGATCAGCCAAGGTGCTCATGAAAACTTGCGAGCTGTTTTGGAGAGGACTTTGGGACATCTTCCGCAGAGTTCTAAATCGGTTAAAGCACTCAGGGATACATTCTCCAAGGGGCTGCAACGCGAAGGGGGAGAGCCGCCAATGCCGTACTCTGTTTAACATGTGCTATATACCGAGCTCTGCTGGGTGTTGTAGTAGTGGTTGTTGCTATATCGACAGAGCAGCCATGATCATTACCTCGGTCTAGTCAATGGTCCTCTCCCTATGGATAAGGTATATATGCTTGCGGCATCCATGCCAGCCCACTTGTGCTGTCTACAACTCGTGCGGATATTGAAAACATTCCTATCAGTGGGTTTTAATGTGGCTTTTGTTGAGATACAGACAAGTGGAGCTTAGTACGAAGTAGTATTGTAGGATATGTATGCTATCGAGTGGTGGGGTATCAAAATCCCTAGAGGTTCTCATGCACCTCGCAAATCCAGTGCATTCTGAAGGTCCGGTTGCGCGATTCATCGGTTCTGTCATTGGTATGATGGGAACTATTGAGCAAATAAAGCGGTAGCTGAAGAGGGACTTTGCAGGATTAGGCGCACAGAGTGGAATTGCCTTCCACTCGATGCCTGTAACCAACCAATCTCGGACGACATTGTCCACTACTTGGAATGTTCCATATTACATGTCTGTCATAATCCAATACATAATCATGTTGGAGCCGTATCCCAGCGTCAAGGCCCTTGCTCTCTCATCCAATCAGGGATCGAGAGAATCATGAAGACCACTGCGGACCCGCATTTGACGTCCAACTGTGGGTTACAGGATCTTAGCCGTGGCTAGTGAGCCATGACAATATCGGATCCGATGCGAGGCATTCCGTTTACCATGACCCTCGCTGGTACGGACATCGCGATATATATCGAAAATAATTATTTAATGTAGACACAGTCCAAGTCCTAATTGCCCAGCGGATACTGGGCTCCCCGATGACCTTGCTGGTCTGTGCGAATACACACCGCAGAGTGGTAGGCTTTAGCTCCACGAATAGTCTCAAAGGGAAGTACATGTTTCATGCTCCTGCCCGAATATTTACCATACATAGCGTCACAATTCTTTCCTACCAGTTTGTAGACAATGCCAAGGAAGAGTCGGCTATTGTTGGTTCTCCCTGCCAGTCTGCTGCCTTTTAGCCCGATGAAAGGACATGCCTAGTCGCTCTTGAATTCGTCCCAGAGAAGGACAGGTGGGAGCGGGACCGACCAGTACCGCAGATGGCATGGCCCCGTAATGCTCGGTTCGCTCCAGCAAACCAGCCACCGTCATCTCGCGCCCCAATCTTATCCCTTCCCTGCGTGAATAGACACAAAAGCTTAGCAAAGGGAAACGCTTCGTCCATGATTTTGGAGACTTTTATATTTTGGTTCTGATATGCTCAATTCGAGATACCCACTAAGCATACGGAGGCTGACTCCCAGTCCAGACACTCGTTGCGCACAACTCCTCTCATGCCAACAGGCAAGAGGCCAAGTATTCACGTATTCGCCGCTGAATGCGTCCGATACACAATCTGGTGACGGCACCGGGAATCCAATGGCAGGGATCGATTCAAGTGATGCATCGCTTTTCGCTAAGCAGGGGCTGGGGAAGCTGTGGAACAGGACCAGCTATGTTCAAATACAGTAGTGGCTACCACGAAGGCTGTCCGCACGGCACAGCCCCTACTAATGTCTTGAATGAAAAGTTTGATTGTCAGGAATCTTGCAAAGATACAGACACACCCAAACGTTGAGTTTTACGGGTCTCGAATCTTCGTCTGAACAGCCTTCCAGATGGCTTCAAGGACCCCCCTAGCTTGGGCCTGGTGGACGTCAGCTTAGGTACTTCAGGAGACGACAAACTTTGAATATATCCATCAGGTCATTGAAGAAATATAGACGATGTTCCCCTCTTGGTCCCCTCTTGGCCATACACTTTGGGAAGCTGGTCTGTCACAAGTCTTCTGACAATCGCATCGGAGCCGACAGATGATAGCTCTGTTCCTTGACAAGGCTTCAGAGATTCAGACGCAAGACCTGGCTAATAATGAGTCTAATGTACTATGAGAATTGGCTGACAACCGATGGTTACTGGGTCTTAATCGGAGCTCACTGTCGGTTACCCAGGATCCCAAGAGTTCCGTAAACTCTGTTGTCAATTGGTAGCCACAAACGACCCACAATACTGTAAACTTTTTCAGCTGCTGGATGTGCCATGTCTGGGGATTAGTTGCCAACGCGAAGAATTACGAGGGGAGAGCTTGGACCACCCTGCCGCCTTACGCGAAGTGAAGGGAAACTGAGTCGCTCGCTCCCACGCTTCTGGGATCCCTAGTGCGGGTATTATGCTCGTAATCCCTTTGAGTTTTAGTTCCACATTTGACAGACCCTCGCCGATCGGTTCCGAACAAGGACGTTGGGAACAATCTATAGATCGGGACGGTCGGATCCGGTATACTGGTCGGGAAGCGTAAGCTGGCTTTTGGGTGGTTCAATCGGTGGAAACTTTGGCTTGCCTTGAACCCTCCGTGCAGCCTGGCATGATTCATTGTTTAGGGTCGAGCCTTTGGCTTCCCCAGTGCTGTCGAAAGGCGGACAAGCAGAAATCGGTCTAAGGAGCTCTCAGTACTTAATGGCCGCGATGTTGGCCTTCTATTCCGCCCCATCATCCATTTCATTTGAACCAGTCAACCATGTCGCTCATGACGGATATCGATATCGAGAAGCCCAGCACGGTGACCGTCGAGCATGGAGATGGCCCTCCTCACGGCTCCGTTGTTGACAAGAAGCACGACAAGGCACCCGGGCCGGTGTACTCGGAGGAAATGGAGAAGCGCGTCCTCCGCAAGATGGACATTCGGCTGATCCCAATGCTGGCGACTCTCTATCTCCTCGCCTTCCTGGATCGTGGAAATATTGGGAATGCGAAGATCGAGGGGATGTTGGATGACTTGGGCATGAGTGGCCCTGAGTATAGTTGGTGCCGTATGGAATACCATCTATGAGCCCTAAATACAAGTCGAATGCTAATGCCGATAGTGACTGTCTTCTTCTTCACCTACGTCGCATTTGAATTGCCGAGTAATTTGATACTGAAGAGGCTCAGGCCCTCGCGATTGCTGCCTCTGCTGATGTTCGCATGGGGAATTGTCATGGTATTTCGTCCTTACTTGTAACCCTACATTCCACATTGTCGTGGCGACCCGAAAACCAAGAGCTCATATTTTGATCGAATAGACGTTGATGGGGATTGTCAAGAATTACCATGGGCTCTTGATCGCGCGTCTCTTCCTTGGGGTTGCCGGTGAGTTTGTGTTCTAGACGCCGATTGTCTAGGTTCCCGGTTCTGATAAGTCCCACTGTGAATACAGAGGCTGGCCTCTATCCAGGTATCGCATACTATATCACTCTCTGGTACCCCCGTCATCGCGCCCAATATCGTCAGGCACTCTTCTTCAGCGCGGCCAGCATTGCTGGAGCTTTCTCTGGACTCCTTGCCTACGGAATTGCTGTGAGTTTTGAGTCATGTCGGTCTTGTTATCTGCTAATGTTGTATAGAAAATGGATGGTGTTGGTGGTTATGCAGGGTGGCGCTGGATTTTCATCCTCGAAGGTATCCTTACAGTCCTGGTTGCGGCAGTCGCTCCTTTTGCCATGCACGATTTCCCTGAGACAGCAAAGTTCCTCACTGAAGAGGAGCGCCACTACGTAATTCACGTTCTGCGGGCTCAGTCTACTGGTGAGAATACGCTACCGGAAGGTGTTCTGAAAGAGGAAGAGCAGTTTCGTTTCAGCTATGTGATTGACGCCTTGACCGACTGGCAGATCTATGTTGGACTTTTCAGTATGAAACTACGCATTTGTGGCTCAATGTGTAGGGACGTCACTAATCTCAATTACAGTGTACTGGGGAATCACTTGTCCCTTATACGGGATCTCCTTTTTCCTGCCTTCAATCATCAAGGATCTTGGATACACCTCGTCAACCGCTCAGCTCCTCACAGTTCCCATTTACATTACCGCCGCTGGGGTTGCTGTTGGCGCTGCCTGGTTTTCTGATCGCCGCAAGCAGCGTTCTCCCTTCATCTTGTTTTTCATGTCTCTGATCGCCATTGGTTTCATCATCGTCATTTCTTCTACTGGTCGTGGAGTTCCCGGGATCGTCTATCTTGGTGTCTTCGTTGCTGTGGTTGGTAAGTCTGCAATCAACACCTTTTGACCGCGGATTACGTATTCTGACCCCACACTTCTTTCTAGGGATCTACCCTGCTTTTCCAGGTAACGTCACCTGGATTAGTGTCAATCTCGCCGGCGACTATAAGCGTGCGGCCGGAATGGCCCTGCACATTGGTCTGGGCAATTTCGCCGGGGGTATGGATCCTCAGTCCGGTTTCTCCCATGGTGATAACTGACAGCTCCTCTCTAGCAATGTCATCCAACTTTTACCGCTCAAAGGATGCACCCAACTACATCCTGGGCCATGCCTTGGAGCTGGGCTTCTGTATGATGGGCATCATCGCTGTCGTTATTCTGCGCCTGAACTATCAGCGCATCAACCGCAAGCGCGAGAGGCTTGATTTGTCTCAATATGATGTCTATCAGATGGTACGCAGAGGTGATCGTTCACCTATGTTCGAATACATGTTGTAGAACCGAGACTCAATTTTACCGGATGGAGGTAGTCAATGGCTCGCCTTGTATCGTTATATGTAAACTTATCTCCATGAATCGAGGTTAACGAGAACCTATCATTCAACTAAAAGCAAGATATTCTATACTAAAAAAATTATAGAACTGCCTCTGCTTTCTCCTATGCCGTACGATCATCCTATCGGGCTGTGACATCCGCTGTCGTGATTTAAACCGAGACTATCCTCTACCACTCTGCGAAATCCTCAAATTTCACATCCTAGGGAGGATGCAAGATTCTGATAAGGCAGGAGATTCTGGATTCCAGTGTGCTAGGAGTCTAGTATGTAAGATAGACGCATTTCCCTTTCCACTTGTGAGCATCTCCTTGAACAAGCTCTTCAAACATCCACTTTGCCAAGTCCAGCCGACTAATAGTCCATCCAATCTTGATACCCTGCTCCTCCTCATCTTGGTTCTTGAAGACCTCATCCTCCCAGATCCAACCTACTCGGACAGATTCACGCCCTTTCATTTTACCATGAGTCAACAGCGGCGGTCGTAGCATAACGTAGCCACCAAGAGGCGAATCAGCTTCCTTGGCTGCTTCACGTACAACCTTCTCCAAAACGGCAGTGTCCTCCTGGGCGATTGGCAGGAGCCACAAGTAAAGTGGAATCGATAGAAGAGGCTGGTCTCGCTGCGAGCCATGACCAACCGACGATATCGGTATGTATAGGGGCGAATTTGAGATTCCGCCTGTGGATCTCAGCTCACGGAGAGCATTAATCACTGCAATAGCAGTGTCTCCCGTGATGGTGGCATCCTGCATGCCAATTGGGCGGAATGGATTAATTGAGAATTTGGGAAGACTTGTAACACCACTGAAGATGAGTTCGGGATCGCTGCGAAGAAGCCTAACTACCGTCTTCACATCACGGGATGAACCTTCTGTGACGATGAGTTGCGTCTCGACAATCTCGTTAGATACGCCGAGATCTGACAAGGCCTTTCTGAGTTTGGATCCATCCCGGACGACTACAACGGTCTTTGTAAGTCAATGTATATAAACAATGGGCTGAGTGACTTACGGGCAGCGGCGCGATGGCCCGCCAGTAATGTCCATGCTAGCACATGACTCAGTGTAGCTCCGGTAGCGCCAACAAATGCCGCCTTAACACTCATCAGGATTATTAATTATATGAGAAGCCAGCTGAGGAACTTGGGATTTCTCTAACTTTCGGTTACATGTATTTTATATAGCAGACTCGGGGCGAGTTTAGACCGACGGAGAACCTTCAGCGGAGGGAAGTTGATCCGCTGTCCAAGATGGTTGGCCCACTTTCTGATACCGCTCCGTCCGCGGACCCCGAATATGTAAACTGTCAGCGTTCCTAAAGAAAGACTCAAGCTGGTTTACTTGCGCTTTGAGAGCTAATATATTTATGGGAAGGTTATACTGCAACTGTTCGGGAGTCAACGAACACTCATCTCCTGCCGTGCATTTACCGGTTGCGATTGTAATATACTATGTCACGAAACTTCATTGTTCTTTCTTCATAAAGAAAAGCAAAGTGTTATAGATTGGCAGTCCATGTTTACTTGACCTCCTTCTCGATAGTCATAGTACACGTTTTAGACACAAGATATTCTGCAACGGCGACATCCTTCCCAGACTCTTTACCGTAGCCTGACAACTTCATGCCTCCAAACGGAATCTCAGCAGCCGAGAAGTTACCGGTATTAAGACCGATCATGCCTGTTTCAAGATTCTCCAACATGCGCCAACAACGATCGATGTCCTTGGTAAAAACGTAACTTGCGAGGCCCATATCAGTGTCGTTGGCTAACTTTGTCACCTCCGCCTCTGTTCTGAACGAGTATACGGCGGCAATTGGAGCAAAGCTTTCCTCATGAGTGATTAGCATCGAGGAATTCATGCCGCGAATGATGGTAGGCTCGAAGAAGTATCCGCATCCAAATTCGCTGGCCACAGGAGCCTTCCCACCGTGAACCACTTTAGCACCTCGCTGGACGGCATCCTCCACTTGACGTCGGACCTTTTCCACTCCTCGAATGGTGGTCAGGGGACCCATAGTGACAGAATCCCGAGAACCGTGGCCAAGTTTGATACTTCTTGCGTGGCCAACCAACTTGGTGAGGAACTCTTCGTAGATCTCCTCCTGTACGTAAATCCGGTTCGCAGTGACGCAGGCTTGACCCGCATTGCGCCATTTAAGCGCCGTCAGCTGCGCAAGTGCCTGACATTGGTCTGCGTCCGAAAATATAATGAAAGGGCAATTACCACCAAGTTCCAGGGATAACTTTTTCAGGCCCTCAGCGCAGTGTTTGGCGATTATGCTTCCTATCTTGGTTGACCCAGTGAAAGAAACCTTCTGGACCAGTGGATGTTTGCATAGTGCTTCCGACAGCGAAGGGGTATTCTTGTTTGATGTTGTGACCACGTTCAGCACTCCGGGAGCGAACCCTGCCTTCACGGCCAGGTAAGCAAGGGTCAGCGCGGTCAAAGGGGTCTCCGGAGATGGTTTGGCGATCATAGTGCACCCTGCAGCGAGAGCTGCGCCCACTTTGCGCAGGATCATCCTATCGACATGTTTGTCAGATTCCTCGGTGAGCGCCAACGCATAGTTGCACATGGATGAATACTGACGCAACAGGAAAATTCCAGGGGACTAGAGCAACGCAGACTCCAATCGGCTGTTTTAAAACCAGTACTCGGCGATTTGGAGCGGATGGTATGCTAATATCACCACGGATTCTTTCTGCTTCTCCAGCAAACCACCATGTAAAGCCCGTTGCGTAGTCGATCTCGGCATAAGCTTCTACCAGTGGTTTTCCAGACTCGTAGCACAGAATGGTAGCCAGATCGTCACGGTTATCACAGATGAGTTCATGCCATTTCAGGAGCAGCTGGGCGCGGACCCTGGGATTTACAAGGCGGTACGATTGAAATGCCTTGTAGGACGACTGCACAACATCCTCAATATCCTCAACCGTGAGGTCTGGGCATGACGCGAAGACCTTGCCTGTTCCTGGATCTATATGCAGTCGCGTCAGATGGCATCAGAAAGAGGGGCAGAGCTTGATCATACCTTCAACATCGAATACTCCGCCTCCTTTGGCCTCAATACACGTGCCGTGAGAGTAGGCACGGGTGTGAAAGAGGGACGGGTCTCTTAACTGAGAATACATATACCTATCAGCGCATGGCATCCCAAAGCTTGAGACCTGAAGCGCTGTCCAGGTACACACACTTACCACAAAGGGCAGATTCTGGATATCGTTTTTCATCTTGGTATACTCCTTGAAGCGTCAAGGTCACGGAAATTGAGTGAACGATTGAGTCACTAACGTCTCCAACAACTCGTTGTAGCATAGCGATAATCAGATTCCTGCCGACTGGCATACTTATACTCAACAAGGTGTCACCAGAAATAAGCGCACGGAGTGGCTCCGAAATATTTGGGCCCATTCAGGATGCAGTGGGGTACTGTCGGGGTAGTTTTGGCTGGCAATTTCGTATGGAAGGCGCGAGGCGATGATACAAGGGATTCCGATGGATATGCTTTCAGTAGTTGATCCATATCTTTCCTAGGCCATTCGAAAAAGTTGTTGCTCGAGGCTTAAGACCTGTTCAGCTTTCCTATTCCGTCCGCACAAAAATAGACACAGAGTCAATCGCATGTTTAGCGTCTTAACAAAGAAGATCCTAACCTCCAGTACATCCCCGAGTTATGTGACCTAGAACCTAAGAAATCGCGGAGCCGTTGTCGTGGAGACATCTCTACATTGGAACCACTAGCAGACGGATCCGACGAATCTGGACGGCTCCGGTCTTTGCCAGCGAGAAGGGCCAGTGAGAAAACGGATCCGACCCGTACTTTGTCTAAGCCTCGCTACGGCGTTTGATCGACTGTATATTACGTGTGCGGGGTCATTTAGTAAAGCAGGGAAAGCGAACATAAGGGAACAGCGCAATATGCTTGCTCTCTTTTTGTCGGTTAAGAGCCGTTAGGATCGACGTTCGCCATAGGTCGAAAGTAGGCCAGGAAAACGACTAAATTTGAGAATTTGATTAAGTGGTTTCGGCTTTCTGCGCGCTCACTCAAGTCAGAGCAGAACAGGAGTTCCGTTCTGAAGAATTGCGTAAGGCCAAATTCTACTGGCCAGGATGCGACTTACGGTCTAGGTTATGGCTCGCAAAATTGTCCGATAATTGGGATGCTGACGTTGAATCGCTTCAGCTCGATGCCTTACAGACTAATGCAAATTGTATGGTCCTTCTCGGGATTTTGTCCGATGACACAGGCCCGATTCTGCATCTAATTCTACTGCCGTCCTGGAGTTTATTAAAGCGACCATCCTTCGCAACATCATCCTCTCATCGTGACAGCTCATTTATGAAAGGAAACTGGATATTATCAGATATGCAAGCCGTTATTTTCAAAGGCCCCCTCCAGGTTGCACTGGAGCAGCGCCCTATACCCGAGATTGTCGACCCTACCGATGTCATAGTCAAAGTCCAGTATACTGCTCTCTGCGGTAGGTGAGTTTGTCTACTTTGTTTACAGCCCTTTAACTTCGTCTACTGAGGTTCCCGAATGAACCAAAAGCGAGCTTCATGTTTTCCGCGGCCATCAACCCTCCGGATCCGAGTTTGTGATGGGCCACGAATTTACCGGTGAAGTCACAGCTGTAGGATGTCAAGTCCGGAGATTCCGTGTCGGTGATCGCGTCGTTTCCCCCTTCACCATCAGTTGCGGCAAATGTTTCTACTGCAGGCAGGGTTACTCGTCACGGTGTGCTTTATGCCTACTATACGGTACTGTGGCGTTGGATGGCGCCCAGGCCGACTATGTGCGAGTGCCTCTGGCGGATACTACTCTGATCGCCGCCCCAGCAGGTGTTGACGAAAAGAAACTTGTGTTGATGGCAGATATCCTTCCGACAGGCTTCTTCGCAGCTAAGAATGCCTTCGAGGACACAGTTAGTGGAGTGGCACAAGGCAGTACAGTCCTCCTGTTTGGATGCGGACCAGTGGGCATCTGTGCTCTGATCAGTGCACTTGAATACAAGCCGAAGCACCTTATTGCCATCGACAGCGTGCCGTCCCGATTGGAGCTCGCCCGGACGCTCGGGGCGGAGCCGTGGAATTTCCAAACTGATGGAGAGAGTCTGCGTAAAAGGGTGATGGACCTGACAGAGGGACGCGGAGCGGACATAGCTATCGAAGTAGTGGGACATAGCAGTGCGTTACGGATGGCGTTTGATCTTCTGCGACCTTGGGGACGCATCTCCAGCGTAGGGGTGCACAATGGCGAGATTCCTTGGACGGCCAATGAGGCGTATAATAAGAACCTCCAGATCCAGATGGGACGGTGTCCTGTTCGCAGTATTTTCGAGGATGCCCTCGCCCTGCTGATCAAGAAGCAGGATGCATTCAAGTAAGTTGTCCTTCTTTGATTTATCGAATCCCGGCTGGAAGGCTAAGCGGATAGCTTCATGGTGACCGATATCCGGCCTCTGTCGCAGGCGCTCCAGTCATACGACGATTTCAACCAGACCAAGACTCAGAAAGTCATATTCGAGGGAGGAAAATAACATGGTTCCTAGGAAGGTACCAGACCAAGACTCAGAAAGTCATATTCGAGGGAGGAAAATAACATGGTTCCTAGGAAGGTGCCAAACCAATCGCGCTTGGACTCGGCTGTTACTTTAAACTTTTCATGTTCCTGATCATGTTACAGGTGTGCTCCCATGCAATTTAATCAGTGGGCAAGGATTTTCGGTATGATATGCTGTCAGATTCGTGAACGCGGCAGTCTCAGTTGAAGCTCAATCTTGTGAATTTGTCCCACCGATGTTGCAAGATTGTTGGTGGAAGTACATGAACGTCCAAGTAGTGCTGAAATCAGATGTGTTGCAGCATTATTAAGACACCTATTGTCTCACGCTATCTGGAACAAGGATATCAGTATATCAGTTTTCCTCTGTCAAGCACAAAGTGTCCGTGTATTGCCAGATAAGGAGTTAATTTAAAAACTGGGGAAGTCTCAGATACATCTGCATACATGCAATAGGAAGAGAGTGAAGCCCCTAGTTTGCAAGAGCTATATCGTCTGTAAAACAGGCTGGCATCTTCTCACTGCAGATGGCACAAGAATTCGAGCATGAGCATACGGCGTGGCCAGTCTTCTTTCGTCTGTTGGTTGATATGCAGGCTCATATCCCAAGTACGGCCCTCCCAGATCATCTGCCTAATTTTAGAAGCTCCTTGTTCAACAGCAACGACTGAGGCTGACAATAAACCTGTGACGGATGTCCAGTTGTTTCTCGCCAGTTTTGTTTTTGAGGAGTCCGCGTGAAGGGGCCGAGATGGCTCGCGCAAGCATGGCAGTAGCCGCGGTACTGAACCAGTTTCTGAAACTGGAGTTGCAAGATTCGCAATCAATGGCCAACCTGATCAAAGCTAGAGCACTCAATGGACGATGCCATGCGGGGTCCCGTGAGCAGCCACAGTATGGGGTACTAACATTGTCACCACCTTACAGCAGGCCTCACTAGAAAGCCGAGTGAAGGGCGTCTTCTCAGCCAAGATTATCATCTCCCCCGTGCACAATACCTGTTTCACCAGCTTGGTCAAATTGTCGGATCCGACATCCAGTGATGATCGCTTCCGACTTGCATTTGTTCCTAGGGGCTAGTTCGTAGTTTCCCCAGAGAATAAAAACCTCCGTGGGCTATCGTTGAGTCCGCAGACATTTGGAGACGATTCCGCGGAGAGGACGTTTATACTTGTCGTCAGAGCTTTGATCCCAAGGGAAGAATTACCATTTCAGGCTGTTTTCTGGATGGTGAAGTATATGTATCCGTCCTCTGGTCCTGCGGCTCTCTTTTCTGCTTCCAACTTCGCCACACAGAGTTCGCTTGCCGTCCACCTGCCTATGCAATTCACCCATACCCCTCCCTTGCTGATCTGAGACTTCTTGCGTAAAGCAGGTGACCATGCCTGGCATCGTTCGTTACCTAGCAGTCGCTGGTTTCGCAGGCACTACATTAGCTGCTCCACTTGAGGCGTATAATATCGATCCGAGCTCTGTGTCCGTCTCGGGGCTCTCAAGCGGTGGCTATATGGCGGTACAGCTTGGTGTTGCCTACTCCGGTACCTTCCAGGCGGGTTTTGGTGTTTTTGCCGGTGGTCCATATGATTGTGCTCGCAACCAATATGTAAGCCAGCTGCTTCTCGACAATTCACCTATACCAGAATATCTATACCAGATGAACTAACAGTATAATCCTCCGGGGTTCCCCCCGAATTTAGTACACCAATTGCATGTACAATCTGAATCCGTCCATCACCACACCCACTGCGAACATGAAATCCTGGAGCGGGAATCAAATTGACCCGATCAGCAACTTGATGTCCCGCAGGATCTATATGCAAGTTGGCTTAGCTGATACTACGATCGGCCCCAATGTGATGGGCAGGCTGAAGTCACAGTTGTCAAATTTTGGTACCTCGTCTTACATGACGTATATCACCACGTCAGGTGCTGGGCATACCTTTCCGACTGACTTTGACGCATCGGGTGATAGCCAGTGCAGCGACTCTTCTTCACCTTACATTAGCAACTGCGGCTATGACGGGGCTGGAGCGGTCCTACAATGGATGTATGGTGCCTTGAGTGCTCGTAATACGGGTCCATTAACAGGCGATGTTATCCCATACAGCCAGACTTACTCGTATGGTGCAAATGGAATGGCTACTACAGGCTATCTTTATGTTCCAGCTGCCTGCAAGGACGGTTCAACTGTTTGCAAACTGCATGTGGCGCTTCATGGTTGTCTCCAGAGCTATGGCCAGATCGGTTCCAAATTCATCAATAACACAGGGTATAACAACTGGGCTGGTATGGGACACCTCCAATACGTACATTCGTCCGTCTCACCTGCTAACAATCTTCATGTGGAATCTTACAGATACAAACGACATAATTATTCTCTACCCTCAAGCAACTACTGACAGTTCGCTACACACAGTCTGGAACGGTGCTGTACTCTCGAACTCTAACGCCTGCTGGGACTGGCTCGGTTGGTACGGTAATAATGCTGACCAAAAGGGAGGTGAGTGGTCGCGTGTCTCCGCTGTCAGCGTTATCAAAGCGATATTAACGTGAGGATCCTCTTCTTTAAGGAGCCCAGATGACTGCAATCGTGAATCAAGTCAGACGGATCTTGAGTGACAATTAAGGTCCAAGAAAACCACCGCCCACGCCTCAGCCTCACGGAATGCATCTGTAGCTAAGCCTTGTCCCTTTGTCAGGGTCTGAAATAAGGTTTCGTGTGCAGGAAAAGTTGTCAGCTCGCCCAATTGCTTATTAACAGACTATTCAATCTTGATATGGCTTATCCCCTTTTTAATCTTCTTGGCAGTTGTAGGAGGGAAAAGGCTTCAATAATGTCGCCGTATGTTGGTGTATATATATCACGTGAGGAGACATTAGGCCAATACAACTACTCCCTATACACCACCGTTTTCTGCAACCAGTCCCTACGTTCTCAAAAGACGTTGCCATAAGGGTATATTGCCTATAGGCTGGTAGTTTATATAAAGCCCCCGCAATAACAAGTACGAGCAGATTGAGTCTTGCTCTTTCCAAAGCTGTTAATTAAAGCTGTAATCTTTGTTATGAGCGTCTTCATGTCCAGATTTGAACCCCGAGTTGAACCACTGAGCACTTCTGTGTTCGGCGTTAAGTACTCATTCCCAGTCCCAGCATATAATAGTCGATGGCTATGCGGGATCTACCCCCGCTACTTGTGGGCGAGTAGTTACAGTAGACCCTACGGTCACCATGGGAGAAGAATCTTAGTGAAAACTGAACGATTCGGAGCAAGGCACGAAGTCCGATCCGTCGACTGGCGACTGGACTGAAGAGTGGAACAAGTGGGCTATTCGCAAGATCAGCACGGAACTCGGTTGTTGAAGCGCCTGCTCATGGAAGAAGATTTGGAGAGCCTGTCTCTCGTGGCTGTTGTCGGAACCGACGTGCAACAGAAAACACCATCGGAAGCGACACGAAATCGGAAGGAAAGCGAGCGTTGAGACCATCGTGCCTCAGAACCTGGGCAGTTACAATGGACAGATTGAGACTCCAGGGATATACACAGTGGTAAGAAACTTAAAATATTATTACCATTTTGTCTCCTAAAAATCCATACCAGCGATCATTTACAGCATGATGTCTCCTCAATGGCTGGTCGGTCTGAATTTGTCACTTTGCAAAAGGTCATCAAAAGCTGGAAGAATATATTGGTCCCATGCTGAAACAGGAAATAGGTTTCCTGGTTTGACAATCGTCGACACCTACTTTGGCACCGACTTCGATTATCATTCCGTTTGCTGTTGCCGGAGCCTTACCAGGTCGGGAAGCCATCCTAACCTTTCTAGCCAACCGATTCGTCCAGATATCTTCAACTTTCACCAGCTAAATCTTATAATCCCCGTTAATACCTACAGCAAGTACAATCAATATCTCTTGGATAACATGTCAGCCATCCACAACCAGCTCCAGCAAGGCGCCGTCCCCAACTCTATATCCAACGTCTGCCCCCAAGGCACTAAGTTTCACGTCTTGGAGGTCGGTTGGCTTGAGTGTGACGAAGGTTTCGTCATCCGAGGTGGCAACACCAGCTTCAAGAGCAACGAGGGTGAGGCCTTCGTCAACAAACGTCGCCAAATGCCTATGTACTGTATCCTGGTCGAGCATCCACACGAGGGCCTCATACTCTGGGAGACAGGGTGTGGGAAGGACTATCCACAAGTTTGGGGTCCGGCTATCTCCGATATCTTCTCTCGAGTCCGGTATGAGCCTCAGCACGAGCTCCGTGCCGCTGTGGAGGCCACCGGGAACAGTATTGAAGATATCAAGAAGATCATAATCGGGCATCTCCATATGGATCACGCCGGAGGTCTGACAGAGTTTGCAGGTAGGAAGGATGTCGAGATCTGGGTCCATGATAGGGAACTCCGAGGAGCATTTTGGTCTGTGGCTACAGGGGCTGATGCGGGTGTCTACCTGCCGCATTATCTTGATTTGACATTGTACATGACCCTTCTCTCTTGTTTTACGGTGCTTAGAAAGAGAAGCATATCTAACAGATGTAGGAACTGGAAAACTTTCGACGACCAGACCTTCGACTTCTGTCAGGGCATCACTCTCCACCATTTACCCGGGCATACAGATGGCCTTATCGGAATGCAAATCAATATGCCTGAGACAGGAACATTCTTTTTTATCAGTGACCACTGTCATGTCATTGAGAACGTAAGTAAATTGTTCTTTATCTTCCAAAATCCATCCTCCTCCAACATCGGGCTGACAAGCGGGAGTGGCGAGACGGCATCCCACAAGGATGGCTCGCCCGTGATCATCCAGCCTGGTTCAGAAGCACGCAGCGACTTAAGCATCTGGAGCGAATTACACGGGGCCAGGTTATCCCGGGCCATGACAAGGAGACATTCCTGGCGCTGCAGAGGCAGGCGAAAATATTCACTTAGTGCTCGTCTAGCTAGCTACCTTACTTGCGTTTCTCCAAAACATCATACCGTGCCTACTGCGATCCCTGATTTGGATGGTCATATGCGGCAGCAGATTTTTTCGTGCATATCAGCTGCAAAGCTGTCTTTCAATCCGAAGCAAGGCGCAACAGTATTTACCGGAGTGGATGCAGAATTCGAAAATCTCTTCCAAGCCATTATCTAAGCTAGATATTCTTAGTATTGGTAGAATAGCTTCTGTAATATCTCTACGAAAGCAGGGTAGCTCAATTAGGATTTTAATGTTTCTTAGGAATTGCAGTGCAAAGCTATATCTAGGGCTAATGCTTGAGGTGTGTGAGGTGCTAGTTTATATAGAGATATTATACTATGCTTAGTATTCTTCACGCTTAGTATACTTAGTATACTTAGTATACTTAGTAATTTAGCAGGTGTCTATACTTAAATATATGTAGTCCTCCGCTGGTGGGTACATGGGGCAGAGTGCTTAGGGTAAGCTGAATGATAATGTCGAAGATTTCGGTCGGTAGTCAACGAAAAAGGGCATTGCGCCAGACAAGGTTGTTAAATACAGCAGGGGAAGCGGAGCAGCGAAGAATCAAATTGACATACCTAAAATATATAACATAATCCACGGCCGACAAAGTTGAAGTCGACGGTCACGAGATTGAGGGTTCCTTGTCGCATTGGACACGAAGCAAATTATCCTTTGGAACACATTTCTCGACGAGCTAGTATGATCTCTGGAAGGATCAAACCTATTGTTAGCTCACCGACCTAATGCAGGGCATTGTTCCGCCAGACCAGCCAGGTTAGTGCGCCGTCCGGTAGAATGTCAAGAAGAAGAAACACTTTATTCGTGACGAGAATGAGATTACTACTACAAAGCACCAATACTGAACCACCGGCCCGCATTCTGCACTTAGTTAACCGTTCTACACGGTGTACAGCGATCTCTCAAACGTTCTTCGTTCACTTACTGATGATATGATGTCTTGCCGGTCAGAAAGGCTTAGTTCCAAAACTACCAGTCAAATTCTGCCAATAAAGGTTGGCCAGAAACATAGTTTACGTACGTTATGTGCATCAGTGTTCCAGAGCCCAGAGCTTCAACAGTCACATTGCCAGCTGAAAACTCGGCGGTGTGGGTGGAAACTTTCGAAAGGTCAGTTCTGGATAAAATACTTATGTACAACTCTTTGCGTTGACCTCGTGGCGATTTGATTTTCTGTCATGTATAAAGCAACCCATGCATACGGCTAGCCCTTCAACAATGCGGGTCATCAGCTCGACCGGGCGAGCCTCTGTGAAATGAGCACCTGGATTGCTTGAGCTGATTATAGTCGACGAGTTTAAAGCCATCAAACGTGAGGATTTCAATGCGACTAATGCTTTGTCCGCGGCCAATGATGCTTTGCTTGGTGAATCGACCTTTAAATGTTAGAACAACTCTGCTAAGATCGACACCCGTGCCAAACCTCAACGGCAGGAGGACCCAAACACGAACGACACGAACGATGCGGAGCAAATAGGATACTTACAGGCTCACATTTCCACTGATGGCGAAGGTGGAAGCCGAAGGGTTTGAGGTCCGCCAGTCTCAATGCACGGCGGAACTGTTGATGCCTGTCTTCGAGAGTTCGGGGTCTGAGGACATTTGAGTGACAGACCTGCAGGAGAAAGCCTTTTCCTTTTTGTTCATCCAGCTAAACTTCACACTTTCCCCTAATCACGTTAACTGGGACGATGCATTTGTATTGCGAGGATTGCCGGGGCATGACATGCGAAGCTGGTAGGTTCCCCTTGAATTTGAGTACTACTATAATATCTCCGGCTCCTTGTAGAGCACGCTCGTCCTCTGACTCCTTCCAGTTCAGAGCACCCAATGACCGAACAAGATCAAAGCCTAAACCTGGCTCATAATTGTCATTAGCGACGTCAACAGCATCACTTGGGTGGAGAAGCCCGTTTAGTATCCACTGCAGATGAACGTGATATGTTCTTACCGTCGGATCAGCCATGTGCTTGCGATGCGCTAGCTTCCCTCAGTAGAGCTCTTCAACAGGACGGTCCTCACGTTAAGGCTCTGTAGTTCCATCCATGTCGTTATGCACGCGCAGAGGCAGGGAATGGTTCCAGTTGTCATTCACAATCGCCCATTTGAGGAAGAATCGGCTCACGGTAGGTACATGAATACGTCTTGTTACTGGAGGCATCAACCTGGCATTCCCTTTTGGGAAGATTGTGTGTGGTGATGGTGAACGACCACCAGACAACACTAGGAGGCAAGACGCCATCATACCCCTTGCACAAACACTAAGCTGTTGTCAATTTCTTTTATCTTCTCTTCCTCTTCTCTTCTTCCTCTTTTCCCTCCTGCCCTTCGAGCTATCACTACAATCACGATTACTATTTTCTCATCAGCAGAAATGGCTACTCAGATGGCTTCTGTTATCAACTCCGGTTCGGCTACAGCTCGTCAGCCAGCTGCTGTCTCTGGCTCCGGCGGGAGAAATCCTGACCGGAACAATGGCGACCGGCGCGGTCCTGGCGAGGGTAAGGTGAAGAAGGCAAAGAAGGTAAACTCAAGCAAATATCCATTTCAGTATATTTGAGCTGACAATGCCCTCTACAGAAGGGCCAGTGGTGTGTTTTTTGTCGCCGCTGGGGTCACGACGCTGCGAAGTGTCGTGTTGGTGCCCGCGTCCTGGCCGCCGTGGTAAGACCGATACTGCTACTCTCATGCTAAAGTTATGCTGACTATGACTTCTCTTTGCAGGCTGTGACTTTCCAGAACCAGGAAGCTCCTCCCCCTCCCCGTCCTCCTAGCTCGCAAAATCGTCCTCGAATGGAGGGCCCAAACAGTCGAGAGCGTCGTGCAGAACGACGGAGGCTGCAGCGCCTGCAGCAGCAAATAGAGGAGGATCAGCAGCGCCAATTACAAGGCCAGGAGGATGAACGGGAGCAACAGGTTGATTCGCCTCAGGGTGAAGAGAAGGACACTACTGGTGAGGCCGATCGCCTGTGAGGCCCGCGTGTTCCTTCGGCGCTGGATAAGTGTCCTTGTTTGCCTGGCGGCACTGAAGAAGTGTCCTCATTATCTCTGGAGGCACTGAAGAAGTGTTCATATTCTTTGACGGCACTGAAGAAGTGCCCTCTTCCTGACGGCACTGAAGAAGTGTCCCTCTTCCTGACGGCACTGAAGAAGTGTCCTCATCTTCCTGATGGCACTGGAGAAGTGTCCTTTTCCCCCACAAGCCATGTGGCAATTTGTTGTGGACACTGAACAAGTGTCCTCGTGCGGCTGGTGCTGGAAATGTACCCCCGACACATTGCCTTTAACCCTACTGAGGAAGTAGGTGCCTGGTAGTCATCTTCGATGACCTCCAGGCCTCCAGCGGTAAGCTCACACCTCACCGTGGTGCTGGAGTCTAGTAACCTGTTTCTTTCAACAGGTGAAGCTAAGATGAGCTTTCTGTATATAGCGCCCTTGCTCTGTATATAGCATTCTTGCAGTCGAATTGGTGGTTTTCCATCTACGACAAAATCGAAAATGAACTACAGTACGATTAATTTATGACACAATGTGACCAGCTACCGGGTTCCAATCTTAAGAATAGAGCTTCTAGTAGACCATAACCTCGAAGTAAGCTGCACAGCTAAGCAATGCAGCAAAAGCCACTCGATTCCCCTCGTTTCCCATCACATCAGGACGGTATATTGAGGGTCCGTATGCCTGCAAGAACGATTTTTGACGGGCTACTTGTCAGTGCAGAAGCAGTTAAAGTGCTCTAACTTTATGGTAATATGTTAATATTCTTATCATTTTATGACATTCTTCCCACATGATGCTCTACTGCGTACGGAGTAGTGAGTATTCAAATGGTACCCGCAAGCCAACAGGGAAAACGGGCCTCCGCTCCAAAAGTGGTTAGACTACCCGGAACAGGGGATGCTTGGCAACTCAGGCATTCACATAATTAGTTGCCTGGTTGGCTTGTTTCTGCATCCCAACGATGTAGATCGGATCAACTCCATAACTTCTCCATCTTACCACTACGCTTCCCAGAGTGACGTCTACCTTTCGTTGTCAAATTATATCCGTATAGGCTGGTCATACAACTATCCAGGTGATTTACTTGCTGTCTGATACGCCAAAGCCACAGGCTGGCGCAGTCTATCCTGGTCTTTTGGGACCATGCCCTTGTAAAAGTAATATTTCACCATGTTGACCGTAGACATGTCTCCTTGGGCGGGATCGCTACTGCGGTTCTTCAAGGGAGGGAGAATAATATCTTGACACTTTGAAGTAAGGAGAAGTAGTTGGAGGATGGAGAATTATTATTTTTATCCTGGATTGTGCCTCCTCAGTTTTTCTTGTGAAACACGCAATCCTAAGGCGTGTAAATCTAGTAAGTAACAATCCAAACATCCTAGAAATGACCACAGATGAAATTAAGTGTGCGCAGCAGAATGAGCATGTTAATACATTTAACATGGCCCATGTTGGTTCCTAGCGGCTATTGTTGATAAGGAATGTGCCTGGCTCATCAGCTAATGAATTAGTGCTGTGTACTGGGGCGGGCTCTCTCAAACACTGCTCCACCTAATCATTGTCCACGTCTCTGCTGAAGTTGGTTGGGGCGCATTGCATTACTTTTCATTCATTAAACCCCTTTGCCCAACTCAGCACAGGATATATTATCATGTCCTTACTGTATTTCTTATGTCTGGCATCTCCGCATGATAGACCATGATTAGGTTGCTGTCTTCAGCCAGACTATCGTTGCGCCCGCACGGTTTACAGTCCAGAATTAGTTTTCCTGTCCTCCACAAGCTGCACACGCCACTTCAGCGCAACCAACTCCGCTCCGCGTGGACTACCACCACATCCAGCTCAATGGCGACTAAGGATGAGTCCATCGCTCATTGCTTATACGAGCCCCTTGAAGGTGTCGAACGGCTTGAGAACTATCGACCAGGGGGCTATCATCCCACCCAAATCGGAGACGAGTTTCATGATCGATATCGCATTGTTCATAAGCTGGGATATGGCACCTATTCAACGACCTGGCTAGCCCGTGACGAACAATCTAATAAGTATAAGTATGTTGCAGTAAAAAATTTCTACAGCAGATTCAAATCCAAAGGAAGCGGACATCATATCATCTCTCACCTGTCGACATCGCTCCGCAGACACCGATCTAGGCAAGGCAATGCTTCCTTCAATTCTGGATAGGTTCACTATTCACGGTCCAAATGGTGACCATACTTGCTATGTCACAGCACCTGCGAGGGCTAGCCTATCTGCGCTGAAAGACGGGTCATGGGTCCGTTTATTCCAGCTTGATGTAGCCCGGGCATTGGCCGCACAGCTCGTCCTTGCTGTGGATTATGTACACGCCCAAGGATTTGTCCATGGAGACCTTCATCTGGGGAACATTCTTCTCAAACTTCCGCCTAGCTTTGATCAGCTGTCACCCGAACAATTATATGAAGAATACGGGGCACCGGAACTAGAGCCAGTTATTCATCTGGATGGTAATCCACTTCCTCCTGGCGTCCCATCCTACGGCATTGCGCCCATATGGCTAGGAGAAGCGAGTGAGGAAATAATACTTGCAGATGCCAGGATCTTGCTTTCTGACTTTGGCGAAGCTTTTTTATACCCGAAAGAACTGAAATATACTTCTTGCACTCCCCTCGTTGTACTGCGGATGACCTCTACCAATAGTTTCCGTTCGTTCTAGACTGCCCTCTCTACCTCGTAGTTTGTACCTGTTGAAATATAATACCACTAGGCTAAAAAGGTATGCGGACGTGATTTCTATCAGTCTAGCATCTCATATCCATAGTTATATTTTCCAACAGTACCTTAATTTTGAGTTCTGGAGACCACTGGTACTATCATAGTCTGCTTCAGGCACCAGCCGTTTCCGGCTGGTCTAACTACTTCTGGTGCGGAGGGGCCCGCTCACAGGGCTCGGCGTAGCCTAAAGAGGTAGCGGTATATAAGCATGTTCTACGCTGATGATTCCAAGAGGAATCATCATTGGAACCGTTTGTTAAGGCATTGGAGTAGTAGCTGCCTAGAACACTACTTCTTACACCCGGGTACTCCGCAAATGTTGGAGTCAATTTTACGTCATGTCACTATTGGAATTTTTCTATTTCACTGAGCATCCTGTACCAGCTGGATCAAGACCAATAAAACTGGAATCAAAAGCTTCAGTTTCATTGAATCTTCTGCAATCAATTGCTCTCCGATATCATCAGTATCATCACTATGGCCAGCACAAGCCATCCAGGTGCTCTTTTTGAGGATCCTGAGCGCATCAGGCTGATCAAGATGATCGCTGAAAAACTCGGGAATACACCCCTCACCCTAAAGATAAGTACTTTCAAAACTTGTTATGCGGCCTTGTGACTCGCCGATATTGAGAAATTTGAAAGCATTGGACGATAAAGAACCTCTTGTTATTTATTCCCTCCTATTGGTGTTTGAGACGGATATCAGATTAGTTCAAAGATGTCAGTAACTTTCTAGTCTCTATCATTGTGTGCGGCTAACAGTGTGTTATACTAAGGGCAACAAAAGGACAACGATCCCGAATCAAGAGCTCCGTCCTCTCCGCAAACACCAATAAAGGATATACCACCCTTTTTCCCGTCCTCCTCTGCCCCTGGGTCGAGCCTGGGCAATTCGACATCTGTGCCTCCCACTTCAACTCCACAACGCCAACCCCTGTCGCTCGAAACATCAGGAAGCCCTGATGACTCGCGGAAAAGACTAGGGGAACCTCAGGGCACGCCTGAAGGGGCGAAGAAGCCTAGAATAGGCGAAGATGATACGGTAGCAGTAAGCTATCCCTTCCTGTCTGAATCTATTGCAACTGGCCTTGCACTAACCACGCTGTTATCCTAGAATGAGTCCCTATTTGTCGCGAAAGCAGTAAGCCATGCCTTCCTGCCAAAGTCTACTGTAACTGCCTTCGCACTAACCACGTGGTATTCTAGTATGGGACCCCAGACAAGGCAGTTGCGGAAGCGGTAAGCGATGCCTTCTCACCACAATCTATTGTAACTGTGTTAGCACTAACCAAGTGGTATCCTAGTGTAAGGTCCGCGACAAAGCCTGCATTCTTACAGGATGCACCAGGGAGATATCCGAACCATGCCATTTGTTCCCATTTTCTATGAACGATTGGCATACGCACCGCTGGGAAGAGTTCCTCGAAGGGCTGAGAATGTTTTGGTGCGATAAAAGGGTGAACGAGTGGTGTAAAGCCATCTATGGAGATGTCTCCGGGACTGAAAAGCTCCAAAATCAGATCCTGCTTAGCCCAAACGCACATATGCTTCACACAGCAGGATGGTTCACCCTTGAGCCTATTGACGAGGATAAGGTTCATGGTATGTGGCTCAAACTTAGGTTCTGGTGGCTGAAAAGACATGACCATCAAGAAGGGGTTAAGTTCGGTGTTCGCCCACAACTTCCCCAAGATCTGTGCCCGAAAGAATATGGAGTTGCTCTTCATAGGATCGACAACGCTCGTCCACTTGTCTCTGGTGAAGAGATCAAGCTTGAGACGCATAATCCGCAGACTCATCCGCTGCCAGATACTCGGCTCCTTGAACTGCAGTGGATGCTGAATCGTGTGCTTGCCTTAAGGGGTGCCGCAGAACCAGAGGACCTGGAGGATGAGTCGGATGTAGACTCGGATGAGGGACTTGAATATTTCGCCAGGCCCGTGTTGTAATCCCTGATTCTTCCTGGGCAATCATCCCCTCCGTCCTCTCTCATCACGATCGCGAGCGACCAGCCCAAGGCTAAACCTGTCATCGGGGCGACTGATGCGCTCGAACAAGGTCTTATCGAGGAATAGTTACTATGTTCCAACAAGGATTTGTCCTATACAAGGTCTCTCTACCTAAATGTAGGCCCCTTTATAAGCAGCCTAATGAATCGAAGGCGCCCTTCTAAGCGACTTGCTGGATAGTAGTCATCAACTCCCTTATTCGTATGGGTCTGCAAATCTGGAATCGAATCCGGTGCCGGAGGTTCTCAGTCTCCGGCCTTCAGCGACAAGCTCACACCTCACCGTGGTGCTGAAGTCTAGTAACCTGTCCGTTGATGGACAGGCGAAGCTAAGATGAGCTTACTCTGTTTGTAGTCAACTGTAAAGTTATTAGGTGTTCGGTTAGATTCTGTCATTATAGATCATCATCAAACTCTGATTCTTACTCTAGTAACTCGTAGAGTATAGATTATCAAAGGTTGATGTATATATATAAACCATCACCACTCATACCAACCCCTGATAGAGATGAGTATTCCCATATATCTCCCCAACCACCAGATATTATGAATTAATTCTTCATATTTTAACAGACTAGATACTACGCTATCGACTGATATTAATATTTCTACAAAAGTTCTAGAAATTAGTGATTACGAAGTAAAATGGTGTGGGTTGGTTAACCTAAGCAGATAAAACCTCAAAACCATAACCAACGGGTTTAACCGAACTCGAATCGGTTTCACCTAAGGGAAACCGAAACCGGTGCGATTCCCTAGGCTAGGGACTGAATCCGAACTGCTGTGAGATTGGTAAGGCTGGATTCGATTTTGGCGGTTCAGTTATGCAACTCTACTGCTAGTAGACTTACTGAATATTGTATAACTATATACTTGAGAAAGAGTGTAAAATTATTATGACTAATATAGCCTTTATTTAGGTCTCTATATCTAGACAGTATACTCCTAATACCAAAGAATTCTACAGCTTTTTGAAGAATATAGCCTATAGAGTATAGTATCTTACCGGACTACAGAAATCATCGACTGAATTAGCTAGAGTAAATTTCACTCTGTAAAGAGGTCATGACTCAGAACTCCTAGCAGTAATTGATACCGTGGAAGATCCTAAAACGACCGCGGCCGAACAAGAGGCACCAGAAAGGCGTAGATCGAAGAGATAAATTGATAGACACACAGGATCACTAGGTTTATCAGGAGGCAGCCCCCGCGGATGAGGAACAAAGAACCCTAGGTAAGGCATAGCGGGCGAGACCGCCGAGATACGCTAGACTAACAAGATCAGAAGACGTCACAGAATGAAAGATTCGTAAGTCCTACAGCCAGACGAATAAGGTAGATCATATTTGAAATCAAAATCAATGCTTTCTAGATTATGTCCTTCTACTTACATCACGCTTAGGGAGGCCGAAGGGGAATCCGGTGGTAGATGGGCGAAAAGAAGTCCGGTGGACATCCACCGGAGACCGACATGATCCATAGGAAAGCTTTGATCATCCACCAGCTGTTTACAATACCTGACCACAAGAATGGAATCAACTGAACCGTCGATGCCGATCCAGACTCTAAAGGGCCTTGAAGCACTATCTCTGATCCGCTCTTTCGCACGGAGAGTAATCCACTCGCTGAACAAATCTACCAGTCTGAATGATATACCTGGGTTAAGTGTTAGGGCTCAAGTTACTTGCAATTAGACTGGCTGACCCAATTCGCAGATCCATACCCGACCCGCAAGGGTATGGGTTGATGGCATCCAACCATACGGATATGAGTAACCCATTAGGTGCGTGTGACCGGCAGAACTATAGATATTTATGACATTCTCTTAATAAGAGGTCTATCCGTCTACTAAAAGAAGTATAGTCTAAAATCAAGTGCATAATATGGGTGGAATGGCAGGTTACAGGTAAGCCGCCCCTTGGAGAAGCTTGGGTGCCCCCAAACTGGTCATGTGATTAGGCTAGCCGATCACATGTCTGGTACCACTTATATTTTTAATTACAGCGCACATAGGATTTTCAATACATAACAGACTTCATATACCGCTACCTCAGCAAACAGGATGTAAGTACTTTTAAACCAGTTAATAACTACTTATTTAGAGCATCTCATTATTAAGATTTTGTAATCTTGCCCGCCTTTCCATCAGCTCTAGCTCTTTTTCCTCGTTTTGAAGTCGTTTCTCTCGCACCCGTTCCTCTTTTTCCTTTAATTGAAGCTCGAGCTCTCGCAGCTCTATGCTTTGCCGCTGTTGCTCAAAACTTAATATATTCTGTGAAGAAACCCGACGAAGACTTTGAGAAGAAGAAGATATTGAACTATTTATTAAGTACTTAGTAACCCTTTTTAAAGTGATTGAAAACCAAACTCACCGACTGCTACCTCGGCCTCGAGGTTGTGAACGGGATCTCCCTTGTCCTAATTCAGGCTCGGAACTAGAAGAGAAATATGTTGATGAACGGCGGCGTTTTCGTGACACTAAGTAATAGTTAAGTGGTTTGTTAGCAGTTACAAAGTGGTGAATATAATAAAAATCAATTAGATGTATAACGTATGAGGATCAGACATGCGATTATATATATACATACCTTCCCGGGCCATATGTCTCAAATAATTTGTCTCCATATTTGCTGTTCGATATGAATGGTGAATATTAAAATCAGTGCGATTTATATATTGGAGAATGTCTTGTCTGTCCAGCTTTGCAGAACTAAAAAAAAAATATTAGCAGTTATTGAGTTATTGTCTAATCAGTTATTAATCATTTATTGAGTACTTACTTTTGGATTGCTGCTGTTAATGTCAACCACCTTCCTGCTGCATTAGCCTTATGATGAGACTGTTCAGCTGAATTAGTATGATTCCGAATAGAATCATAGATATAGACGGGAATATTAGAGCAATGTTTATTCAACCCAGCCTTGATAACTGGTGATTTCTTATGTGCCGCCCATGCTTGGACCTTTTCATTCTCAGGTTCTAAGCAGTTAGTATCCAGTTGATAAGCAGTTATCAAGTACTTACCAATTAATAAATTGCATAGTTGATCATAATCATCTTCCGACTTGCAGTCAATTAAGCCAGCCATTCGACTCCATACACCTGAGCTTTTATTGGCACTCCCAACTGCTTCAGTGATTGTACGAAAGAAGTGAACCCGGCAAAATATAATGATTCCTTGCAACTGCCATAATATTGGACGGTGGAGAGGGTCAATTTCTTGAAGATATTGACCAAGTCCTAAGTAGTTAGTAAGTGGTTCGTTACCTGGTGATTGAATATATACCAGTATATTGCTTTGTATCCATATCCACAATAATTCCATAAATTCCATTGGAATGAATAGAATTAAATTCAACAGGCTGGCCAGTCATTCTTTGAACAAGAGTAAATACTCTTGTAAATAAAAGATAATAGCCTTCTGTTGTTTCCTGATTGGTAAAAGCCCGCAGGAGTGTGATGACTATATTTTATAGTTAGTAAGTATTTAATAAGTGATTGTTAGGTGCTTACTTTTTGCATGCTCAGGAAGATAAGTTGCAAATATAACCTCATTCATTCCCTTTTGTCGAATGCGCTTATAGGACATATCAACTCAAAGGAGGTTAATGTACTTAAAAGCCTGATTTGTTCCTTAAAGCCACATAGAATCATAGTTCCATTAGGATCACAGTATTTCTCTTGGATATATTCCTATAGTTAATTAGTTATCAAGCAGTTATTAAGTGGTTATAAAATCGTTACCTTTATGAATGGATTGGTATTATATAAATATATTACCCCATTGAAGCTTTGACCCGCTGGATATGAAAGAAGTCGTTGTTTTTGAATAATGGCGGAGATACGATCAGTATTTGAAAATGAGGCATGGATTTCAGCTGGTGTTGATGCATTATATTGCTGGCAAAGGGCCTCAAGCTCAGGACTTCGCAGGAATTGAGCTGATAATCAGTTAGTTATCAGTTCTAAAGCAGTTCCTAACCACTTATGAACTATTTTATATACCTAAAGTCAGGCTGGGGTTTCTCATCTGCTTGATAATTCTTTCAACCCCTCTGAGTATTAACTCTGGTGGCTTATGTGGAGGTGGAGGAGGGTGTTGATGAATTCCGTGAGATGTAAAAACTATGAAAGGACAGTTTTGAACATCAACTGGTACAAGTGCAGTAAATATAACACTACACTTAATATGCTCCAGTTTACCAGGTCCTTGGACATGGTCAAAATCTAAATAATATTTAAGTACTCTGTAACTGCTTGCCAATCACTTTCAGAGTACTCACCACAATATTTTCGCCGTGATGTTAAAGGTTCAATCACACCACATTCTTCCTGGGATGGTAGAATTGATTCATTGAATAGTTGCTCTAGGAACTCAAGATCCATAGAGGTGTAGCCTTTTACTGAGGTATAATAATGCTTCTGCAGAAAGCTTGATGATGCATTTACGCATCCAATGTAGGGATGATGATCACCATTCACATCCTTTAAACTAGTTAGCAAGTACTTATAAACTACTTATCAACCACTTACTGGATAGAAATGACGCTTGAACTTGGGTGCGCAGGAAGGCAATGTTTCAAGACAAGCATGTCCTTTTTGAAAAAAAGCTTTTTGTGAACGGTAAAGACTATTTTGTTAGTACTTCATGAGTACTTAATAAGCATTTAGAAAGTACTTACCTATATGCATTCCGCTTCAGGAATATCATTCTCAACAAGATCAATATTCTTACGAATATTCTGTATTTCTGCCCATGCCACCTCATCCAATGAAGTATGATATAAGGTGCGAAGACTTGGCTTTAGATATTCACATACTAAAGCCCCAGAGCATTTCCATATCCATTTTTTAACAGAACAGTTTAAAAATGTCGAGGTGATATTCTTCTTAACTCCACGCGCACTCGCTCGAGAATATTGTATCTATATTAATTAGTTTATAAGTACTTAAAGAGCACTTAGAATGTACTTACATCCTGAACTAAACTTTCGGCTTCTTCTTGTGATCGGTTATTGACAGCAACAACATAAGAGTATCCATTTATATCCGACCTTGGATATTCAGGTAGGTCATCCGTATATTCAAGATGTAAAGTTTGAAGCGGATTTGACTTTGCATTTATTAGTTGTATAGGAGCAGTTGGGTTATCCTAAGTGATTAAAAATTAGTTAATAACCACTTTAAGGTAACTGATTGTTCTTATATTACTACTAACTTCCTCATGATTTTCTTCAGTAGGAATATCTTCAATATCATCCCAAGTAGCAGAGAAAGTTTCAAAATCCATAATAAAACTTGTAACGTACTTGTAAGTACTTGATAAGTGGTGATAAGTGATTGACAAATAATGTAGAAAATTGTTGGCTAGATATAAGAAGGGAAAGTGAAAGTGAATTTCACTGTATGCATGACAATATTTAAATGGTGAGGTGCCTCGTTGTGCTTGCCAAGACCTGTAAGCGAGCACAGGACCTTTTCCAAGGGGCACCTGACCTGTGTACTCGTGGAATGGGTATCCACAATCCAACCCCCATGGATTCTAAAACGGATTACTCATGCCGTGGGTTGACCCCAAAACCCATTGGGCCTGGTTAGACCCAATGCGGATCCATCCAAACCCGACCCGCGACCAGTCTACTTGCAATTATGTCTCTCAGTTAGGAGCCTTAGAGTATTATGGTGCTTTCCAAGGTTGCGAATCCTCGCATGGTACCAGAAAAAGACGTCAGAACATTTGATTGGAAGGTAGCTTTCCTCTTCAAAGTCATCGGCGCTCTTTTGGCAGCAATAGACATATGTGCCCTTCGTCTAAAATAATCATGTCGCTGAAAGCATTTAACCAGTAGCTCAATTCACGTTCCAAGGTTGGTGTGCGTCCATGGGACCACCTCACAGTAAAAATTATACCTTTCTTTATAATATCAAAACAAGACGCGTTTTCAAGCAGCGACCATTCCACCATCTACGATCAAACTTGAACCAGTGACAAAGTTGCTGGCATCGCTGGCGAGAAAAATGGCGGCTCCCCTTAGGTCCTCAGGCGTTCCCCAGCGGCCTGCGGGTGTTCCCTTCAATATAAAATCGTTATAGACCGGATCATTTTCCAACTGCTTCGTCAGAGGTGTTCTGATGTACCTAGTTACTTTTAGCAATGGATGTCATCAGGACGGCTGGAAGCCCTAGTTGGCAAGCGTGAAAGGATATGCACTTACCCGGGGCAGATGCAATTCACTTGAATGTTGTGAGGCGCAAGCTCATTGCTGAATGATTTTGTCATTTGAATAACACCGCCTTTGGAGCTTGCATAGGCGGACACATTGTACATTCCCCGAAATGATGTAACGGAGCCGACATTGATCACTTTCCCGGGAAGATTCAGTTCAAGCAGCCTCCTTGCAAATTCTTGCGCAGCTACGTAAGAAGCTTTAAGATTGACAGAGAGAATCTAGAGAAAGGTCAACCGGGGTTCAAATAACCTTGAAAATAGAAACCAATTTTGATCATACAAGATCAAGATCCTCATCAGTAACCTCAATCAAAGGTCGCCTTCGATTTACGCCTGCACAATTTAAGAGGACCGAGGGCGAGATCCCCGCATTCCAAATATCGCGAAAGGTAGAGCGCACAGAAGATAGGTCTGTAAGGTTGCATTCAAAAGTCCACAACTTTCGACCGAGTTCAGTGAGACATTGCGACAAACTTCCCGCATTAGGGTCATTCGGAGTCTGAATAGAAACAATATCTGCACCTGCCTCCGCAAGTGATTTACATAGAGACTGGCCAATCCCACCAGTGGCTCCTGTGCAGATAACTATTTTCCCTTCTAGGGAGAACAGCTGGTTGGTTGGCAAATTGTTCATCATAAATCCGACAAAGGCGCGCGCTGAAGGTCATATAAAAAGCATTAGTATCTCCCAATGGTGCAGGTGTGACGAGCAAGCTGGACAGAAGCTCATTCCAGTGGGTAAGCATGAACTCATGTATTAAGTCATACTATGGATCACTATGTGAGCTGCCAATAAACATACTACCAGCATGAATTCAGAGTCGGTCCACCGGATATCCGAGGACCGGGCTTCTCAATTTGTTCTACCCCAACTGTTAACGCAGATCCCAAATCTCCCAAGATAGGCCTACCCACCTTTGGAGGATTCAGACTTGACACACACGTAGCAACATACCGAGCTATCTGGCTGGGGGAGTGGAACCACCCGGCTGCCATATGGTTCCTCATAGTCAAAATGGATGACAGCATAAACCTGCTCCAACCTATGGTCCGAGTTATTAGCGACTTAATAACTCCAAACGGACTACCATAAGGTAGCGAGCGATTTGGCGTCATAGCTTCTGGATTTTGCCTCTCTCTCTTTCAACCAACTGGATAAACACCGGAGCCAAGAAAGAAATATCAGCGGGTCTCCACCGGGCCCGGACTACGATGGTGCAGGGTTGAGCTTTCGACTCCCACCGGACCGTTCCGTTACACTGTCCGGAACAACACTTTTGAGTCCGGTTATCTCCCCTCCCCAGAATGAGTCGGAACGAAATATCCGCTCGCTTGTTAGACAGTGTCACGTTGAATAAGTGAATATATAAGCATTTCTTTGTATAGACAATCTGTTGCTGTACAACGATCATACACATCTATTTGTCAATTCAAGTTGCTTAATTCCACCATGCCACCTGCTCCGACCACAGAGCGACCTAAGGCGGAAGCTGTTCCCTATAAAGGGGAGCCTCTACCAAATGTCCCGGACGACCTTGTTGTTCCCAATGTCCTGAACTTGGATTTCGATGAGAGACTGTGGGTTCCTCAGGCTCCAGACGTCTGGTTTCGGCCCATTCTTTTCAACGTCACACAAGGCTACTTCGTCAACCTACTTCGGGTGCGTCGCTCGGGCATCCTGTCCCGCCATCGTCATTCAGGCCCTGTCCACGCAACTGTTCTCAGGGGCAAATGGCATTACCTTGAGCATCCGTGGTGGGCAACCGAGGGAAGCCATGCTTTCGAGCCCCCAGGCGATATTCATACTCTCGAGGTCCCGGACGGAGTCGAAGAAATGATTACTTTGTTCCATGTCACTGGAGCATACATCTACGTCGACGCAATGGGTAATCCACTAGGTGTGGAGGACGTCTTCTCAAAGTTGGCTAGTGCGAAGGCTCATTATGCAAATGTTGGACTTGGCCCAGATTATGTTGATCAGTTTATTCGTTGAATGCTTGGGATCTATGTATTGTTAGAAGAGCGCTTCTTGAAATCGAAGGGGATAAGGAAATGAGGGTATTCAACCCAAGAGTCTTGTCTATCTATTATCTTCTTGCTCTCAAAGGTATATGATATCATTACAGCTGCAGATTTCTAAATAGAACGCATTTAGAACTATTTCCCTTCACTGAAATATCGGGATCACTATAAAAACACGAGCATAACAACTAGGGGGTAATATGAAGGAGGGTTGGTGACTTCACATGCACGTCCATGTCGGATCAGTCTGGACGGTTTTGAGAAGAGATGCTCACAAATGTTGATGCCTTACGTCAGGGCAACAACGGCATCATTCTTCAACTTATCACGGCTGCTTGATGGGGGAGTTCAGTAAGCGTCATGAATTCTACATTGGCGAAAGTAACATTGCAGCCAAATTATAAAATATGACTCTCATCATTTTTGAATCTCATTAAAAGAAATCGGTCGGGTTCCATACCCAGCCTTGACCAATCAGCGAGTTGTTAAGGCTATTGAGTCCCTGACTGGCGGGGTCGGCCATTGAAGTCATCGGGCCTGTAGAAGGCAATAGATTGTTCAGTTCTGTGGACTCAGTTGCTGGAAGCCGCTGTCTGGAAAAAGCGTCGAAGTGCGGGCCGGTAGGCGAAGCATAACCGCCTGTGTAAGCAATTGGATCGGAGTTCTCCCATAGGACTGTAAACAACTGCATTAATAAGAAGATTTTAGGCGGCCTGGGTTCGGATCTAGCAGAGAGGGTACCTTCAACGAACTCAAGGACCACTTTGGGGGATAGCAACCATACCTTGCTGTACCGACTCTAGTGCCTCATCAATGGCGGAGTAAAAGGTTAAACCAGCAGCATCCTGCCCTAAATCGGAGTTGACCATAGCGTCCATTTCGGGGGAACTGTGAGAGTCATTTTGGGAACTTATGTTCCTTGACAAAGGCACCGTGGTCTCTTGACCTTGATTCACGGAGCCCTGGTTGAAAGGACCGTTCTTACACGAGTTATGGTGCTTAGGGCCTCGATATGTTTCACGACCAGTCTTTCCAGTCGGTAGCCTATCGCTCAGCCTTGGAGTGGATATTTCAAGATGTGAGTCCCCGAGTAAAGTCTGCATTTCACGTTTAAAAATCAACTGGAACAACCCTTCCAAAACCATGACCGTCTGTGATGGGACAACAGATGATCTTGCCAGCGTTCGTTGCAGCGAGATGGAATTTGCGACACCTCTTTTAGCATCCAATGCTTGTTCCGATCCGGGGTCGGAAAGAGCCACCATGCCCAAAGTTACACCAGCGGTGAAATTCTGGATCGCAATGTATGCTGCAGCATGGGTGTTCTGGGCTGCAAGAAGAACCTCAGTATGCCGTGGCAATATGCTACACGTGCGCCGAGCGCAATGCTTGCATTGTTCGAAACTGGTCGGTCGCGCATCCGATGAGTGTGAGCCGGGGGACAAGATGAGGCGGTGATCATATCGAAGAAATGGGCGATGCAAGATAATCTGAATGTTATCATACGCCAACTGAAGAACCAACGCCTGGAGGTGAAACAGCTGACAGACCTCAACTTCGGGTCCAGTCAAGCCTGACATGTCTATATCAACATGGCTCTCAAGCTTCAGTTCCATAGGCAGTCTGTCAAACCATTCGACCAGCTTGGTGTTGATTTGAGAAGCCAGATCAACCACAATCCGCCAATTTGATTCGTTGAGATCGTATATAATGCCAATGATGGGACCGGCAATGGTGTAGAGTTCAAATTTGTGCCGCTGATAAGCACCTAGCGTAGCTGGACTAGGCGAGTGAGCAGCACGTTCCCGGGTAGAGCTCAATAACGGGTGTACTGCCAAGCAGTCGTCTATGTCTCGCGGCATACTCACGGCACAATGAGTATCATTGATTAACGGGGGTCGACCATATGTAATCGAGGCAAATCTTGTGAGATGTTAGAATGACCAAAACGATCAGCCAAGTGAACCTAGGTACCTGTCGAGAACGTATAGAGCCCACCATGTCCTCTTGCGGACCTCGAAAACGAATTCAGTTGCAGGACCCCATAGATTCTCTTTATGTAGTCCTTGTGCTTGGGCACTTCTTACCCCTGCGCCCAGTATTGGCATTGCGAGGTTCGGTTTTCCGTTATACAGATAATACGTGCTGAGCAAGATGCACAGTTGCACACACTCCACCCCACCAGTGTCTAACACATCAAAAAAGTGCGATCGAACTTGGTTAAGCATTTTTTCCTGTAACGATAACAGCTCAGACCTTGACAACCCAATTTTCGAGCTCTGTTCGTCAGGAGCGTATCTGGCACCCATCGCAAGGACCATCAGTATCAAGACTGCCGTGCCTTCCTGCCGAGAGGTCACAAATTGATTGTCAAGAATTTGTCTGTATTCCTGTTTGAATGACGGATCGTGGAAGATCATCATGAACCAATGTACCGATCTCCAGTAAGAATCGAGCAGAAAATCGCAGACTGGGCGGGATGGAAGGTCTAAGCCAGGAAAGTGCGCAGCAAGGCTAGTGTGTTCTCCATTTTTCCCGCCACTAGAGGTTCGACTGCTCAGAAAGGCTCCACCAGGCAAAGCAGATGTATCGCTATGAGTAGCCGGTGACACTTCAGCTCCTTGGTCATGCATATGGAAAAGCTAGTATCAAAGTTAGCGTCTACATTCAACAATCCCTGTGCCAAATACCGGGAGTGTACCTGATCTGTCAATTCCACTGCAGACACTTGGGCATATTCGTGTAGCTCGGGAAGTGATGCAGACCGCTCGCCACGAGCCGGGTGGAAATCTGGCTGAGATTCACCTCCGTTGAGTGGCCGCCTAGGGGGACCTGAATCGCGAGGGCTTGGCCTTGAAGGTGTCAACATGCTGGGCTGTATGTGGTGCGGGTTTCTGCGCCGCTCATGTAGCATTCTTGGAGATCTTTTGGACTTCCTAGAATCCAATCAGCCGATTTGTCATTGGTTTGAGGTGGAGGAAAGCTGTGATTCCGCGATGAACTACTCACCGCAATGGCGCTGATGTGGTCTCACAGACAAAGCCGGACCGCGCACACGGGGAACACGGCTTTTCAATGTCGCACTAAAACCAAGCATCTGCGTCAGGCCGATCATTGAAGACTCTCCACTTAATGCATTTTACCTTCAGCTTTTGCCTACGGCAACGATCACATGCATGTCGACGGCTACCCAATGATTTGGACTGGGCACGTTGATGGCGAGAAACCTCCCCATCGTGTTTTCCTTGGTGAAACCTTGCGGACTCTGAATCGGCAGGGTCTTGCATGGCGAAGAAAGACAGAAAGTAGGCTCATGTGAGATGCAATTCTGCTGTGGGTGTTCATGCAGGTTCGCTGCCCCGGACAAGATTTTCCTCAGGCTATTGTATTTGTAACCCCAGCGCGTCGTAGTTAACTAACTAGTTACCCGTCAGGACCTTACGTAATACGAGATAAGTTAACTAACTTAGCTAGTTAGTTAACTATATTTTAGTTATGACAACTTGATTCTTCCCTGCTCCGCTTTCCTTCTGCATTTAACAACCTTGTCTGGCGCAATGCCCTTTTCCGTTGACTTACCGACCAAAATCTTCGACATTATCATTCAGCTTTTGGCCCTAAAGGATGCCTTAAATATATGCCTTGTTTTCCCGACGATTAAAAGTTGTCAGCTCACCTCATATTTGTAAGTGGATACAGGTCCAGAAGACAACCCAGAAAACCGTTTTCTGGGTCATGGGTGAAAGTGAGTCGCTCCCCCCAAAGCAGACTAATAGCCATGAAAGCCCTGGTTCCTGTCTTACTTCTCGCCCCAGAAGGTCGTTCTCGTTGCTCCTTGTTAGGAACACAGGCCACACGACGGATTCTGTTCATCATCATTGAGAATTAGGTTCCCAGTAGAGACGCCACCTTGTAAGAGCCCTGCCCTTGCATGCAATGACTCGTCACCTTCTTCAGTTAGCAGCGAAATAGAAGACAGATCAGTTGGTTTTTCACCTTCTATGCAGCTCTCCAGTGCAGATAACATGGAGATGCGCGACTCTGCCTTATAGAGGTACCTAATAACCACGAATAACAACACGGCGATGTATTCTCTTCTGCATGCTAGGATCGCGTCCCCCCGCGCCCCCCCCCCCCCCCCCCCAAGCTGTAGAGCTAGAGCAGGTATGCTTGCTGGGGGGCAGAGACAGCCCTGTACAGCTGGAGGACCTCTTACGCCCTGTGGTATTTGCTACGCGACAAATTCATCCCATATCTACAATATCACTAGCAGTAGGTGAAGTTTCGGAGAATGTCTATAGGTAATATGTCACCTGTACCACATCAAGTCCTTTACACACATCGCCACAAATATAATCAGACTGCGTCAGCTATTACATACATTAATCACTAGCAACACTTGAAAAACATCTGTTGTATACCCCAACTGCTTCCCCAACGCACAGCTGATAGTAGACTACCGCCACACTACATTTTCCCCGCATAGGGAATCACCCTTACCCAGCCAACCAACCTGCAAGTCAATAATGAGACGGGCAACTCTTGATCCTGTCTCATCTCTAAGTTTTATAACATAAATCTGCGTAGTTCAACAAGTAGAACCAGAGGGTATCTCCACAGAAACATTAAATCGTGGGTGGATGATCTTAAGCTTTTCTTGAGTGGCCTGCTGTTCTGGTTAGATCGCAAGACGGCACCATTGATGGTTTTTGACATCATACCCTCGAATACTGGCCTTCTAAGGCCTTTTGCGCCGACATACACTGTATAAAGGGCAAGGCCACTGGCCTGTCCCAGAGCTTTTGGGCTCAGGCAGGTTATCTCTCGGTCTAAGGATCTGTGTTTAGTCTCTCGGAGCGCTTCTCTACCTCCCTTGCTGTATGCTACTATCTCATCCATAGCCAATCGGACTGACCTCAGTGTGTCCGGAGAGCCATTATTATCGCCGCCAACCAATCAACGCCCCTATCATCTGTTCGTCCTCTTGAACCCTTAACAACTCAGCCACCTTAAATTAAGACACAGGAGCAATAAGTGTCTTTTTTTACGCTTATTTATAACAGATAAGAGTTCCCTGAGTACCTACTACTTGGAAGCCTCAGCTTCAGAATCTATTATTAGCTATGCCCTGCGTCACTAGAGTAATTAATAACCACAGCAACTTTAGAAGAGGAAGCAGGCCATGAGTCTTCATAGCTCTGCTTGGCCTCTATCTGAGACTATCTCCACGGTGGCACCATGATTTACTGTGTTAAAAACTCGATTCCGCGACCTAGTCATCTAGGATGTTAACAGAGCGCCAACCCCCCACAAGGCCCCTAAATTCATTAAGACTCCCTGAATCCCCAACTGATTAATACTATTAGAAACAATGGTTGTTTCCCACTCCAAGGCGGGTCGGCTTACTGCCTATAATTGTCCCGTGAGAATGGAGTTTCGGACCGTGCTTTGCAATCCTGATGTTGTATTAATGGGGCCAGTCCTGCCATGCCCTTGCGAGTGGATATTCTATCCTAAGTAAATATGGAAATCTCCTGTGTGCCTGTTTTCATGGATAAGAGTATTGATAGAGCAAGACCTCTCTGCTGTGCTCCATGGATCAACTTAAAGGCCCAGTAGTTGGATAGACCATTACCTAGAAAGTGAGTCCCTTTATCTGTCAATGTTACCCTATGACTAGGCAGCAAACAAGGGTACCGACCAATTAGGCTGCCCAGGGCAAATTTCGACCACGTTGCCTGTTTGTGACACCAGCGGTCTTAGCTATATAAAGAAGCAGGCTCCCCACTGGGCTAAGCGCTAAGATTCAGGACTGAACCTCACCACGCCCCTGCTCAGCACACGAGTCATATATCCTTGCCTGCTAGTAGCAGCCAGGATCAAGCCCAACTGCTTCCCAGCATATTAGATATCTTCATTTCCTAAAGGTTTAGCGCCTGCCACCTTCCCCTTTAAACTCACTAAGTACCCTTCCAGTATTCCTGCGCGAGTTTCAAAGGTACGAAATCCCTTCCTCCCATCTTTCTTTCTTTATGAGCCCTCTTTTGCTCTTCATTTTTCTCTCTAGGGCTAAACAACACCACTCTATAGGATCATCGCCTGATCCAGCTCCAACATGAAACCCCTTACCTACCTCTCCCTCCTCCTCGGCATCTCCGCAGCCACCACCCTCGCCGCTCTCCGCCCAGACGCAACCCCCGATGAGGTCGCCGCGGCGGAAGCTGAGTGCGGGTCCCTAGGCGTGATGAGGATCGACCCAGCAGAGCTGCCTGAGGGCGTTACAATGACTGATGTCCGCATGTGCGCCGACCATCCACTCGGCCCCGGGGCGTACCCAGGTCCGGGTCCTGGGGCTTTCGCCAGGCTCCGGCGGTTCTTGCCGAGTTGGGTGTTTTGAGGACGGCTTGGGACTGGGAGCTGGGTTAAGGCCCTGTGGGTAGTCTGGCACGCAGGCTTCTTCTGCTCACGCGCGAGCTGGCTTTTCATACCCGGTCTGGTTGCCTGCGCTGTGCGGTGGGAGCAGCCGTTTGGGACTGGAACTCTTGGAAAATGCATGGTGTCGCTTGATGTGAATTTTTGGCCAACTCTTACACTTATCCGGCTTAATCAAAATGATTGCATAACTAGCGACTCCAAACTTTCCTGTACTTTCTATCGGGGTACGAGTATCATATATACAACCACGAGAATCGAATCCAAGATACGGCTCCCTCTATAGAGATTATCTTGTTAGGCGTGTAGGACCAGGTTGACCATCCTGGCGATCGGCATCTTGGTCGAACAGTGAACTTACGAGTCCAGTATTGATCTGCTTCACTACCATTTGGGGCACATCAAAGGGACATCAAGAGATTACTACTATTGCACTACAAGTCAATTCAGCACATCTATATTTGGAACACAAAACCCGTCTAATTGGAACAGGATGCAGGGGACGGTGTTTAGCCTGGAATGAAGTTGACGATTAGAGTCCAACAAAAATTACGGCTTTCGAACAGTGGCAGAGTTCATTCCATAATCAGCCCAGGCACCATGCAAGTCATATTTGGCCAGTAATTCCTGAGCAATTAAGCTATCATTCTATTGAGAGTTACGGCTCTGTTGTGTGATTACTAATAGTGCCTTCAAATCTTCCCCTTGGGCCAACTGGGTCATACAGTGAAGACTGAGGAAAGGAGTTTGTGGACTGGGCAACTAACGTGGAGGGCGAAACAAGCCCAAGGGAAGTTCTAGACCAGCAAAAAACCATAATATACTTAGCCGAGCCTCTCAGCTGCTGGCCATCTTTACTGGAAAGGAAAAAGAAGAAAGGGGGTTAAAAATAAAGAAAAACAGACCTGTCTGATGTAATGCCATCCCATTCGCCCATACAATATAGTCAGGGCTTCTTGTGCTATAATATGGGACCCTCCATTCTCATCCTACAACTACCTCTTCAGTCCACTGAGGGCAGTTACTAGATTGAATCTGGCCAAGCTGTGGTCAGGTTCGGACCAAGCAATATCCCCATTTAGTCAAAGTAACTGATGTCCTTTGGTGACCCTATTCCTTTGCTACATGGCATGTTTTCAGTTGGCCTAGTCCGCCATTGTGAATTTTTGGAAGATTCTCAGTCAAATTATAATGTCAGTTGGATCACCACCTGTGGTTGAATATAACTAATACCATCATCACCCAGACTTACTCCATAGTGAATATTTCAATGGTATCCGCCAGCCCTACCATGGAAAACTAGGCCTCCGCCCCAAAAGTGGCTAGAGAGCATTCACATAATTGGTTGCACGGTAGGTTTGTTTCTGCATCCTGAATATGTACCTAGATCTCATCAACTTCACACCTTCTCCATCGTACCACTACACTTCCCAGAGTGACATGTACCTTTCGTTGTCTAATCGTATCCGTATAGGCTGGTCATATAACTATCTGAGTGGTTTCATCATATCACTTCGAAAAACTTCCTCTTTCTCAACATCACCAGTAACAGCTTGACTGACGTCAACCAGAGCACAATCAAGCTCAAACAAAGCTTACTCGCATTGAAATTCTTACTTCTGATTTACTTTGATACCATCAGCTATGGCCAGCTCAAAGCCATCCAGGTGCTCCCTTTGAGGATCCTGACCGCGTCAAGCTGTTGGAGATGATCGCCGAAAAGCTCAGGGAGACAGCCTGTGCCCAAAGGATAAGTACTTTTAAAACTTGTTACGCGGGCTTGTGGCTTGCCAATATTTAGAGATTAAAAGCATTGGGTGATAAAGAGCCTTTGCTCATTTATTACCGCCTACTGGTCTCCAAGGTCGACTACAAACCAAGTCAAAGATGTCAGTAATCCTCCAGCCTACCATTATGTACAGCTAACAGTGTTCTATTCAGGGCCACAAAAGGACAACAATGCTGAATCAAGAGCTTCATCTGCTCCGCAGACACCAGTCAAGACGGCGAAGAAGACCAGAATAGACAAGCCGTCGCGGAAGGAGTAAGCTATACCTTCCCTCTAGGATCTATTGCAACTGCCTTAGTACTAACCACATATTATCCTAGTGTTGTTTGCGCGATCAGACCTGCATTCTAACGAAGTGCAGAAAGGACATATGCGAGGCGTGCCATTTATACTCTTATTGGATGAATGACGAGAATACTAAAGGTGTTAAGCTATTCTTAAACACTCTGAGAGAGTTGTGGAGTGATACTATACCCCGAGGGGCACATTGTCTTCGAGCCAGTGGTCAGAGATCCGGAAGGCAACTAGCTCACAGTTAAGTTTTGGTGGCTGAAGCAACATTGACACGCAGGGGCTGTCAACTTCAGTGTTATCCTGCAACTTCCATGAGATCTCCACCAATCAGACTATGGTGTTGCTCTGCATGATGTCCGTAACGATTGTGCATTGCTCTCTGGTGAGACGGTGAGGCTGAAGAGCCATGATCCGGAGAATTATCCACTCCCAGATACATGGATCCTTGAAATGCAGTGGATCCTGAATCATGTGTCTGTGTTAAGTGGTGCTACAAAGGAATCACACCCAAGTCTGCTTTGACGGTATAACAGCGTTTTCCTATGTTCTGTTTGTTTTGCAACAGCTCGCATGCTTGTCTTACTTGTCGCTCCATGCTAGTCTCTCAATGACTACGCTCCATGCTTGTTCCTCAATGACTACGCAGAGACTGCTTGTTTAGCAAGCTGCATTTGCACTCCATGATGTCTGCACCCTTTTTACTACGGAACGATAGGGCGTATTCCTCAGGACATGGTGAGGAAGCTTACCATCCTTCGAGACTTGTACTACTTGGATAACGACGACGAGACTGAAAGAAGACATCAATTGGAACGTCCGAGTAAGGACGATAATTACCAGGACTCTGAGGAGGAGGAGGAGGACGACGACAACAGGGAGGAAGAGGATGACGATGTGGATGATGAGACTGAACCGGGAAGGGTTAATTGTAACTACGGAACCAAAGGTCCTCGACGACGATGACGATGAGTGGGATGGAGACTGGGCCGAGGGCTCAGCTAATTACCCAGGCCAGAGTTGCAATTTGGAATGATTGTATGGGATAAGTGTTTCTGAGTATGGCTGTTAACGCGCTCGATCTCACATCGATCACCCGCTGGCACATGGGCCCGTCCAGCCAGCTACTCAAGGTCAGTACATTAATTTGATCTTCATGGCAAACGTCTGAAGAGGGGCAATACTACTACTTGAGTATAGCGCGCCCAGAAAGAGGTGAACATAGGAAATTATCATACCTTTAGTGGTGGTAGCCATACTATCGCCTACTCCACTCCCTCCACGTACTCTGTAGGCGCCATCCCCCCAGCCGCAAAAGAAGAGGAAGAAGAAGGCCAAACAAGCTAGGAAGGAAAGGAGGAGAAATAAGAGTACTCAATAAAGAATGCCAATAGATGGGACGGCGCAGAGTACATTTCAATCTTACCCATGGCCACCCGGGTGCGGTGGATGGCATCTGGCTGAAAATGAAAAGCCTGGAACTGTGAGGTTGTTAATGTGACTAATATGTGACATAGTATAAACCTGCTGAGTATGTGATCTTGGACTCAACATGCTGGGTCTGGCAGTGATGATGAGGAAGGCAGTGGGAGTGAGTCTGGTGGTGAGTCTGATGGCGAGTCTGATGGCGGCAGCCTGAGCAAGCAAATGGGTGGCAGAAAGACATGGCATGTGGGACAACGGACCACCTGGCGACGAGGATTGATACACCAAATACAACATTCCGGACATTGACAATGATCGTGACACCTGGCCGGCGGTCCTTAACAAGCTTGGTATTACCACACTCAAAATCAATGAGGACATCACCGTTTTTCCATGGGGAAAACCTGCAACTGTACTTCAGAAAACACTTGCTAATGCCCCTGGTTTTACCAACAACACCATCTTTACTGAAACTGCTCGCAAGGCCCTCATACACCTGGAGAAATGGTATTTCAACCTCGAAGATGATGAACGCAATGCCTTGTCTTCTAAGTCAATTTTTAGCTGGGCAATCGGAAAGAAAGCAAAGAAATATATTGCAGAAACATTGGAAGGGAAGAAGATATAGATGTGTTTGTTGTCAAGCAATAATAGAATCAGTGAACAGCAAACGCTCTATTAACAAAATAGTGATTAATACACAACAATAGGAAATAGCTCTATTGATAAAACTGTGAATGAAAGATGAAAGGAAACATGTGAACACAAAAGAAGAACACAACAGTGAAAAGAGTGATAGCCATGGTGACAGGGGTTGTGGAATCCAAGTCCTGTGGGAGTGGTAGAGGTCCCTTGAGAGAGCTCTCTGCTTAGTACTGTACTGGCCATAGTGCTGTAGTCTCTGATGTCTAATTCTTTATGAGGACTACCTTCCAGGCACTATTCCTACCACTACTGGACCTGCCCTAGTAAGCTATGACCCAGACTGAGATCACCCCTTAGCAGCAGCAGCCTACGACCTAGAATTGTAGGATATTTGGCCATACTCTACTAGTATACATTAGTCATGTATATCTCATTGTGAATCTATTTTCATGAACCAATGATGAAGATGCTTGACATTGGATAAAACTATAACTAATGGACTTGCCTTATGTAATGATGGGTCTCTTAAAGTACGTACCATAGCTTTATCAACTTTGATTAGCTCCACACATTCTATTCTGGGGACGCGCGTAATGACGTCACCATGTGAAAGCATAACAATTGAGGACTGATGGCATAGTCATATTTCTTACGGATTCGATGACATTTCCTATTGGCATAAATCAGTAATGTATAAGCTGGACAGTGTTGCTATTGAGTAACAAGCACCATCACAACAACGGCTACTAAATACAGTACATGATCCAGAATGTAGATTATGGTATTGTTGCCTGCCAAGAGAAATGACATCTTATGTGCTCCACTTCTATACTTGGACGTGCCTAGGGCAATGCCGATCACTGCCTCTTTGGTGAAGGCACCGACATCATATCCAAGTCATAGCTGTCTTACAAGGCTACAATTCCTATCTTGTATGCACGGAGTAGCAGACGGCTACAGACTGGTAGAATACAATTTCAGATTCGGATGATCAGCAGCTTAGCTGCAATTAACTTTGTTGATCCCAACTGGAATAGTCACGAGGTGCCACACCCACTGGATGCTCGGAGGATCGTGACGGTGATATCCATCGAATCACAGAACCCTTGGGGGCCACGATTCGCTTTTTCGCTGAGATAGACACTTGTATGAAGGTTGAGGGAGCTGATCGACTGTGCAACGGGCTAATTGTATCATAATCGGCGCTGGATTGCGCAACGCAATTGATCTGCGACCTGGTGGATACCCTGTCATTAAAGAGACACAGCTTCGAGAACAACGAGATCCGTGCTCCCACTTACATCAATAAGGCTGACGACCGAATTTATGAAATTTAGATCAGTCATGACATGTGGCTGAAACGATGCAGCTCGTTGTGGTTGACTCTCCGCACGATGACCGCGAGATGACGGCATTGCTCCTTGCCACACTCTAGGGATACCACAACTCTCCCAGCTTGACGTAATCCCCAAACATGAAAGTGAGAACATGCGCTATAAAAGGATTGATCATTCGTCTTAAGTTCGTTTGAACCAATCTACAATCCATAACAAAACTACACATATTAGTTCGAATACAGAACATCGCAAATCTTCTACAAAATGTCCAACATGATGCATAAGGTGAAGGAGGCCTTGACTGGCCACCATGGTGACTCCCACACAACGAACCATGGGCCTCATGACTCCAAGGCTGCCAACAAGGTCGATCCTCGGGTCGATAGTGACCGTGGTATGTGTACCAGCGTTCAACATTGACAAAGGCCTGGACTAACAGTGCTTCTTGTTAGACAACCGCGCTCGCCATGAGGCCATGGGAGGTACTGCTGGTCCTCATACATCCGACACTGCCAACAAGCTCGACCCTCGTGTAGACAGCGACAGAGGTATGCTTTCCTTCTGACCTCTGACTCTGCTCGGAATCTAACTTTGCAGACAACCGTGGAAACACCACTTCTGGCGCCTATGGTAGCAGCAACACCTACGAAACCACTAGCAACACCTACGGATCCAGCAACACTTATGAAAATACAAGCAGCAATGCTGGTCCTCACGGCTCCAACGTTGCCAACAAGCTTGACCCACGTGTCGACAGTGACAGAGACAACCGTGGTACTACCGGCGGCTACGGCACAGGCACTACCGCTGGCAACACTTACGGCAGCACCAGCTCCAACGTCGGCCCCCACGACTCCAACATTGCCAACAAGCTCGACCCACGGGTTGACTCCGACGCGGACAACCGTGCCCGTCACTCCGCCATGGGAGGCACCGCCGGACCCCACGGATCCGACTTGGCGAACAAGCTCGATCCCCGCGTCGACAGCGACAGAGATAACCGTGGCCTGGGTACTGGCACTGGCGCCTTCGGCTCCGGAACCGGAACTGGAACGACAGGCTACGGCACCACTTCCTCAAACGTTGGACCTCACGACTCCAACATCGGCAACAAGCTCGACCCTCGTGTGGACAGTGACCAGGACAACCGCGCTCATCACCAGGCTATGGCTGGCAGCAGCTACACTGGCGCTGGCGCTGGCACTGGCACTGGAGCTACGGCTGGTCCTCATGGCTCCAACGTCGCGAACAAGCTCGACCCTCGTGTCGATTCCGACTTGGACAACCGTGCCACCATGGGAACTCAGCGTGGTTTCTAAGCGACGGCTAATGGATGGGAATGATATTTGATAATGCTTTAATCCTTTGTGATGGAATAACTTTGATACCATGAAATTGCACGATTGATGACTCTATAATTTCGGCTTTGTATTATCAACTTGATAGTCTGCTACAATGATACTTTTTGTCTATCTATTATAAGATGTCTCATAGAAAGAGGTTAATTAGTCCCTCATCTTACTGACTAGATTAATCGCAGGGATGAGCATCAGCAATGACTTAGTACTGCGCTGTTTTACGACCTGCATTGTCACGGTACAGGATGGCCCTGAGACTCTAATGAGCATCCGGGTTACATTGAATGATATTATGCACAGAGGTGAGTCCCATGCCTTCATATTGTACTACGATTGCAGTGCTAACACACGGTACTGAGTAGCAACAACACCGAGATCTCCTCGACTATCGACAGTATCCCATCCTCAATACAACCCCGACCAGCTCCCTCAACTATACGCCGCTATAGCCTTATCAAACGCATCCGCAATCTGCTTATTGATCATCGGCGCGAGCTGCGCATACAACGGCGCCAACTTCACCGCAACCGCATTCCCAAGCTGCCCCGACAAATCCTTCTGCTGCTGCAAATTCCCCTTAACCAGGAACGCCAGCGATCCGATCCCCAGCAACCCCGTATCAAACTTGGGCTTCTTCGCGACGATATTGTTCAGCGTGGAGAAGATCTGCGGCTGGAGGTTGATGAATGCGGTTGCGACAGTGAGCGATTCCGCGTTCGTGAAGTTGGCGGACGCCTGTGTGGTGGAGATTGCGTCCCGGAGGTCGCAGGAGAGCTTGACGGATTCGACTTCGATCTTGAGGGCGGTGAGGGTGCCTTGGATGCCGCCGTCGTAGGAGGTGACGGTGTTGTTGAGGACGACCATTTGGCTGGCGATGCTGTTGACGGCGTCTACGACGGCTGTGGCGTCGCGTTTGGTGATTGTTGCGGTTGGGATGGCGCTGGCGAGCGCCGTGGCCGTGAGGAGGGAGAAGAGGAAACGCATCTTCACTTCAGGTGATGATGAGGAGGTGATAGTTTACTGCCTGTGGTTGTTGAAGAAGTTGACCAGGGGAATTTATACCCTGCACTGCATCGTGGACTCCCGGTCTTCACGATCTTGCAAGAATCACAATGTCTGTGCCCAATTGCGCAGGTTCCATGAATTCTTCCCCCAATACTATAACAGGATTAATGGGACTATATTGTACCCCGCAAAAAGAAAGCGAGATGCAATATTGCAGACAGGGGTCCGAACGAATCATGCTGCCTCGTGGCTGACGAGTTGATGTAACCCCACATGTGAACGGGGGATCCTCCCGAGGCTTGTTGTGAAAGTGAAACATTTTGCCTAGAACAGCAAGCTTTGCGATTATATCGACCGTTGAATCCCTGTTAAGATGTTGTGAGTGGCCTTGTAGCCGATTCTTTCACCTCGGATGGGTCTATGACTCTATGTTGAAGGTGGAAGCCTTGTGACCTGGTGGTCTAGTCTTATTCCACCGGACTACCAATAGTGATCCGCGAATCAAGTGAATCCGTGCAGACTCTGGCTAGATGCTCCATCACAATTCCAACCCCACTGATAGTCAGGTCCAAAGGTTCTTTAACTGAGCCGATCTGAGCCGCGGTATCGATTCTCTGTACGATTTCAAAGGCGTCAGCCCAATGGAAGAGCTCTCGGGCATAGGCCTGGGAGAACTGAAGAATTTCACTGAGCAGCATGACGCCTTAGTGAGCCTGTCTATCCCTCCTTTGTAACGTTTATATCAATCCTCAATTTGCAATAGCTTCGTCAGTTGAAGCTGTTACTAATACATCTGCGGTGAATGCTGTATAGACGACTTTCCAGACGGTACTCACATATCGATGGCGTTTACAGTACTTTGCCTAGTGGCAGACTAAGTGCCCTATGCGGAATACCCATGTCCTCATTTGCTGTATTTGTTTGCCGAGTCATGATCTCAGTAATCGGTAAATGTAAGCGCGAGGCTTTTTGATGCCATGGGGGATCCTCCACCTGTTAGAGTGTTGATAAATCCCTCGGCTCTAACGAATTATCCCTGGTGATATAAGAAAGTCAGCAATCTGGTCATAAACCCTGTAATATGCTTGGCGACTTACAAGTATTTTCCATCAGCCAGGGCGACTGCCCCACAAAAGCTGTTGATAGGCAGATACTGGACTCCAGCACACGATGAGGTGTGATCTTGCCCCTGCAGAACTGGAGTCTAGACTCTGAGACAATCAGGCAACTACCGATAGGTAGGATTCTCTGTCACCAGCCCCGGAGCACGCTTTCTAGTGCTAGCAGCAGAGCAGGGGTCACCAGCAGACACATAAAGTAAGGTGTGCTCCAATCTTGAGACAAACTATGTTGGTTTGTTAGGATTTGATCCTAGGTGGTTATGTTGTCTTGGACAGGTCTATTAACGAAGTGGTAACCCTGTGACTTAATTTTTTTCTAAACAAACATTTTTTTGAGCTATGGATAGGGATCCACAAATCCATTGAATTAAATGTCCCCACAGATATTAACTGTCCCTCTCGATAAAGTCGAGACAAGCGAATACTACTCCTTAAGTTGGCCTTAGGCTCGTTGTTGGCGGTATTCGTGAGAGAGGATGGCGGGGAAGATGGGCCAGGAAGATCTGGCGATTGCAACACAGGCCTTGTTCAATACTCTAGTCCGTCAGCGGAGTCTTCATCTGACTCATATTCTTCCAAGTCCTTCGGCTCCGCCCCTCCCCTTAGGGCAAGCACGCGATTAAGGATCCACTGCAATTCAAGGATCCGAAAATCGGGCAGGGGATAATTAACGGGATCAGGAGTCTCAAGAGTGATTGGGTCACCAGAGAGGAGTGGTTTATCATCGCGGATATTGTGGAGTCCAACCTCATACTCTCTTGGGTGCTGATTTGGTGGAAGCTGCGGAGCAATGCTGAAATCAACAACACCTGTATGTTGCTTCAGCCACCAAATCTTCAGCATGATCCACTTGCCTTCCGGATCTTCCTCGACAGGCTCAAGCGCAAAGTATCCCCTGGTGTACAGCTCATGGGCGTCGGGGGAGAGAAGTATGAAGTTTGCGGCCCTTTCAGTTCCGAGGACATGTCCAAAAATGGCATTACGCCATGCTTCGACCTTTTCAGCAGACCAAAACTCCCTTAAAGCGTCAAAAAATTGTTTGACACCGTTAGAATTTGGGTCACTCATGCAGTGGGGGTATAAGTGGCACGCCTCGCAGATGTCCTCTCTGTACTTCGATAGAATGCAGGTCTGATCGCGCAAACGACACTAGGATATCATGTGGTTAGTGCTAATGCAGTTACAATAGATTCTGGCCGGAAGGCATAGCTTACGTCGCGCTTGGCTGGCTCACTTCTAGGCGGCTTCCCCCAGGGCTGGCTCAGCGGTTCCCCTTTTCTTTTCCGCCCCTTACCAGAACCCCCTGGCGATGATGGGAGCGTCACCACCTTTAGGGCTCGTGGAGTACTGGGAGAGCCTTCGTCCGTGCTCGGCCCAGCGAGGACAGGGGGGGAGACAACCCACGCAGCCTGCTGGATGACCTCGGCCTCGGCTTGGTCAGCAGCTTCCTCGTCACTGTCATCATTCGCCGCCATGACCATGGGCTTTAAGAGGTATGAAATTGGGCTGAGAATTGTGAGAGGGCTTTGAGTGTGTTGATACACTCAAGCCACCGGGATATCGTATGCTCCTCGAAGATCGACCACACCTTCTGATTGCTCCGCTGCCCTCATCAGTCACGAAGTAACCAAAACGGGGGAGGTCAAAGGTGATGTAAAGAGCAGTCGTCTGCTTCAATATGATTTTAATGACAATGATGGGCTAGTCTCCATCTATACTAGTAACAATGCCTTACCGATGAAAATTCCACAGCCGATTGACAGCCAAGTTTGCCTTGCTTGTTTCTTCAAGCGGAATAGGTATGCATACTACATGAAACCTTGTCTGACCCAGAGTCTCTCAGCATAATCCTGCAGTGCTCGCTCCGAGAGGATAATGTCTCTTTCATGGGGTCCTGTTGCTTGACGTCCCATAACCTTGTTGAAAGGTAGCACTAGTTGTCCCCCAGTGACGGATGTCGTGTTATTGACTCGGTATACCCGGGTTGTTGAAGAGATGCTAGCTGACGCAGGGGAAGACCGTGGGACTAGATGGTCGGTCCTGATCCCATGCTGCCATAACCATAGCCTTCACGAGATCATGCAGTTGCGCCGAGAATCGGGGGAGGGCTTTGGGTGTGTTGTTACACTCCAGCCATTGGGATATTGTATGTTCCTGGAATATTGACCACACCTTCTGACTGCTCCGCTGCCTCAGTCAGTGGACGCGTCCCGCTGCCTGGAACAGCGTATTGAGATTCAGGGGGGTTCAAGGAGGATCACACAGCTACACTCCGCGTGGAGGTTGAGGCCATAGGCCCCACATTAGTATGATATGAGCAGGATGCAGCAGGAGGATTCGCAGAGGTCGAAGGTGCGATTCAGAAGCGGGGTTGCCATGTCAAGCTTTGCCCACAGCTCTTGTTTTTCGGTTGTCGGAATGTCGTACGTGGCCGATGTTCCAGCTCTCGTGGTCAAGACTTGGAGTCCGACTTCGACAAGCCGAAACCCTATAAGGGGATACCTAGTCTATACGCCGGGATGGTGTGGCTTGCCTCCTGTGCTGCTCGTGATGCTCCTGCTGGAGTTGCCGCTCTTGCAGCTGACGTCCCTTGCGACGTCGTTCCCTCTGGTTGGGTCCTTTTATACGAGCACGGACCGAGGGCGGTTACTTCCAGTAGCGAGGACCCTGGTGTGATCGAATTCATTAGATTGAGCTGTTTGCATGCTCGGATAGTTCAACGCACCGTCGCGATAAGAACACAGTCCTTCAGGTTATGTCTATATGCAAGACATACCGGCAGTACTTTCCCTATATCAAAAGCCGCGAGTAAGTATATTTCTCCACGGAAGATGCCACTCCAAGGACATACCTCTCTTCTTCACCTTGCCTGGTCCCCTATCAGGTGGAGGCCGACCACCGTTGCCGCGATTGGGGCGTCTCCCACCGGAGCAATTTGCTCCTTCTGGCGCATGCATGGATGCATTCAGACCTTGGACCGCCATAGTCATATTGGACAACCTTGCTTGTTCAGCGATACTATCTTTAAGTTGTTGTCGAAGAAGCCGGGTCATTCTCGGGTCCAGTCCCGTTGGCGGAGCTGCTACCTAAGAACAGGAGCTATTCAAGGGACAATCACCCTCCGTGACAGCCAGGAGGCCACTGCTGGAAGAACAGTAAAATTTCAGTCAGCAATGCTACCACAACTAACAGGACTTGAGAGTTGCGCAGCAGTAACGTACATGTCATGGAAACTATGCAATCCCCATTCTTGCCGAGATGATAGGAGCATCTGCGCTGCTTGAGCCAGCCATAGCTGATGGCATCAAAGTAAAGAGTGTAAGCAAGGCTTTGAAATGTACAAACAGGGAGTTTGAGATGATTTAAGCTTCATTTAATTTGTGATGAACCTATTATAGAAGATGTTGAGAGGTAGAAGATTATTCCATTGTGCAGCGAGTCAATCTTCCCTCTGATTTAGTCTCGGTCCATCTTTGAAATATTCACTAGCAGCTTTGCTAAAAGAAAGTGAATATAGCTTATATGAATAGAATAAAGGTCTCCTGCCGCTGCCTCTCGAGCCTTATCTTAGAAGACTTTGGTGAATGCCTAGAGCCACTATTTCCACAAACATATTATCGTAAAATGAGAATACATTCTTAGCGACTGGTTGAATACCTATAAAGTACGGATCTCGATCAGGCAGATCTCTAAGTCCAGATCATGCAGCAGGGATTAGAGGTACCCCACTCCGAGACAACTGTCGCATTGATTCCACCTCAGGATTGCCTCGATACCCTCATCTGGTTCGGAAACAAGAAAATATGTACCATGAAATGGTAACAAATGGCTTCTTTTGATCTTAGTAATGTAAGTATATCACCCTTTACAAGGTCCTCCCACAATAAACATGCGATAGCCTGCCAAACGAAACATTTGACAATATATCTATGATTTGTTGTCAGCTCCTTGTCCTGTCAACGTTCGTTACACTCGTTCAATAGAAGACCAAGCACGGCCTATCGTGACACATCATGAAATTCGGGATTCTCGTGACCTATGCCCTCACCGAGTCAGCGGCTGCAAAGTACTGGAGATCAGTGAATCCATGATCTTGAAAGTCTGTCTTACAGTCAGCATGGGAGAAGCTGTGGTTATGATACTCGTGCGAAACTCAACATCAGTCCCTATCTCAGACGTGCTCAATGCTTATACAATCGAAGATATTAGAGTTATCATAATGAGGAAGATACCCGGTGCGACTCTTCAGGCATGCTGGGAAGGTCTTTCCGCGGATTCCCAGCAACTCATGCTGGACCAGCTCCGAGGCTATATACAGGAATGGCGCAAAATTGGGGGTACGTTCTTTGGGTCTGTAGACCAAGAATCCTGCCAAGATACGGTGTTTATGCATCCATGGGGGAATCAGAATTATCATCATGGACCATTCAAACACGAAAGGAATTCAACCAAGGTGTCGTCGAAGCGCTTAAGAACACATGACCTGGTGAGCAGCTAGTTGATGAGGATGACTACCGCCTAGCAGAAGATATTCTTGCATCAGGGGAGAATGGGCAAAGACGAGAGGAAATTCCTTACTCATGGTGACCTACACCCCACTAATATCATCATCAACGATGGTAAGGTAGCTGGAATGATTGACTGGGGCGCAGCTGGATACAGTATTGCATCAAGGGAATACTTTGGCTTAGGTTGGATGACACCGGATTCATCAGGGGGAAAATCAGCATGTACCATTCTGCCCTCGGATGAGTATGAGTTTTGGGCCAAAGTGAATTATTCCATGACTCAATACACGGGCATCTAGGTGTACATAGTTCTGCATGGACGTTGTTTTTTAAAGGTAGTCCAATTATTCCAATAATCTGTTTTCCAGCTCCCTTACTCAATCCAGTAGCTTCAGTTTCATAAGCTTCTCTGCTTAGAAGAAACCAATGCGTCAAGAGTGGGTGTTCACGAGGCGAGGAAACACCGAGACAATTCTATCCAATTCTCCATCTAAACATTCTAAGTGTTTAAAGAATGAACGAGACAACCAATCCAAACCGGACAAGGATAACACATCCTTACTGAGTCTCAGGTTGCGTCTGAATCTCAGCCTGAGTCTCCATCTGACCCTGACCGTGACCCTGAACCTGTCGAAGCAGAGTCGGCGGAACCGGCTCATGCTCCCACCACTGCTGCTTGAAGAACGCCTCGTCAAACCGCGATTCAACAGCCGGACGTATTCTCCGTCTTCCTGCAAACGGCACATCGCCATACATATCATAAAAGCACCCCTGGATACTCATATCCTCCGCAAAGAGAAGATACCCCAGCTTCTCTGCGCAGTCACGACCATCCGTCTCCCTACCCCGCCAGCAGAACTTCAGCCGTCTGTCCTTCTGGAAGCGGATGGGTGATTCCTGAAACAGCATGATGCCACGATAGACGCCCATGGCGAACATGCCCCAGACGCAGCTTTCCCTGCGATCCACGAGAAGACGCATCCTGAGTTTGCTGGCTTTGCGCGACCAGTTGTGTTTCATGGCTGGGCTGGAGATTTCGTAGCTGCCGCAGACGACATCGAGGAACTTGTCTTGGTCGTGGCGGGCCCGGGAGCGCTGCATGGCGAAGGAGGTTGCGTGGAGTCGACTGATGGTGCTTGGGGCCGGTTGGGACTGCTGAGTGAGCTCGTCTGGTGGCGGGGTAGTGTGTGGTGTCTCAGCTGGTTGACGGGCAGGAGAGGATGGGTGCACTTCCGTGGTGACCTCGTCCTGGTCCTGACCTTCCTCCTCCTGATCCTGCTCGCAGTCCATCTGCATAGTCTCGTCATTCACGACCTGCGACTCCGGCTCGGGAGAATGTGCAAGCAGCACCAGGCGCTGTGACTCCGGCTCCTTCGCTCTGTCGTGCTGAAGATAATTCCAGTCCGCGACGAACGTCTCAATCGGCCACGGGACCATGGGCGGTCCGACCTCCCGCACGGCCTTGAAGTCGCACTTGTCGTCGGGGAAATCGGCAACGGCCATTCCCTTGAAACAGCCAGACACAGGGCCTTTCCCACCCAGGGTGATTTCTCCGATTGTGATACCCTCGTTGTCGTACGCGACCTCGGGCTCGTTCTCGCAGACGCCTCGCCACGCGAAGGAGTACGTGGTCGCGGTGTTATCCCGCGGCCCGGGATCGATGAGCATCAGGCCCTTCCAAACGCCAATGTCGAAGCAGCCCCAGAGACGGTCGTAGTCCCAGATGAGGGTCATCCGACATTCCTGGTGAGGGAGTTCGCTGATCTCAAGTCGGTACGTGCCCTGGAAGAGTTGCATCGCAATGGCATCTGCTTCGGAGATCGACAAGCTGCACAGGTAGTCGTTGTGCTTGAACGGGATCGGAGCGGGAGGGATTCGCCGGTTGCGATTTGCATGAGGACCATTGAGGGGTGTGATCGTCGTGAGACGATGGAATATGTCGGGCAAGAACTCCTCATCGGCGAGAGTGTTGCTCTGGTTCGGCTGCTGGAGCTCCATGATCTGTGTAAGACCAAGTTGACTATTCTCACCGGTCTGAGTGGCTTCAGATGATCTCTTCTTCTTTTTGTTCTTCTTTCTCTTTCTGCGTGCTTCTTGGGTCTCGGGGAATTGGCTCTCCGGGCCTACTGCTTCGCCTTCCCCATGGAGCTCGTAGAGAACAGATATTTCATGCGAGTCCACAGCGTCGGACATGAGCTCGACCTTTCTTTTGTTCATTGTGAGGGGAAACTAATGAATGACAGAATGAGATAATGAGTGACAATATGGAAAAGAGCAAATGAATGAAAGGAGAAAAGAGTGATGAAGAAGAAGATGAAGACAGAAGGGGGGCGCGAAACTTTACTCTGTCCAGAAAACAGCTGCTTTTATACCAAAGCTACTTCACAGTCGTTCATGGCCTCCCCGAAGATTGTCCTCAGTTTGGATACTTGCTCCATAATTTCGAGGCGAAGGGCAATTGATGTATCACAACTGTCATCGATCAGTACCCACCACCTGTCGAACTACGATGGCCACATTCTGGTGGACCTCGTATGGACATTTACATCCTGCCGTAGACAGGTAAGTTGTGATACATATAAAGCTGCTAGAACAGGAACAACTGACGAACCTGGAGTCTTTGGATAGGAACTATTTGCACGAAGCACAGTAGACTGTGTGGTGGCCGAATAGTGAATGAAGAATTACACCATCATAATAGTCAGATGCGAGCAAAAAAAGGAAAATATCATCATAGACAGAACTAGTGAAGACCATCAGAAAAGTGAAGATCTTTACAAGTAGGACTCCTTTCAATTAGAAATGTTGGGTAAAGGAGAAAAGGTCAAGAGTCTTTTCGCCCTGACAGGGCATGCTGGATGAAGCAAAAAAGCAACGTGCAGATTATGAGACACGGGGAAGAGAATATGACAGGTAAGAGTGACTGGCGTCCCTGACTGCAGCTGAACTCTCAGGTCTTGTGAGAACAACTTTCATGTATTTCAAGGGTCCTAATATAGACACACCCCCTTGATATGATTAGTTAGAATCAATGTCATACGACGCACGCGACTTGCTGCAATCCTATCTTTCTAATTTACAATGATTGCACACACTGCACTATCCCTAGTGTAGTAAAATCAAAACTTCTTATAGAGGTAAGCAGATATCTAACTAAAGCTTTAATTCTTAAGTAAATACTGGGTGACTCAGTCAGGTAAGCCTAGTAGATATCTAGGTATATTATGGATGATTAATAGAATTAAATTTGATATTTCTACTAGTTAGCATTCGATATCGATACTAGATGATATTCATATTGGCATTTGATATTGATACCAGATGATATTCGATATCAATGCTAGATGGCATTCTTGGATAGGAGAGGCGGCGCCCTCACCGGGTACTCCACCCACAGGAGCCTAGGCCAGGATAGTGCCTGGTGCTTCTTCCATTCTGTTCCCAGCACCTAGTGCTCAAATTTGCTGCTCTTCATCGTGTATTGAGCTAGTTGTAGTGGATCCTCGCTTAGGTAGCACGTCCCAGGTACCTTGGGAGTGGGTGTTGTGCTTATATTGACGCTCCTCGGGCGGAGGGAGCGTCGATCAGTGACTCAATAATACGAGAGGCCACCGTGGCCACCAGCGAAGTTCTCTTCTCCTGGACAACATGTTGACAAAGAAATACTGAATATGTGTTGCCTGCCAGGCGCCAACAATACCTTCTGGTAATCAAAAAAGAAGGATATCGCCTCAGTCTCAGGACGGAAAAGCAGGAACTGGATTTGCTGAGAGCCAAGATGGATAGTAAGCCCCCCCGTCCAGTTATCCACGCCAACAAGGCTAACTTAGGGAGAACTCTCAAAATGGATCTTTGGCGAGAAATACCACCGTGTCTTGCTCCTGGGAGAAGACAGCTGCGGCAAGACAACCTTCCTGCGCCGCCTCAAATTCGGCAAAATCGGAGAACATGAGCCGCTACCGACGAAGGACTTGGATATCGAGACGATGAACTACCCTGCCACCTACAAGTGGAATATATGGGAGTTTCGGAGTACGCTACTTACACTTTTCCGTTTTTCGTTTTCCGTTTTACATTTTATATCTTGGTCTGGTAGATGCTGACCGACAGGCATCAGTCCGATGCTGGCCCATAATATGGCGGGAGCTTGCGCCACACACTTTGGTTGTGTGGTTGCACGATTGCTCTACCGAGGAGTGGCCACCCTGGAAGTTTCGCAGCTTGCTAGAACAGATGGTGGAGAGAGGATGTCGGTATATCTGGGTTGGGTTGAATAAGCAAGATTCTCCGAACGTCTCGGAGGAGTTGGTTCAGGAGGCGCGACGGAAGTATGAGGAGGAGTTTGCGAAGTATAAGGATGACCTTTCGTGGAAAGTATTAACGCATAAGCTGAGTGCGAAGACTGGGGTAGGGGTAGCTGAGGTCCTCGAGGACATCTACCAGGCCGTGAAGAGGGTGAATCTGGAGCCTGCCAAGGAGGACAACCGGGATAAGACGGGGACCGTCATAAGCGACTCAACGGATGAAAAATTGACTACTGAACAGCTGCAACACCGAATTGAGAAGGAGGTTACTGCCGACACGCTCGACCCAGGTGCGTTCTGGACATCCTTCCTGAAGGGAAACCTGCCAGCGTGGACTCATTACACCTATCTGAAAGCGCTCTATTTCGTCATCCTCGAGTCGGCGAAGAAGAAAACCTTCTATGAGATAGCAGAGGATTTTATCATTCACCTCAACCGACTGAGAAAGATATCCCCTCAGCTATTCAACAACAGCGAGACACCGAGAGCCTACGTCCATGCCCCATTCAGCAGATGCCTGGTCACATTCTGGACTCTACAACTCCAACACGGAGTCCGGGACTATCGCATGCACAGTATGAGCGCAGATCTTCCATCTCGAGAAGAATTCCCCCAAATCCTCCGCCGCTCGCCATCATTGATGAACACCTATCTCTGGAAAAGCTATTACTCCTTCAACCCCGTCTCCAGACCACGGGACGTCTGGTCAATCCCGACTTTACGGCATCTCCCAATACAGACAGATTATCTCCGCGATCCAGTGACAGTGCCTAGGAGAGACGAGGGGCCAGATAAACTCATACGCTACGCCTTCGCTGTGATGCAGTATGTGCGGAACACGGGGGCGGCGCGTGGGCAAGTAGTTACACAGGCGCTGGTAGCACTCCAGCAAGCTACTATGCGTGCGAGGACAGCGGATTCGACCGTTGAGACGTACTCGGAGACACAGGGGTATTTCTGGATTCAGATAGTCCATGCTGCGTTGCGGTCGCTGGATGATGAGAAGGGTTCGGTTGATACTTCGGAGATGTCGTTCGAGGCATTCCAGGAGACTTTCCATCTCAAACCGACTGGCTGGAAGGAGTATTACTCGAAGAAAGCGTGGAATAGCGTCGCTGCGCGATCGCAGTTCGTGATGCCTGATCTCAAGCCGCTGCCGAACGTCATCGCATCTCTCCCTGGCAAAGAAACTAGGAAAGCACCAGAAGTAATCCCGGAGCTCCCATCCGCGGAAGAGCTTACATTTCGGGCCAGGATGGCCTGTGAGGAGTTGACGCCGACTCTGCAATCTTTAGGCCCGCCGGTTCTCAGTCACGCTCATCTTCTGTTCTACCTTCACAAACGCTTTACACAAGATGCCGAGGAAGGGATACGAAAGAAGCTCAAGCCCCGAGCCAGAGAACTGTTTAGCGAGATAGCAGGCCCGATAGTAGCTGGTGCGACGCACCGAAACTTCTGGATCCAGCAGGTGGGAGTCGCAGTGTTGAATTCGGATATTGGCAGGGGCCACTCGACATTCCCAGAATTTATTACGAGCAACCTGCACCTGGTCTTCGAGGAGCTGCATGGGATTTATTACGGACCAGGAGTCTGGACCAGCGCTGATGCAGGGGAGAAGATCCTCGTTCCCGACAGACGAAGGATGGAGACGATCGTCAACATGGCGGACGCGAACATGTCTGCAAACACAAAATAAGTTGATCGTCCATCAAGCTACTCATTCGAGACCCGTGGGATAAGGGTCGAACACCGTTGAAGGTTGTCTGGTCGGGGGTACTTGTGTTGCTGATCAGGACAGAAGGGACATACATAGCTTGGCGAGTTGTGCACTAGGCCATGCTGCATTAATTCATTCTTGCGCTTGAACCCTGTCCCATCCAAACCGTGTGGACACCCTTTCACGTCACAGAAATGGAGCCGGTCTTGCGAGCGCAGATTTGTGTGGGAGCTGGAACATGGTGGGTGGGTTCTGTTAGGGACTCTAGGATAGCTTTCTTCTCTTCTCTTTGCGCTTTGCCTCAAGCGGCTAGTTGATTTCTACTGAGCCGATGCTGGGTCTTGAATGGCGGTGTTGTACATCCGGGATGCGTGCGTTTATAACTGCCCGTCGCCCGAGCGCCATTGATCGGTGCCGTCGAGCCGAACGAGGTCCGCTCGCTTGATTCCGAGGTAGGAGATCCTGTTGGTGTAGGATAGCTCGTGGCCTGGCTCTTGTCAGTCATTGGGGGCTATTGTTACAATTCCAAAAATAGCTCACACCACGCGTTGGGTTGTTGTCCCGATCCAAAGCCTCTCAACTACGGAGTACACCGGGGGCGAATCAGGGGGCGGAGAATTGGTATGATGGGCTGACACCAATTGACAATAGGGAATGGGATGCTGGTAATTCCTTGATTAAGTTATTAGCATACAGCCTCCCTGTTCAATGGTACAGTAACCCAACCGCACGCCTTTTGCGAGCAGCCGACTTTACTCGCATTTCGGATGAACAACTAATTACTTGATGCAGGTCGGCCTCGTTCCGCAAGCCATGCGGTAGTGAACTCCCAACCAGATATACTACCAAGGCTTATTGTTCTCAACCGGACCAGGGTACTGAACTGATCTACCAAGTTCGCGTCTGTAAAGCCTTGGACCTCTATGGGGGCCTGTTCACCACAGTGAAAACTTAGCTTTGTGAGCTGGCTGAGGTTTTTCAAGCAGAGTAGGTCATCGGCTTTACAAGCCCACAGCCTAGCGAAATAATCTCCAGTTCTCGTAGCCATGGCATCTTCGAGAGGTGGCGTAGCTCACTACCTCCTGTTTCCAGGTCCTCGGGGTAATCTTCTGGGTCGACAATTCCTTGCAGGCGTAAGCTCAAACATTGTACTTCTCCGAAAGCCCGCGCTATCGATGGTAGAGCGTTTGGGTAGGTATTAAGGGACAGCTTATCCAGCACTGGAAAAGGTGATGCCAGTGCCGAAATACGAGCAGGTCACGGTCTCTGGCTCAGGAAAACCATGTCGTACTCCAGAATAACATATCTCCCATTCGCATCTGCATGAAAAACATAGTCTATAGGCTAGATCTCTGTAACAGACCTATCCAGGAACGTGGCTTGATAATAAGGAGTATCTCTCAACTAAACCTCCACACATCGCGTCTCTGCCGTTACCACGGCACCCCCTTCCCATCATACTGATTCAATCCCTCATTCTCCTCCCACCCCGGCACATGGATATTCAGAACCTTTCCATTCTGAGACGGAGTTGCCTTCTGCACGATATCGAGGACTGCCTGTGCCCCGGTCGCAGGGGGGAGATCGGCTCTCGACCCGCCCATTTCTGTTTGTAGCCACTGTATTCCAAGGGATCAGCATCTTCGTCGCAGGACAAAAAAACGGTAAATAAAGTGAGAGTAAAGGATACTTACACCGGGACTCACAGCGAGAAAGGTGAATCCCTCGCTAGCGTAATCCTGCGCATACTGCACCGTCAACATGTTCAATGCTGCTTTGGTGATTTTGTACGCTGGTGTTGGTGAGCCTTTGTAAACTGGCGCGAGAGTCATTGAGCCGAGGGTTGTCGATCTATCAAAGTTAGACAGGATTAAAGGCAAGCAACTAAAGAGTAGCACACATATTAACAACGAGTTTCCTCCGTCCCTCGCGGAGTAGAGGGAGAAGAGCCCGGGTGACATTATGGGTCCCAGTGACGTTTGTATGGAACGTCTCAGTCAGGTCATCCCTGCCATTCAGTAAGAACTGGCTCGATAGGTGCAGCGAAGCGGGAGGACATGCATGTTCGCGATTCCACCCTTTGTATGTGGCATCACACCCGCATTATTGATGAGTACATCTAGTCCCTTCCCCTGCAGTTTACCTTGCACTGCGCTGACTGCATCATGCACGCTCGCTGAGTCGGTAACATCGCATTTGACCCACTTGACCCGGTCGGATTGTTGGCTGAGTTTCTGGAGGTTTGGGTGTTCTGAGCGGGATGTTGCGAAGATCGTTCCTACGGAGGAACTGGGGAGGTTGGCGAGATGGCGCACCAGGGCGAGGCCCAGGCCGCGGGAGGCGCCGGTTATGAGGTATGTTGACATTACTGGTTAAGAGTAGTTGATAGATTTGATGATTGATGGATGCTTGGAGTTTGGAGCGGATGACTTATAATGATCAGCTAGAAGGATTATTAATATTTGAACATTCCGCTACTCCATGGTGGACGGAATTTACGGAGATAGCAGTTAAACGTCTGCAAGAATGGACTCAGGGCCATACGTAAGTTGACTGCCGAGCATCACGCTCTCATTATATACACCTATCTCGATATCATATTTCAGCCTTGGGCTGTTCAGTAGAACAATCCCTAACCTCTCTATCATCCGGCCGAGACTTCTCTCTAACCATCATATACACAATCCACGACGCCCATATCACCAATGCAATCGAACACCCAATCATCGCCCACATCCCCCGGGTAAACTGCGGGGCCAGGTTCGCGGAGTAAAATATGATACTCCACCACGCATTGACCGCATTATTCCCCATATTCATACTCGCAAGGACCACCGACCGATGCCGCGCATCCTGCGATCGCATCGCATCGTTGCACCATGCAAAGAACGTAGCTTGGCAGGCATACACGGCGCCGGCCCAGTAATATGCCCCGAACACGGTCGGGGTTGAGTCGAACCTCGTCAGGATGAGGACAGAGGTCACGACCCCGGTAATGCCAATGAAATAGGCAACCAAGTAGCGCTTACCGTGCAGGATGTCTGTCAATGTAGCCCAGAAGAGGGTTGAAGCGATCCCGACAGCCGGAACGCCTGTTGGATAGTTGTTCAGCTGCGCGACGGAGTATTTGATCGTAGGATGAGACTTCATGTACAGTGCCAGAAGTGAGTTAGATGAGAAGGACTCGGTCTCGCCGGCGATCACCCAGAGGATGACAAACGCCCACCAGTACCACGTGGTGAACAAGCGTTTGATGAAAGCCCGATTCAAGGGAGCACGCTCGGCATTGGTCACAGGCAATCTGGAAATGGCCAAGGCACGTTCCGACTCCGTCAGATATGGAGCGCGAGTGGTGGTTGGTGTGTCAGGGAAAAGAAAAAGGCCATAGACGGCAATGGGAAGGGTGATCAGCCCATCAATCTATCCCAATCAGCAGCGGATCAATTTGGAAAAGCGAAAATCTTACAATGAATAACCATCGCCATCCGGAGAGTCCTCTGACCCCATCCAGCGACGAATGAATACCCGTCTGGATGAAACCGCCAAACATCGTCCCTGCCAGACCAGATGCCGTAAAGACACCGCTACGTTTGCCCAGCTCCTCCTCCGTGTACCATGATCCAAGGATATAGTGCGTCCCTACAAACGTGCTTGACTCGGCTAGTCCGAGAAAAAAGCGGATAGCCATAATCCCCTGTGGACTGTGCACCGCGGCTGTAATCATAGTCAGCCCGCCCCACAGGAGGACCATGGCGGGGAAGAAGATGCGTGGGCGAAAGTACGTCAGAGCCAGATTGCTGGGGACCTGGCCGAGGATGTAGCCCACGGTGAAGATGGTATTGATGACATTGAGCTGGTTGCCATGGAAGGCGAGCTCTTCCTTCATGCCTGATACGTATGCATTACTGAGGTTTGCGCGATCGAGATAGTTGAAGAAATAGGTGATACAGCAGAAGGTGAGGATGAAGAAATCAATCTTGAACCGGAGTTTGCTTTCCGCGTCGTGAAACGCAGGAACGAGCCGCATCATGCTGGACCGGATGCATGATGAGGAGGAGAGGATGGTCATCACCCGCTGAGATGAGATTCCTTACCCCTCTTGATGCTCGGACTGGACAACAACCTTAAAGCTAAGTTGATCGGCCTCATGCCGATAGCAAAGAGCTCTTTTGATTCGACAAAGTTTGTCTTTTGCCAAGCCATGTCCCGTGACTTTGCCACATGGATGCCTGAAGGTTAAGGTGTCTGCGGAGATCGCAGAACAAACATTAGAAACACTTGGGTACTGTATCTGAAGATAATGTTGTTGTTGGAATATTATCACTTAGACTCCGTAATGATATAGCCAGATGCAATATCCAAGTCTTAAATAAGCTCACCCTGCTGAGACCATGAGTGACCCGCCGATCACTACGACATGCCACCCAATGGCCAAGATCTTGGCAGAGCACAGCACTGCCACCTCCCAGATAAAAATTTGGAACAATCCTTGATTCCATCCAAACTGCTTCAACTAACAACAGTATGGCTCTGGGCCTACCCTGCGTACAAAGTTCAATGCGACGTCCAATGCTACGTCCAATGCTGTCCGCTCTTTCTCTATATCTGAACGATGGAGCTCTTCTCCGGCCTTAGACGGCTCCTGAGCCGGAGGACGCGCACAGGAAGCCGAGGATTGTCCACGGCGGCGGAAAAGGTATTTGAGGGTCGGCGTCAAGATGCAGAGAAGTTGTACAGGCGTGATTTCCTGGAAGATTATTCCGATACCGAAACAGCACAGTTCAGCTTCTTCACGACCAAGCTGGACTCGGTGATTCATGCATCCAGCATCAACTCTTTGGCGTTGATCTATGGACCTCTCCACGCGCTACTTGACAGTGGAGAGCATGATGGCATTTGGTGGCTTGACGTCACGGATCCCTCAGATGGGGATATTGAGCTTCTTTCCCGACTGTTTGATATTCATCCGTTGACGACGGAGGATATCAAGGTCCGCGAGACCCGGGAAAAGATCGAACTTTTTGGCCCGTATTATTTCCTCTCACTGCGGCCGCCCCAGCAGGCTGAGGACGTCCCTGGCTCGCGGACGTCAGGGTGCAACGTCTATGCTATTATATTCCGAGAGGGAGTTCTCAGCTTCACCTTCGGCAGCAGTCCTCATACCAGTCATGTCCGAAGTCGGATCAAGGACCATCAAAGCCATCTCTTTTTAACAAGTGACTGGATATCGTACGCTTTGATGTAAGGCACCTTCCCTGCTATATGAGATAACCCTGACTAACGGATGCAGCGACGACATCGTCGACGGCTTCGCTCCACTCATCAACCGCGTAGAAGCCAGCGTGGAGACGATGGAAGACAGTGTCTCCATCACCCGACCAGATGACATCGGACTTGCGCTGAAGCAGATCTACACATCGCGCAGGCAAGTCCTCCAGATCCGGCAACTCCTCAACGACAAAACCGACGTCATCCGGTGTTTTGCCCGCCACTGCGAGGCACTGGGTTCCACGCGCGAAGTGGTCTCCTACCTCAGCGATATTCAGGACCATGTCTTGACCATGGTCTCCAACCTGGCACACTCGGAGCAGAGACTGTCCCGGTCACAGGATAAGTACCTGGGTCAGCTATCCTTCGACTCGACCCGGATGCGCAATCAGATCGTGGCTACTCTCAGCCGGCTGACGGTGATTGCGTCCTGTATCGTGCCTATGCAGATTATTACCGGTTTGTTCGGGATGAATGTCATGGTACCAGGCAAGAATAGCAAGGGGCTAGGTTGGTGGTTTGGGATTTTGGGAGTTATTCTAGCGTTGATCGTTTTGTCTTTGGCGATTGCGCGACGGAGTCGATTCCTTTGAAGTTCTAGTTTTGTCATCCTAGCCCAGGTGAATAGCTAGAGCATCGAAATACTCTATACAAGCCTTCGATATCCTGGTTGCGACCCACTTAGTCGACGATCAATATGTCAGCACTGCCGGATTTATCGGAATTACCATCAAATCGGCCGTTATCCCCTTCCAGAACGATCAACATATTCCTATAAAACCTGCTTTGCTTCTGTACCCAAGGTCCTACTTTACAAGAATCTATCAGTAACTCAGGCGTAAGTCTGACAAACTGCAACATGGACTTCATCAGTACCCAACACCACGATACCTACCCCTTCATCGCCCAGTCCACCCACCACAACCACAAAGTCCTCATCACCGGCGCCTCCCGCGGCATCGGCCTCGCAACAGCGCACTCCTTCGCGCGAGCCGGCGCCCCATCCATCGCCATCGCTGCCCGAGGCCCCCTCGACACCGTGGAGACCGCCCTCCTCTCCACAGCCAAAGAAGCAGGCCACCCGCCACCAACAATCCTCAAACTGGCCCTCGACGTCGCAGACGAGGCCAGCGTGGCGGCCGCTGCAGAGGAAGTGGCTGCTAAATTCGGACACCTCGATATCCTGATTAATAATGCCGGGACGTCAGAGACATGGGTCCCCATCGCGGAAAGCGACCCGGCGGACTGGTGGGGATGCTGGGAAGTGAACGTCAAGGGCGTGTACCTGGTCATGCGGGCGTTCATCCCGCTGCTGCGGAAGGGGACGCAAAAGACGATTGTGAATGTGAGCTCGATCGGGGCGCTGCGGGTGCGGCCGGGGGCGTCGGCGTATCAGACGGGCAAGTTTGCTGTGCTGCGGTTGACGGAGTTTGCGATGGCCGAGTATGGCGGTGAGGGGATGTTGGCGTATGCCATTCACCCTGGTGGGGTGCCGACGGAGTTGGCGATGGGGATCAAGGCGTTGCAGGGGCTTCTGACAGACACTGCGGAGCTGGCGGGGGATGCGATGAGTTGGTTGACGCAGGAGAGGAGAGAGTGGTTGTGTGGGAGGTATGTGAGTGTTACGTGGGATATGGAGGAGTTGCTGCAGAAAAGGGAAGAAATTGTCCGGGAGGATAAATTGAAGATGCGGTTGGCTGTGTAGCTTAGCATACATTGAAGAGTCGAGTCAACTTGATGCTGGAGTGATCGGATTCTCCGGGGGCTTCGCTGACGCAGCGATGGGATTATCCCGCTGCTTCTCTTTACGGATACAGCATGGCCAACTCCTTGCTGTCAATAGGAGCTTTAGCGGGGATAATGCTGGGGCAGGACGTGAAAGGACGTGTGTGAATTGTTGCCGAGGGCTTATACCAGCCTCGGAGGCAGGAAGGCCGATATTGCATTGAGCAGTAAGAACTATTTAGATGAGTATATCGGGTATCAATGATTACATCTCATAAACAATGATCTATGACAGGATCGGCTAGAAGTGGCGCCTGCAGGCTGTTTCCTTGCTACCGTTGTGAAACAGCCGCAACATACTCCATGAGGCCTG